ATCAATCCAGCTGGGCGGCTTGTGTGCGTCCTGGATGACCATTGCCTCGGGAGCATGGTCTATGCAGGATGCGGGAAAATATTCAATGGTGATCCTGTGCGACTGGGAGGAATCCACCGCCGAGGCTAGACAAGCCAGGGCGTCGGCATGTGCGTTCTTGTCTCGGGACACTTGTTTGATTTCAATCCGGCCGAACCTTCGGATTACAGTCGTCGCCTGGTGATGGTAGGCCTTCATCCTAGGGTCCCCTGTCTCAAACTCTCCGTTAACTTGATTGACTACCAGCATAGAATCACAATGCACGATTAAATCGGTAACTCCAGTCGCCTCAGCTAACCGAAGTCCTTGAATTCATCGGTAAGCCCCTCATTTCTGGGCGTCGTGTGAATTGGGTTGAATCCTCCTCAGATACATCTCCCTTCCTCCGTCTAGACAAACCTCGTCGGAGGTCGTCCAGGCCAATGGCCTTGCCTTCCTTGAATGGTCGTCATGATGATGCTCGCTGGCTCTGGGTCGCTTTGGGGCCCTAGAGCTTTCTGCTTTGTTGTTTAGGTGATTTCTTAGGTCCTTCGTTTCCGCCTCCCGGGCGGGAAGCCCACGAGAAAGGAATGAATCCCTCGACCCTTCGCCGAAGGCGGCAAACTCGTTGAGCTGGCTTAGGACGTTTACATTGTCCTTTTCCAGCTGTCGTAATCTATCGCCAAACTTTTCTTCAATCACCTCCGCCAGCTGACGAGCCAAGGGGGCTGATCCCCCTGACCTGATTCCCATACTGGTTTGAGGGGTAACCCCTCTTGACCGAGTAGAGACACTTTTATTCATATCGGTGTGATCCCTCCCTCTGTGATGACAGGGAGCTTGTAATTCGAGACTCCTTTGGTGGGGGTCTTTCCCTTTCTGTCGAGTGTTCACCATGGTCACTGTTCTTTATAGAGAAAAAACTAGAAAAACTAGTCGTTTCCCACAGACGGCGCCAGATTGTGCGTGCACGATCCTGCACAATATAAAAACGAGAACAGATCTCTCCTTGGTGAACTCGAGTGAGTCAGTTGAGTGACCAACCATGCTGCTTGGAACAGCCTGCGAGGTCCGGTGGTAACCTGGAACGGCAACGGGAGACCCTGGGGGAGCGGAAGAACGATCCAGTAAGGCTGAAGAATGGTTCCTGGAACAAAGAAGAACAAGTTAGAAGGGCGCCGGAGTGTTTTCAGGCGTATCCCCTCCGACGATCTAGTCAGTCTTTGAGAGAGAGAGGAAGAAGAAAACACTGAGTGTGTATTGTAGTAAAGAGTTTTTTTGTTGCATACCGTCTTGCCTTTTGCAAGGAATATTTATACCTCAAAAGCTCATGATTGCTAGTGTAGTCAGTAGGTGATCATTAGGTACAGGCAGTGTGCGCACTGATTCTGATGAGGAATGTCTTCTCTTCTTAACTGCTCGGGGTCCTGAGCAATCAATGCTGCGTCATCGGGATGCCGACGGTACAATGAACTCCTCTCGGGGAGGATGCAATAAATGCTCTGTATTAGGAACATTTATTGTCTTTCATTTCCGAGCCTTACCGCATTGAATGCAGTCTCGTCAAGGGAATAGTGTAATTAATTGTTTGTTTTCCCAAGTCGCGTGTCAGCAACGACATGCAATTTTTCTGTCTTTGATGTGACATCATATGCCACGCGTATGCCACGCGTCCATCCCCCATTGGCTGTGGCCCCTGCATTCCTGTACGTTCTGACACTAATTGTGTAAGACGAGATCATGATGAATAGCCTAAACTAGTATAGGCTAATGACCTGTACGTCAATAGCTTATCCTGGAGTAGAGGAGGCGTCCAGGACGGGGTACCTCTCGGCACCGAGGAAAGGCTCATCTCGGAACCGAGGAAGGTATACCCACCGAGGTACCATATCAGGCCGAGGCTATGTGTCGGTTGTAAAACGTACTGAATGCCATGATCCTATATGACGAGTACCTCGGGGGCGAGGACCTTGTGCGCCGATGGTGCTTGATCTTAGCAACAGTGTTTTGATAATACCGAGGACACGTGTCTTCATCATGAAGTATTTCAGAAAAGTCCCATCAATAAGTATACATTCGTGCATGCTTTTTTTTTTTTTTTTTGACTTACATGCATATTTTTGTTTGATCAGAATGACACAGATAGTTTTTGAATGAACAGTCCTTTATAGGGGAAATTGCTCATATTGTTATACATGTTTATTCGGTTTTATTCTCCTTGGATGAGAGCACTTGATCGAAGAAGTGGTAAGTTGTCAAGATTCAACTTGCATGGTCAATAATTTTACAAATAATTCTCAGAATACAGATAAATATATAGACCTAATAATAGAGAAAATATCTATAATACTAAAACAAAACTTCTTACGTGTGCTGTTCACTTACAAAAATATAACTACGACTCAAATGGTTTAAATCTAATAGTTTATTTTAATCTTTTAACAATAATAATTCATTTAAATTTTAACCTTTTAATTACACTAATTAATTTTAATTTTAACTAGTTAATCATAGTAATTTTAATTTTAATATTTTAATTGCAGTAACTCATTTAAATTTTAAAATTTTAATTTTTTTAACCATAATAATTCATTTAAATTTTATTTTTAACCAGAATAACTAAACACATACATTAAAAAAACGTGCTATGCGCGAACCAAACTAATAACCTATATATTCTTTCTTTTTTTATTTATTTTTTTTTAAATAAAAGCGACTTTGTATCTAGACAACTGAGAAACAGATACACACAACACAACCATTCTCAGCCGAAAGTGAAACATTAAATATATGTATGACACTGGTTGGCAATGAGATGTAATATACTTGAAAAGAAAATTCCAAGAGACATTATTGAGGAAAATAAATTTCTTTTGGCAGCATCTATTGCTTCCCATAAGGTAGCAATGGGAATAAATATCCTAAAGTTCCATGAAAAAGAATCCAATGAAAACAGAGTTTGGTAAGAGCCAATTCACAATGACTACTACCTGACAAAGTAAGACCTAAACTTTTGTTACTATTACAATTTGCTTTCTTTAAATGGTACTGATCCCTAGGATACTTTCTTTATTATGCTAAAGGATCCTTCACATACATATTAGGTGAACCACCTATTCTCACTCATTTAAATAAATCACCTGTTGATGATGCACCAATTATCTTACTTTTTTTTTTTTGAAACGGGAAATTGTCTTAATCACGCGTTATTTTGATTCATGGTTTTTAATGCAGATTTCAAATACATTTCAAATACACGTAATAATTTATTAAGTACCTGCATCTGTTAAGCCCGAATTTTATATAATCATAGGGATTTGAATATAGGATATGTTAGTATGTGCCTCTCTTTTTTGTTCAACTACTAAACTAATTTGTTCATGTAAATATCTTTTTTTATTATTTTTCGAATAGACATTTAGATTGATATCTTATCCATCTCACTATATCAAATGTGTGCTTGGTAAATGATAAACATATACATATTTTTTGGTCAGAGAAAGGGGAGGGGTGAATAGTAAGTAGTAACTCGAACAATTAAGATTCTCCCACTATAAATGTCTAATTTGAATCATAGTTACTAACTTGAAAAGACAGATCGCCACCACAGTACCATCAAAGACAAACAACAAACTGCGTTACTCCTGTGAATCAAATCCTGCTTAAAAATCACACGAGTCAAAAACAATTTTAAATAGATACAATTTATCACTAGACCACTAATTCTGATGGTGATAATCAGATCAAGTTTCACCCAAGAAGACATTAACCTTGCGCATAAAACTCCAATTTACCTAGTGTCTTTGTCACGAATTGTACTGTCATTTAATTTGGATGGGCCCCAAACAAGCCCTAAACCCCACATAGGATTCTAATCTGTCACACTCCCATATGCATCCATTTATTTGGCCTTTTATTATCAGTGCAGCATTACGAGGAACTTGAGGTTATCAATAGAGTTTCAGGTTGATCTGGGACATGGTGAGGGGGACATATTGGAAGACTAAAGAGGGCATGACAGAGTATAATAATAATAGTACTTGGGGGCCAAGGAAGTTCATGATGGATTTGCCATGGTTAATTAATTTGTGAAGCATCCGTGCACAATCTCAGCCGTGGAAAAGATATACTTTTGACATATCTAATGTCGTTGGGGACTTTTGTAGCTTGGCTAGATAATTGACACTGTTTAATCCTAAAAAACAAAAGAAAAGAAATGATTCTCGACTCTGGTGTGCAGCCCAATGCTCAAAGCACGTGGGTATTTGTGTTTGAGGAGAGAGAGAGAGAGATACTTGCAGAATAGAATAGGTGGTGCATGGATGGAGCAAATGAGAAATCTGACAAATTTCAGCCAAAAATTTCTATGCCAATGTTTAGTAAGGATCCATCATCAAGAGAGAGGGGGAGAGAGAAATGGTTAAGTAGATGGAGATCAGAACATAAACTCTATGCATAACAAACTTACACAACTTTGTATACCATGAGAGAGAGAGAGAGAGAGAGAGAGAGAGCAATTGTTAGGAGCAGAAAACATAGTTGACGACCACAATAACTTGTGGGAACAAGTAAATTTTTAGGTACTTTGTACCGTATGAAACTTCACAATCTTCTATGAGAGAGAAATGGTAACTAAAAGTCCCGGGTCATGTTGGCCAAAGACCGGCTTCTGTATTTGAAACTTAAACGAGACATCAAACCACCGAAACCGAAACAAAATCTGAAACAATCACATCCACTTTTAACAGGTAAACATCTATATCCTTGAATGAGACTCAGAAAGTTTCAACACACATAAAAATCAACTTAAAAAAAAAAATTCAGAAACTTCTCACTAAGCAAACACATAACCAAACTAGACTACTCATTTCATCATAATTTGTACATTATTTATCTCCTCTAAAGCAAACTACTAAGAACTGAAAAAGCCAAAAAAAAGCCTAGAACAAGTCCAAACGGGAACATAAGGCCCTAATTTTAACTCAATTCGCTCTCTCAATATGTATAAATACTGATTCCAAGTCTGGAGGACTGAAGAACTCCCTTGCACCATTGTAATGACATGTTGATTTAGGCCGGCGCTTCCTTGGGGCTGGTGGGCATGGCAATCTCTCCGGTATTTTTGCTTCTTTTGCAGTGGGTGTTGTCGAAAACACCTCACCCTCGTCCTCACACTCCTTTGGCTTCGTGGATATCGACCTCAACGGAGCACGCAATGCTATTCCGGCAATTACCCATTTCTTGCCTTCTGATTCTAAGCCTCCCTCCACTTGATGCTTTTTTGAAAACCCCATATCGAATCCAAACCAAATATAACCTTTCAGATTGGTATGAAAAGAACCCAAGAACAACTGCGTCTAACAGAGCAATCAAAAGATGGGTTTTTGATTCAAAAAAGCATAGCAAATCAAGAAAACTAGAATCTGAGGAAACAAGAGGAAATAGAAGCTTTCGGGCTGAGATGAAAAGAATCCAAGAACAATATTTGCAGCCGAGCACTCAAAAGATGGGTTTTTATTCGAAAAGCACAACAAATCAAGAAAACTAAAATTTAAGAGAAACAAGAGGAATAAACCAAAAGTGTCTTTGCTAGTCCTCTAATTCTATGCTTCAAATAAAGAGCCTAAAGGGAGGAAAAAAGAGAGAAGAGAGAGCATGAATGAGAGAAGGGTTGAAGAATTTGAATGAAGAAAGGGGTGGCGGCAAAATGAGAAGAGTTTGTGGTAGGGGTTAGAGAGAAAGGAGAGAATATATTATATTTGGGAGGAAGGGAGAGAGCCCAAGGAAAGCAGTGACCTATTTGAAGACCATTGTGTGCTAATTGATTAGACATAAGGTATATGCTATGAGATTTATGAAATGAATGAGAAAAGATTTAGTGAGAGAAAGAGCTGCCCGTAAAATATCGGGCAGCGGAAGTGAGTAAAACCAGAGATTTTGGCGCCAATTTCTGTTGTTTTGCTAGCAACGGCTCTCTTTCCCGCCCTTGGTATTAGGTTTCCTAGTTTACCCTTGCTTTACCTTATTATTTTCGGTAGCAATGATACTGCGTCGTTTTGACCTAAACACAGAATCTTTTGCTGTACAAACTGTGAACTATCCAGGCCCAGGCCCAGGCCCATCTATCAAAGCCTAATTTTCATAGACTTTCTTACCACTCTATTTTTTGTCCTAAAGTAAAACTTCAACAGAACTGCAATCCCTGAAAAAGAATATCATAAATGACAATCGGGATAGTCCAGATTTAAAACTCTCCTCTCTGTAAATAAAATTATTTCATTCAACAGACACATAACTGCAATAGTAGAACTTTAGGCTTATTGCATAAACAGTTTTGAAACTTTTTTAAGACTAATGGCAATTTTACTTTCTCAAATCAAATGTTAAGAAAATGTCTAACAAGGTCAAAAGAATGTGACTATACTTCATATTTTTATGAAATGAAATGGCCACCGCAGCTCGCTGTTGGACACGAGTTTGAATCTCATAGCCTCTTCTCCTGTAAAAATTCAAAATAGTGACAAAAAAAAAAGGAAATGAAATAGATCTGCTTTCTCTCCCTTGGACAGACATCCAGATCCAATGTACTCTCTCTCTCTCTCACAGGGGATGGTCCCACTGCCTTGTGGGTGCCTGAAGCATTGAAGGGGGTTGGTAGGGGAAGAGTACTGAAAAAACAACAAATTGGTTGGGATTGAACAAGGGAGACTGAATACTTAGAAGAAATCCCAAGCATTGTTTGGTGCCAAAGGCTCATTCCAACCCTAAATTAGCCTGTCTTTTTCTTCCCCTCTTATCTTTATTTTTCTCATCTTGGGCATGTAATTTGGATCACCAATTTGAAATACAGTTTGTCAATCGACACAAAATTTACACCAAGTCAGCGTAGGTTAGGCAAGCTGGGCTTTAGTTATTATTAGGTTGATTTTTCAGACTTGTTAATAAATATATCAATATGAATCTAGCTATACAACTCGAATTCGAATTATGTATTATTATCAATAAATTAATGCACAATTATGATACCATATGAATGCCGCACCAGAACTTCATGTATGTACTAGGAGTCCTTTCCCAAAATTAAGGCAAGTAACTTGGACCTCGTGAGTTCGCTCCAACACAACAAATTGACAATAAAATACAAAAGTAAAGAAAAGAAACAATTCCATAAGCCATGACAAAAAAAATTAAAGCAATGCTATTAGAATCTAATATAAAAAAAATAATTCACTTTTGTCATTAAATTAATAATAAGTCTCAACATTACAAGCAATTATCCAATATTCATAATAAATTAGATTTAACATCAAGCAAAAACAGTTTTGATGATGAAATTAAAGTTCACGCAACGGTCACATTTTGGTTATTTATATTCTTGTTCAAATAAAGTATGATGATAAATGAAGACAAGCAAGTGGATTACGTGACCTGGTAGTGGGGTCCAATGGAGGCTGCCATCTTTGATCACCCAATGGAGGCCCGAGCAGATAAAGAGATGACAGTGTGCCACGTTAGCGATTAGGCTGTCCTTCCTAGACTTTTTCACATGGTTGTCTCCTCAGGTCCCACTGCCGTTTAGGAGCTCCACTTTTGTACGCATTCAGGTAGCTGACGAGTAACACCATTAAAGCAGTTAAATTTGAATATTTTTTTAAATTTGTTTATGTGTAAATAATTAAACAATTCAACTCATTTATGTGTAAATAGTCAAAAATTTAAGTTTGAATTTAACTCGATTATCGTACCTACTGACCAGTTAACTGACAAAGTGACAATAAAAGCCCGATCAGCAGCTTACAAGTAGAAATTTTGAGCGTGGCATAGAGCGAAAAAATATGTAATTTGCCCTAACATTAATATTAATCTAATAAATCTTTTGGTGGCTGAGTTTGATATATAATAACTCGGTCATTTTTTACATCCATTAAGGACTAGTCATTCTTATTTTTCAAGAGATATGTTTTAAATTTGTTTGAACTACAGTGAACAGTATCCGAATTCGAGAGAATAGTCAACACAATCCTGAATATCCTGTATCAAAAAAAAAATATCAATCTAATATTATAATTCGTCATTTGAGTTATTCATTTATAAAAACACAACAATAATTAAGATTAACTTCAATTTTATCTAAGACTATCAAATTCATTCTAAAAAAAATTCCACCAAAAAAATCATCTTCATTGTACGATTTTCAATATCATACAACTCAATCAATACAACCCCAATACCAAAAAAACTCTACTAATCCACTTTAATAAATTATCATTTAAAATAAAAATATTACACTATCAATAATTAATTTTTGATAATACAAAATATTTTGAGCACATAATTATTGCTTACCTTTCAATACACTCTCTCTCTCTTGCATCAAAAAGACACCACAAACCACCGAACCCAGATGTTTAAGTTGTTTCGGGAGCTAAAGATACATCAAGATAAGGACAAGTCATGTAGTGGGACCCATAACACCGCCCATTGGCCGAACTCGCTCTGACGGAGTGGCTGTGACCAAAAGAATGCTACATTGCGCACTAGATCTAATCTCACGAAAGGCCCCCATGATGTTACCTTTTGAAGGGTTGCCTATTATGGTATTATATATCATCCGGTCATGTTAGTGGAATAATTCCAATGTCACTTTCTATGCCACAGAAGAGATACCGTCGAAATTTTAAAAGTTATATTGTACTTTAATGGTCAGTCAAAATTAAAAATAAAAAAAATTCAACCACTCTTCTTTTAATTTATCATATCTTTAAAAACACCCCCTTCTCCTATTTAAAACATCACTTTCATCTTTTCTAATTTATATTTAAATATAACATACCCCGTTTGCTGTTAAACCATTGTTTCCAACCAAAAAAAATTATATAAAATACCAAAATTACCCTAACATAAAACTCAAACAATCTTTCAATATAAAATTTAATTAAAATTCAAGTCAATTAATATTTATTTTTCTACACATTAAAATTCAAGCTAATTAAAATTTAATTTTTTTACGTATTCAAATTTGAACCTATTAAAATTTATTTTTTATATATTAAAATTCAAATCAATTTAAGCTCTACATAAACTATTAACGCTAATTAAAATTAACTTCAAGTTCATTAAAATTTATATTTTTTTGCTTATAAAAAATTTGTGCCTATTAAAATATAAGTTGATTAAAATTTGATCCATATCAATTAAAAATAAATTTTAATCGACTCGAATATAATTTTAATCAGCTCAAATTTTAATATATAAAAAATATAATTTTTAATCGAATCAAATTTTAATTGACCCGAATTTTAATATATAAAAAAAAAATTAATTCACTCAAATTGTATTAGGTAAAAAAAATTTTAAAAATAAAAAAGTCTCATTAAAAATATGTCTATCTAGAGGGAGGATGGAAGAAATTTTTTCTAAAACATATCATGGATAATTTAGCAAAATTACATTTTAGTTAACACCATTAATCTGATAAGGACAATTTAATAAAATTACATTTTAGTTAACACCATTAATCAGATAAGAGATGTTATTAAAGATTCAAAAAATAGAAATGATGTCTTTGAAAAAATGATAAGCTAAAAAAAGTATGACTAAAATTTTTCCTTAAAACTATTTAAAAATTAAACTATTGAAAAGATAATAAATCAAAAGGTTATTGTGTCACAAAGATAGGAACACCATATGCCCAAAGCTTTCATCAAGATCTTCAAAATTATGCTATACCTCCATTGATTTGTCGAGAATTTCACACTGGAGATTTTAAAAGCTATTATATAACTCTTATTGTGAATTTCACAAGATAGATATGTCATAATTGACTTTTAAAAGATGGTCACATTGCAAATATCAGGCGTACCTCTGAAATATGGGGTTCTCAAAGAAATACGCCGCACCCAGATTCTTTCATACCATGGACATAACCCCAACCAGTCCACAGGGTAAAGATTATTACGTGGCATTTTGTCTAATAAATCTAACATCCCATAGTGATTAGAGGCCATCGTCTCTCTCCCTACAATAGTGTCTGACAATCAATATATATATATATATATCACCGGTCAGTTGCCAAAGTGGGATGTTAGACGAGGTAACTAAGGTAGGTCGAAGCTCAAATCATGGTAGGTTTGAATCCCTTCACCTACCATTCGAAAAGAAAACAAAATGTCATTGATCTTTATTTGGACAGAAGCAGAGGCAAAAAGAAAGTTCAGACAGTAGAATTGTCCAATCAAAATCCTCACCAATTCATGTTGCATTATCTTGCTGGGAATTTAATTACTGCATGAAATTAACCTGTTGGTTGTTGAACAGAAAATTTGAGAATATGTCCACCCATCATGGTTTTGGATTAACTTCGGTCAATTATCAATTAATTCTCTAATATGATACATCAAATAATACAAATTCAAACAAAATATACTATATATACATAGGTCATCCTCCAATTTACAATGGGTAATCAATTTATTGTTGAAAAACTTGAAGAAAAACATGGCGGAAGCGATCTAAATCTGCTCACTAGACTCGATATTTTTTTGAACCATGTTAAACAAAAGAAAATTTTGGTTAACTAATTATGCAGAAATAAATCTATATTTCGAAATTTTATATTTGGGGACATGGAAAGAAAACAAACTAAATTTTGATGAGTGCATGTTTGGGGCCATGAATCCGTCAAAGGGGAAAATGACACTTTCTGTGTTGTAATTTCCGTCAAATTGTATGGTGTATTCTATATATAACATTTTCAAAAAAAAAAAACAGAACAAGCCAAAGGGACCAAACTTTATCCTCAGAAGGGAGGCGGCTTTGGACAATAAAATTCTGTTTTGGTCGGTTTGATTTAGATTGGTTGTTTTAGTTGAACGAGGTTGTATTCTGTTTACTGAAAAGGCAAAAATACTCCGTTTATTATTTATATTAATAAAATATGACATCCTCCTTCCACTCTTTAAACTTCTGACTTAAAAAAATACAACCACTCAAACCGTTTAAATCTAAGGACTTCTCTTATTATAACTTTTTAGTCACAGTGACCTTTTAACCACATTAAGTATTTTTACCGCCCAATTATATTTTAACCACGATACACATTTTAAAAACATACTTAACACAGATTCACCCTAGTATTTGGACATTTTTATTCATCTAATCTCATTAGTCCGACACCAGATCATTTTGCCACATACCCAGATGACATGGCCTAAGAACTGTCCGATACACTCCAGTCAAGTGCGAAGGACAGTATCCACATCAGCTTGATCCCGGGGCAATGCTCAGCCTCTAACTTTCGGTGTTTCCTAAGATTGAAAAAAGAAAAAGGCTTTTCTGGCTTCTCAACTTGTAAAAAGTCAAATATAAAAGTTTGAGTTCGAAAATTAACCTCTATAAAAAAAATACAAATAATACTACCTTATCACTTATTTTTCACATATTCCACCAAAAAAATGTGTATCGAATAGGATTTGCCAATCTCCAAGTATCAACATTCAGGATACCTTCTTTCTTGTATGCATATATTCTATACACTTTCTCAAATTTTCTTATCGAACAATGTTTTTAACACATTGTAATATATATCTTTTTTAAAAATTTATTTAAACTAACTACTGCAAGACTGGACTGATATATAATTGAGTAGATAAAATATACAATAGGAATATTCGAGCCACGGCGGCCACCCCTACCCCTAGGTTTCAACACGAGGGCAGCCTTTATTCTCCCCTTTTTGTATTATATTCTAATAAATCCTTAATATATTTTTCAGATGTATCACACCCAAATAAGAGTTATATCCAGTGAGAATGATTTGTGGTACACCATAAAGCGGGACCTCCCATGCTGGCCAACTATTATTGACTCAATTATACAGCAATTTATTAGACAAAGATTCGCCCATGCTCTGTATAGATGCGTGCTAGCTTTAAAATTCCTAAATATCATTATCATTATCAGTATCAGCATCATTATCGTGGAAGAATAGAATTTTTGGACTCTTAACAAAACTAGCCAATTGCACCCATTCTTTGGACCATCTTACCAAAGAATGAATTGATATGTTCCATTTATTTCAAATGGCTATAGAATGACAAAAATACCCATGCACAAGAAGCAGAGTAAATGAACCATACAAATCATTCTATTCGAGAGTCGCGAAAAACAACCCGAATATACTGTGATTTCTGTCACGCTAAATCCCCCAGCTTCATAATTTAGATCTTCCTCTCGCATGTTTGTGTGTATATTGACCTTGTGCTCTCATGTATATACACATATCTGGACCTTACTGACAGATACTTGGGCCAACGGGGTCATTGGTTAAGCTTTTCTAGTACTAGTGCTCCCTTATGCCATGGAAACAAGGGGAACTTTTTTTACAAAAGAAGATTTCTGCTCCCTATACAGAGGAGGATTCCTATTTTATTGAGCACCTTTCAATTAAAAGGTTCTAGGTAGGAGTGTAAAATATGTCACAAACCACCCTTTTTTGTAAATGAGTGAACCCAATATCAAGTATGAGTAACGTCAATCAAAAAAAATATACGACACTACTTGTATATATACCAAATATATACGATTCTTACACCATACGAACCCGACATAACACGATTCGTTAAACATGAGTTAATAAACGAATCGGGTATAAGTAGAGTATTTTTTTATACGAGCCCCTTAAAATCCGACATGAACCCGCCTCAACCGACATGACTAACAGACCTAGTTTTAAGGATTATCAGCTCCTACCAATTTAAACACCCCTTCCCCCCCAAAAAAAAAAAAGGAATAGTGCCCACAGCATAGCTGATTTGGCGTTCTGACAAAGAAGTAAAAATTACTCGGGTGCTTTTAGTTTCTCCCCCTTGGTGGAAATGTATGAATTTTTTGCCCAGGTTGTTTAGATGTATAACTTCAGTGGAGCTGTATTAGCCTGTGTGGGCATGTGACCGATCATTGAGTAGGACCATTGCATATGTGGCCAGCTGCTCAAAATAATAGCATATAACTAGTGGCATTTTGTCAGGTCTTGCCTACTTTAGTAATATACCTATCCAGCAATAGTTACAGTTATCAGAAATACACATTCAAAAGCCCAAAGTCTCCACACTAAGACTTTACGAGAAATTTCAGACTCAGGACAACATACTAACATCTTCCTAAGAGTTCAGAGTGAGAATATTCGTAAGGCCAATATTGCAGCTGATTTCAACTACTGCATGAGAAATGGCAACGGAATCTGATATTCAAGATTCCACAAAGGTAAGCAATATTCTCTCCATGTTATAAGAATTCTAAAGCTGTTTAATGGAATGATGCTATCGAATGTAAAACATGGGACTATTGCGTTATGAGGAAGCTTTGAGCCTAAAATTGATACATACCTCCTATTGCCGATATTACATTTAGCATGTCTGGAAGCCGGTTTCTAAAAATGAAAACTTCAAGAAACTGCATGTGTCTCAATGCCTTGATAGGTTTTCAAGATCATATATGAAACCTGCAATGAATATACAGTAATTATTACGAAATTAGAACTAATCTGCCATAATATAATCATGATACATCTAGTTCCAGCTTATTTGCAATCAGAATTCATCAAAGTAGACTATTTCTGATTCAATTTGGTTAAAGAACATGTTTCAGAGAGGTAGCATCAGAATATCCAGTTTTCCATATTCAGAAGAAAAAATACCAGCAGATAGAACCAGATTGCATCCTTTTCCAGCTTTATATCCCACTAGAATGCTTTCCAATATTGTTTTCTCTTTAAAACTTAAAAGTACAAAAATTCTTAACAGGGTGCTGCTTATAGGAAACCATTCTAAAGTGCTACAACAGATCAAATGTGTTGTTTCCTTTACAGGTCTTGATATCTTCATGACAAATACAACAAATGTTTAAGTTTAACCATCAACTTGACCCAGAGAATCTTAGAATTCATACGAGAAAACATTAGAGGGAATTCGTACAAAACAATTGATCCCATATCGTGTACACAAACATATTTCTAATCATCCGCTCATGTTCATGAAGAAGTGATGTGCCTAACAGACTACCAAAAAAGGGTGCAGATGAAGCATGTAAAATTCTCCTTACCCACTCATGTAATACTGCATACAAGACAATTCTTATGAACTTCATTGTATATATTTACCACCAGTAATGAAAACTAAATAAGTTTTGCAAACTTCAAGAGATTGCAAATAAGAGAAGATGATGATGAATGAAATGATTACTGGGTGGATGGACAAATCTCTATCTTTTCAACATCCAACAAACCTCAGAATCACAATGAATTTAATCCATTCAACATAATATTCAATTGATATAAAAGGCCCAACAAGTAAAATAAACCATTTACATTTGATGGGTGATCCTATAGTTATCCAAATTCTTGCCTCAGCATTGTAGAGCCCTAGCCCAACTGCTTGACATTTGGGACAGTAAAACTCTCATTTCACAACTAATAACATTGATCTCTAACAGTTTACTTCTTGTTAGATGTTGTTAAATCAAAGGCTAATTCCTCATACAGGTGCATGACAAACTTCAAGGAGCTGATGTCAATACCGATATTGGAATTCAGATTACCAAGCAAGATTGTACAGCAAACAACTTTGCAGTCTATGCTGAAGAAGAAACAAAAGAATGTGGCTCTTGTGAGAAGGAAAAAGAACCTGATGAAGAGGTATATATGACATATCTGTCTTCTTGCTACTTGGTGCATTAAGCTCGATTTGGTTACACAAGAAGATTGCTGTATGTCCAGGAGATAATAGAATTACAAATCCATATCTAGTTGTTTGGAGTGAAAGAGACTCGATAGTTTGATGAAAAAAGTACATACAATTTCAATCTAAACGGAAGATTATTTCTGGAGCAATAGATACGGTAGATTTGCCTTTACTCATCTTCAAATTAAGTATTACCATGTTGGTAATATTGTCAAGCACTGCTCAATAGCTTAAAGCGCACAACCCACGTATGCAAATGGTCAGTTTCTTGTAATTGTGGGTGCATAGTTCCACAAACGGTGGGATAGATTTCCTTGTAAAGTGGTGAACAGGTAAAGATATCAGGGACATTTCTATACTCAGTGGGGCTTTTTTTATTTTCCACAGTTTAGTTAATTTCATTTTTCCATTTTGTTCACTACAATCCAACCCTTAATGTGTTCTACTTTCCGTTTTAAAAAATGTTTCAGTCTCCATACACTGTGCGCTGGGGCCAGGGGTGAAGGAGGACACCAAAGAAGGCATTGAACCCCCTCGCCTGTCAAGAAATAGCTCAAAGGCAAAATTTGAGTCTCTGATTTTCTTGTTAACATCAAAATATACGAAAAAAATTAAGTGATATACATAAGAGAGAGAGAGAGAGAGAGATTTCTTTGTTATTTCATTTATTTTAAACAAACAGCATAACAACACTTTTAACCACTTGTAAGATAGAGCATGCAGGGATACAGAAGCATGGTCTAAGTCTCAAAAAGAGGAGGACGACAACGAAGGTTAACAGAGTCTGTAGGTGTAAGCAAAACACAATGGCCAACACACAACTAATATGTAAAAAAAAATGATGAGGTTCATGTTAAGCGTTGGCTGGGTGTGTCTAAGAGAAGAGTACCTTGAATAAAAGCTTGGTTTACCAGGTGTATATGTAACATGGACATCACTCCTTAGAATGTTAAAAGATAGAATTATCTTCTGGCTGGGCTTTTAGACCTTGATGTCAATGGCTACATACCTAGATCAGTATTATTCCTTCACTTCTCTGCTTTGTGATCTATCCAAACAAATGGAGCCTAAGTAGAAATCTTTTCTGCCAAAAGGTACATGAGACAAGTAATGAAGGCCAGGGCAAATTAGTTCCACTCAAAGAGAAACTTGAGAGTGACAAGGAGTGCTCTACTGAATCCTTTGAAGAAAAATCAGTACAAGGGAGATACCAGAAAGATGAGGTGAACTTGACATGAAAAATGAAGTTACCTTTTCCTATTCACCATTCGCTGGTTCTCGGTTAGTGCTTCACCTTCTTATTTGTTTTCTTAAATTCCCCTTGCCATGCAGGAAAGCAAGCAGTATGAAAGTACTGGAGCAAATAAACAGACAGAAGAGACCACAGAAAAAAATATTGCCACACCTTCAACGGTTGGAGAAGAGAAAGTTAGGGAAAAACAGAAAGAAGGGGATATGGATGCATTGAAATCGAAAGAAGAGGTCAGTTTATACAGTGTACAGACGTTAAATTTTATTTAAACTTCCCATTGTGATATCTTAATTGTCCACAAACCTTTCTGTGTTTAACAGATCAAGATATTGGACATAGAATGCACAGAACAGAGTTTTGAGGCACCAGGCCCCCTGAAGCAACCAAAACCCGAGACTCAGGAAAATGAAGAAAAGCCAACTGAGGACTGTAATCCTCGAGGTACTGCAGGAACATCAAAAGAAACACATCCAAAGGAAATCAGTAAAGACCTGATTGAATACTCATTAGCACCTGAGGTTTCTGAAAAAGAGACCAGGGACGAAATATCAAAGGAAGCAGAGTCAACAAGTAGAGCAGTAGCAGAAGGAACAAGCTTACAGGAGACTAGAGAGAACAAAATGCAGCCAGAGAGTCCTGACGAGGCTTTTGCAGAGAAAGATGTGGAAACAACTCAATTACATGAGAGTATGTCAGATGATGCATATATCATAAATGAAGCAGCAGAATCATCTGAATTGGGTGAGAATAAGAGCAAGGAGAACCCAACATTGGTGACATATGGAGCAGATGAAGCTGGAGGAAATACAGCATCTGAAGTGCATAAGGAAACCCAGGACACGTTATCAAAAAATGGGAGTCAAAGAGAGGTTTCAACTATTGACACGTGCTTAAATGACATAGTAGAACAAAACCTTAAAGAAGTTTCTGCACTGTCAGCAAAGGAACATAATCCCATCACATACGAAGCAAGTGAGACAAAAGAGGATACTTCAGAGAAAGTTATCTATACTACACATTCTCCTTTAGCTGTAGAGGCAGCAGAAGAGAAGTTACTGCTAAAAGAAGAGTTCGTGAATCCAAGAGATGATCCTAATATGGGACCTATAGATGTAGAAAACGAAAGTGAAAACAACAAAGTTTGTGATCAAAATCAAGATCTGCTCATGACTCCTGCATCAAACACTGAAGGTATCTCTGAATCACAAGCTGTACTTTCAGGTCACATAAATTTCAGTGAAGTGGATAAATGCAGTGAGACTCACAAACTGGAGAATTTAGAAGATGAGAAGTCACTGAATACAGGAGTACAAAAGGTTTCTGAAGATGAAAATCCAGTCAATAAGGCATCTGCTTGTGATGAAGATACTGGAAAAGCTATCCTTGGACAGGAGAATTCTGCTAGAAATTACGAAAGCAGCACAACGGAGGGTGTTGACAACGAAAAGGCAACGGCAGAATTGGATGCAGGAGGTCATAGCCAAGGAATTGTGGATGCTGAAACACAAAGTACAACCACTATCACAGATGAGGTAATGACTGTACTTTAAATCTTCTCATGACCCATCATTAACGGTCTAACTTATTTCTCTTTTCTCCAATTGCATGTGAGTTGGAGAATAACAGTGGGTACATTCATTACAGAGCATTAAGATGTCCCTTGAAAATTTAATAACCCTGATGTGTGTCACAGCACCTCAAATGAGTTTCTACGTACTTTTACAGATTACAACCTTTTTCGCTTGGTATTTCATTAGCTCAAGGCCTTGTTAGCATTTAAAAAGTGACCCCATTTTCTATGTCACCTACAAACAAGTTGCCTTTATGTCATTCACTTCATCCGACACCACCCGTGAAGACATCTACATTGTAGCTAAAAGGATTCCTATCATTTTTTAGCACATGGGACCTTAACTAATGACCTACACCTATTTATGTGGTACAGAATCTTGAACCAGTTGAACCTTTTGAAAAGCATAGGTTTGCCTCTATACCAGTGGCTGAAGATCATAGTAAAGAAACAATCCCTGAAACCAACAATCTCATGATTGAGGAAGACAGCAACACTGTCAAGGATCAGAATTTCGGATCTATTGAAGAAAAACCAATTGGACAAGCTTTTGAAGAAGACCAAAGCGTGACGAACAAGGAAATGGAATCCAAAACAGAGAAGGATATCAAATTGAAAAAATGGAAAAGGGGAAGGATACAGTGAAGGATGTGATTTTTGTTGAAGAGGTAGTCAAACTATAAGCCAAACTTTTGCATGAATATTTTCCCAAAGTTTTTCTGAGGTCCTGTTACTATATTAAAAGCCTATCTGTTGAACAGGTGGCAGCAGGGGAAGTTCACGCTGATGAAAGCAAAAGCATCAAAGAACAGCTCAACGAGGAAGAGTCTTGCACAACAGAACTTCAAATTCCGTCAACAGAAGATCAGATAGTTAATGAGGTCAGCTTATGATTGGCACAAGGGAAATTGCACTGAACATTAATTTAAACCTTGTTGTCCCTTCTTTCTGTGATAATCTCGTTACAATCTTATCTGTCAAGCAGGTAACAGACCCAAATCAAGTACCCAGTGAGCATCTTGAAGCAAAAGATTCCAATGACAATACAGTAACTGTGGAATCAGAGACTTTTGAATATCTAACTAGCAAGTCAGAAGTGCACGAAGAGGAAACTAAGAAAGGCATTGAGAAGTCTGTCAACGCCACAAACTCAGTAACTGAAGAGTCTGTAGAAAAGATAAAAGAAGAAAACACAGAAGCAGCAGACAATTGTGAATCAAAGATAGATACATCACGAGCAACATTGACAACAGATGAAACAAGCTTGGAGGAAGTTCCAGTAGATGACAAGTGTGTGAGGGCCAGCTTCGATAGTACTACAGATGACAAGAGTTTAGCAATGACAACAGTAAATGCTAACCCACATGGTGAAATTGGAAGTGTGAAGTTGGAAGAAACCTCTGGGTTGGTGTCTCAAATACCAAAAAATGAATATGAGATTGCAGAGAAAGAGAGTGTGATGGAAGAAAATCTGGCTGAAGTCGAAGTTGAAGAAACCAAAACTTCTGATGCAACATCTGAGTCCATAGAGAAGGATGTTGAAGAGATTCATGAAACAAGGAAAAGCCCGACCATGGAAAACATCAAAGAACAGCTCATCGAGAAAGAGAGTTGCACATTGGAACTTCAAAGAACATCCGGGGCAAATAACACCATTAACGAGGTCAGATTGATGTTCACAAGAGGCAAAGTACTTTAAACATCTCTTACATGTTGCCTTTTCTTCTTCCTATCATAATTTAATTGCAATCTTATCTGTCGAGCAGGTAAAAAACTCAGATCAAGTACCAGCTGAGAATCTTGAAGCAACATGTCCCAGTGATAACATAGAAACAAAGAAAGTAATGACTGGACAAGATTTCAATTGTGAGTCAGAAGCATCTTCCACTACAAATGCAAGAGGGCAAGAAAATATAAAAGAAGAAAGCCCAGACACAGCAGATAATTGTGATGATGGAATAAATACTGCACCTATAACATTGGCAAGAGAAGAAACAAGCTTAGAGGAAGTTCAGCTAGATGACAAGCTTGTAAGGGCCCTCGATACTACTTCAGATGATATGAGTCTACCACAGAGAACAACAGATGCTAACCCACATGGTGAAGTAGCTGAAAGTGTGAAGCTTGAAGAAACCGCTGCCCTGGTGTCTCAACTACCTGCTACTGAATGTGAGATAGAAGACAAAAAAATTGTGATAGAAGAAACTCCAGATGCAGTTGAATTTGAGGCAACCATAACTTCTGATGCAGTATCTGAGCCCAAAGAGAAGGATGTCAAAGAACTCCATGAAATGGGGAGAAGTCTAACCGTCGAAGACATCAAAAAAAAACTCACCAAGGAAGAGAGTTGTGCAACGGAGCTTCAAAAGATATTAGCAGCGGATGAAACACTTACCGAGGTCAGTCTGACATTAAAACAAGGTGAAGTACTTTAAACATTCCTTAAATGTTGTTTTTTATTCATCATTGCAACCTTATCCATTAGCAGATAAAAGACACAGATGACATGCCCATTGAGAATCTTGAAGAAATATATCCCAATGATAATATAGAAACAGAGAAGGCAGGAGATCTCAATTGTGAGTCACAAGCACTTTCCACTGAAAAAGCACAGGAAGAAGAAACTAAGCAAACTGTTGAGAAGCCTGTTGACGTCACAAGCTCAGTAGCTGAAGAGTTCAAAGAAAAGATAAAAGAAGAAATCACAAAAGCAGCAGATAATTGTGACGATAGAACAAATACTGCACCAATAACATTGGAAAGAGAAGAAACAAGCTTAGAGGAAGTTCAGCTAGATGACAAGCTTGTAAGGGCCCTCGATACTACTTCAGATGATATGAGTCTACCACAGAGAACAACAGATGCTAACCCACATGGTGAAGTAGCTGAAAGTGTGAAGCTTGAAGAAACCGCTGCCCTGGTGTCTCAACTACCTGCTACTGAATGTGAGATAGAAGACAAAAAAATTGTGATAGAAGAAACTCCAGATGCAGTTGAATTTGAGGCAACCATAACTTCTGATGCAGTATCTGAGCCCAAAGAGAAGGATGTCAAAGAACTCCATGAAATTGGGAGAAGTCTAACCGTCGAAGACATCAAAGAAAAACTCACCAAGGAAGAGAGTTGTGCAACGGAGCTTCAAAAGATATTAGCAGCGGATGAAACACTTACCGAGGTCAGTCTGACATTAAAACAAGGTGAAGTACTTTAAACATTCCTTAAATGTTGTTTTTTATTCATCATTGCAACCTTATCCATTAGCAGATAAAAGACACAGATGACATGCCCATTGAGAATCTTGAAGAAATATATCCCAATGATAATATAGAAACAGAGAAGGCAGGAGATCTCAATTGTGAGTCACAAGCACTTTCCACTGAAAAAGCACAGGAAGAAGAAACTAAGCAAACTGTTGAGAAGCCTGTTGACGTCACAAGCTCAGTAGCTGAAGAGTTCAAAGAAAAGATAAAAGAAGAAATCACAAAAGCAGCAGATAATTGTGACGATAGAACAAATACTGCACCAATAACATTGGAAAGAGAAGAAACAAGCTTAGAGGAAGTTCAGCTAGATGACAAGCTTGTAAGGGCCCTCGATACTACTTCAGATGATATGAGTCTACCACAGAGAACAACAGATGCTAACCCACATGATGAAGTAGCTGAAAGTGTGAAGCTTGAAGAAACCGCTGCCCTGGTGTCTCAACTAACTGCTACTGAATGTGAGATAGAAGACAAAAAAATTGTGATAGAAGAAACTCCAGATGCAGTTGAATTTGAGGCAACCATAACTTCTGATGCAGTATCTGAGCCCAAAGAGAAGGATGTCAAAGAACTCCATGAAATTGGGAGAAGTCTAACCGTCGAAGACATCAAAGAAAAACTCACCAAGGAAGAGAGTTGCGCAACGGAGCTTCAAAAGATATTAACAGCGGATGAAACACTTACCGAGGTCAGTCTGACATTAAAACAAGGTGAAGTACTTTAAACATTCCTTAAATGTTGTTTTTTATTCATCATTGCAACCTTATCCATTAGCAGGTAAAAGACACAGATGACATGCCCATTGAGAATCTTGAAGCAATATATCCCAATGATAATATAGAAACAGAGAAGGCAGGAGATCTCAATTGTGAGTCACAAGCACTTTCCACTGAAAAAGCACAGGAAGAAGAAACTAAGCAAACTGTTGAGAAGCCTGTTGACGTCACAAGCTCAGTAGCTGAAGAGTTCAAAGAAAAGATAAAAGAAGAAATCACAAAAGCAGCAGATAATTGTGACGATAGAACAAATACTGCACCAATAACATTGGAAAGAGAAGAAACAAGCTTAGAGGAAGTTCAGCTAGATGACAAGCTTGTAAGGTCCCACGGTACTACTTCAGATGATATGAGTCTACCACAGAGAACAACAGATGCTAAGCCACATGATGAAGTAGCTGAAAGTGTGAAGCTTGAAGAAACTGCTGCCCAGGTGTCTCAACTACCTGCTACTGAATGTGAGATAGCAAAAACTCCAGATGCAGTTGAATTTGAGGCAGCCATATCTTCTGATGCAGTATCTGAGCCCAAAGAGAAGGATGTAGAAGAGCTCCATGAAATTAGGAAAAGTCTAACCATGGAAGACATCAAAGAAAAACTCACCAAGGAAGAGAGTTGCACAACGGAACTTCAAAAGATATTAACGGCTGATGAAACACTTACAGAGGTCAGCCTGACATTAAAACAAGGCGAAGTACATTAAACATTCCATATATGTTGTTTTTTCTTCATCATTGCAATCTTATCCATTAAGCAGGTAAAAGACACAGATGAAATGCCCATTGAGAATCTTGAAGCAATATATTCCAATGATAATATAGAAACAGACACAGCAGATGATCTCACTTGTGAGTCACAAGCATTTTCCACTGAAAAAGCACAGGACGAAGAAACTAATCAAAGCGTTGAGAAGCCTGTTGGTGTCACAAGCTCAGTAGCTGAAGAGTTCAAAGAAAAGATAAAAGAAGAAAACACAAAAGCAGCAGAAAATTGTGATGATGAGATAGACACTGCACCAGTAACATTAGTAAGAGAAGAAACAAGCTTAGAGCAAGTTCAGCTAGTTGACAAACCTTTTAGGGCCCTTGATACCACTTCAGAAGATATGAGTCTATCAATGAGAACAATAGATACCAACCCAAATGGTGAAGAAGTTAGCACTGTGGAAGTTGAAGAAACCTCTGTCCTGGTGTCTCAAATACCAATAAATCAAAGTGAGATTGCATACAAAGAGGGTGTGATAGCAGAAAATCGAGATGCAGTTGAAATTGAAGAGACCAAAACTTCTGATGCAGTATCTGGGTCCATAGAGAAGGATGTCAAAGACACCCATGAATCTGAGAAAGGCCTAGCCATGGAAAACATCAAGGAACAGCTCATTGAGCAAGAGAGTCACACTAAAGAAGTTCAAAGGATATCAACGGCAGAGGATACAGTCAATGAGGTTAGCTTGACGTTTCCACAAGGCAAAGTACTTGAAACATTTCTTAAATGTTGTTTCTTCTTCTTCATATAATAATTTGGTTGCAATCTTACTTGTCAAATAGGTAAAAGCATCACATCAAGGACCCATTGAGAATCTTGAAACAACATATTCCATTGATAATACAGAAACAGAGAAATCGCTTGCATCAGACAATCTCAATTGTGAGTCAGAAGCATCTTCCAATACAAAAGCACCGAAAGGGGATATTATCCAAGGCACTGAGAAGGCTGTCAACGCCACAAGCTCAATAGCTGAAGAGTCTGAAGAGGAGATAAAAGAAGAAAACATTGAAGCACGAGAGACATTGGTAATAGAAGAAACAAGCTTAGAGGAAGTTAAGCTAGATGACAAGTGTGTAAGGACTGCCTTCGAGACCGCTACAGATGATAAGAGTCTAGCAATGAGAACAATAGACGGTAATCTGGATGGCGAAGAAGTAGACAATGTGAAGCTTGAAGAAACCTCTGGCCTGTCTCAAATACCAACAAATGAATGCCATATTGCAGATAAAAAGAGTATGAAAGCAGAAGATTCAGATGCAGTTGAAGTTGAAGAACCAAAAACTTCTACTGCAGTATCCGAGTCCAAGAGGGAGGATGTCACAGAGATCCATGATACTGGGAAAAGCCTTGCCATGGAAAACATCAAGGAACAGTTCATCAAGGATGAGAGTTGTACAACAGAACTTCAAAGGATATCCACGACAAATGAAACCACTAATGAGGTCAGCTTGATGCTCACACAAGGCAAAGTTGTCACACCCCCACCCCAAATCACATAGGGTGGGCGACGGACTGGCCACCGAGGCCTTAACCAACCAACCATGTGCATAATAAATGCAAAATACTGCAGAAGACAAAAAAATAATGTGATCCATTTCACCGACCTAATGAATACCAAATGAATAAACTAAACACCACTAATATCATTACTAAATTCATGTAAAACAATAATTAAACTATAAGGTTCACTACTCTAAACATAAGCAATATTATTCCCAAAACAATTAAACATTTGTGTCAAAATTAAAAAAAAAACTTATTCCTAAAGACCTACAATAAAATAATTTTCAATTTCTCTAATCCCTTGTCAATCTGTGAATTTACTCATCACCCTAATTCTCACCTGGAAAAAATGTTAAATATTTAGATAAGCACAATGACCCGTGAATAACAACCGCTTCTAATAAAGTGTGAAAATAAATCCCACAGTTTATATTCAAAAATAGTTTTGAAACACATATAAGTACAACAAATTGTACCCCAACCCCTCTCACATAATCATTTAAACAAAATAATCTCATGATCACAAATAACTTTATAAATGAAAAGACATTTATAACCCAAAACATTCACACATATTCAGTTCTAAATACATTTGTCAAATTATGTTTGTTATCACTAGCCTGCTAACTGACTCAATCTCTTGTTACCACTAGCCTAGTACCTGGCATAGTCTCTTGTCATCATTAGGCTGATGATGACTCAATCTCTTGTTACTGACCCAGTCTCTTGTCATCATTAGTCTGATGACAGGTTCATTCTCTTGTTACCACTTAGACCTGGTAACCCAGTTCCCGTCTCATAAACATGATTTGCGCACACCAAAACTGTAATTTTAGTCCTAACGCACACAAAATTTTTCATTTATCACCAAAATAATTATATGAAAGCATCCCACAAGTTTTCTAAATTCACATTTAGAACAGTTCATAATTTCAAAATATTTAATTGCAATCCCAAATATCAACACATATATAATATATATGAAAAATTCACACGCACACACCCATACATTTAATATAGAAAATCTTTCCAAAAGAAGTAATACACTACTCACCTTGATTCCTAAAATCCAATTCAAAACCCTCTTTCGCAACTGTCATGCAATCACCACCTAATCCAAAATAATATATAGCGATCAATCTCTATTTCTAACTTCGTCATTTCACGATTCTATATTTAATTTTTATACTTTCTACCCATTAATGTATACTTTATATATTTTTTACATAAAAATAATATTTTTAATGTGAGCTAACAGGGTATGGAAGTAATCTAGGCAGTTTATAAATTTTTTTTAAAGTTTTGGGGTCAAATCATAATTTTTGAAACTTTTAGGGTCAAAGTGTAATTTTTTTAAAAAACGAATTTTCTGTTTTCAAGGCTACCATAAATTTTTCATAATAGTATTTAAAGTTCTAAAGGCCTATTTTTTGAGAATACAACCTCAATTTGATTTATTAGAGTAACCATTGATTTTTAAACACTTAATTGAACCTTTTAAATGTCGTTTCTAAATTTTTAAAAAAATTCAAGACTTGAGAGTTGTTTTAAAACGACAATATTTGTTTCAAACAGATTGAGTCAGTTCTACAAATTACCAATTTTCATGGTGGTCAAAATTGAGTTTATAAAATAATAAGGGTCAAAATAAAGCTATTTAAAACTAAATGGGAGGTTTCCATAATTTTAGAATTTTTATCTACTTCAACCTTACGGAATTCCAAAAGCTTTGGTATGCAACTTTTTCTTTCTTTCCCTTTTTTCCAATATCTTCTTAACACAAATACCCACCATATTATGTTTGAATTTGCATATTTTAACTCTATCAATCTACCAATATAGATTACTTGCAAGATATAATAGACTACAAACTTGTATACGTGTACATATAATGATTAAATACATAATTTAATTTCAATATACAGACTAACTTTAATGATCAAATCTTCTAGTTTTCTTTCTTCTGCTCTAAATCCCCTTCTTTCTTTCTCTTCCTTTTTCTTTACTTGAAACTCTAGCCTCTCTTTTCCTTTCTCTTATTCTAACATGTGTGTAGGTGTAATTATGAAAAGAGAATATATATATTTATATATCAGTAGACTAGGGCAACAAAAGAACTCATTTTAATCACACTTTTATCCTTTTTTTTATTATTATTATTCTTATTTTATAGTTTCCCTTGGTAACCAATACACTAAATAAATTTTATTTTTTTTTAGCTTAACCATAAGACATCAGCGTACAACTAACTCTAAATTTCTAAATAAATTGTTCTCTTTTTATTTATCTATTTATTTATTAGATAGGTGCAAACGCATACCTATATTGGGCATCACAAAAGTACCTTTTTTTTGATAAAAAAACATTAATTTCAGTAATCATAAAAGGCCAAAAGTACAAAGATCATGTCGCAGTTAGGCAAGAATCCAAAACTAAGGCATGTCAACAAAAAAAAAATTGTGCATAGACCAAACTCTATATTCCACACGAGGCTGTCCAACTCGATATAATGCAAGAAAGAAAGAAATCTTCAAATTCTAGAGACGGAGGCCTAAAAGAAAGCCAAAAAATAAAGTCATTCCCAAAGTTCTTCAACCTCCTCCCATTTATCACCAAAAATCCTTACATTCATTTCCAACCAAATCACCCAAACAATTTACAAGCACGACATTAAAGGGTCCTCCACTTCCTATTCCCGCCCCCACTTACAACATCTAAACAGATCATCAAAAACATATTTCTTGGCACCGGCCAACAATGATCTACGAGTCTAAAAACTGATTCCATAGTGAGAATGAAATAGGACAACTTAAAAATTTATGATCAATACTCTCCCCATCACCTTTACACACAGCACACCACTGCAGTGAAAGACAAACCTTAGGTCTCCTCTTTGAAGTATGGGCAAAGTACTTTAAACTTCTCTTAAATGCTGTTGGCTTTTCTTCTTCGTATGATTATTTAATTGCAATCTCATCGGTCAAGCAGGTAAAAGACTCAGATCAACCACCCACTGAGACACTTGAAGCAGCATGTCCCAGTGACAATAAAGAAGCTGAGACATCATCGAGTGCAAAAGATCCCAATTGGGAGCCAGAAGCATATTCCATTACAGAATCATTAGCAGGAGAAATCAAGCAAGGTGTTGAGAATCCAGTTGACGTCACAAAGTCAGTAGCTGAAGAGCTGGAAGAAAAAATGAATGAACAAAACGCAGAAACAGCAGATGATAGTGATGACAAGATAAATATAACAGTGGCTAGGGAAGAAACAAGCTTAGTGGCTGCCCTCGATACTGTCACAGATGATAAGAGTCTAGCAATGAGAACAATAGATGATAACCCACATGGAGAAGAAGTAGACAGTGTGAAGCTTGATGAAACCTCTGGCCCATCTCGAATACCAACAAATGAATGTCAGATTGCAGATGAAAAGTGTATGATAGCAGAAGATTCAAATGCAGTTGAAGGTGAAGAACCAAAATCTTCTGCTACAGTATATGAGTCCAAGAAGAAGGATGCCAGAGAGATCCATGATACTGGGAAAAGCCTTGTCATAGAAAACATCAAAGAACAGTTCATCGAGGACGAGAATTGCACAACAGAACTTCAAAGGCTATCCAAGAAAAATGAAACCGTTAATGAGGTCAGCTTGAATGTCACACAAGGCAAAGTACTTTAAACTTCTCTTAAATGCTGTTGGCTTTTCTTCTTCATATGATTATTTAATTGCAATCTCATCGGTCAAGCAGGTGAAAGACTCAGATCAACCACCCACTGAGACACTTGAAGCAGCATGTCCCAGTGACAATAAAGAAGCTGAGACATCATCGAGTGCAAAAGATCCCAATTGGGAGCCAGAAGCATATTCCATTACAGAATCATTGGCAGGAGAAATCAAGCAAGGTGTTGAGAATCCCGTTGACGTCACAAAGTCAGTAGCTGAAGAGCTGGAAGAAAAAATGAATGAACAAAACGCAGAAACAGCAGATGATAGTGATGACAAGATAAATATAACAGTGGCTAGGGAAGAAACAAGCTTAGTGGCTGCCCTCGATACTGTCACAGATGATAAGAGTCTAGCAATGAGAACAATAGATGATAACCCACATGGAGAAGAAGTAGACAGTGTGAAGCTTGAAGAAACCTCTGGCCCATCTCGAATACCAACAAATGAATGTCAGATTGCAGATGAAAAGAGTATGATAGCAGAAGATTCAAATGCAGTTGAAGGTGAAGAACCAAAATCTACTGCTACAGTATCTGAGTCCAAGAAGAAGGATGCCAGAGAGATCCATGATACTGGGAAAAGCCTTGTCATAGAAAACATCAAAGAACAGTTCATCGAGGATGAGAATTGTACAACAGAACTTCAAAGGCTAACCACAAAAATGAAACCGTTAATGAGGTCAGCTTGAATGTCACACAAGGCAAAGTACTTTAAACATCTCTTAAATGCTGTTGGCTTTTCTTCTTCATATGATTATTTAATTGCAATCTTATCGGTCAAGCAGGTAAAAGACTCAGATCAACCACCCACTGAGACACTTGAAGCAGCATGTCCCAGTGACAATAAAGAAGCTGAGAAATCATCGAGTGCAAACGATCCCAATTGGGAGCCAGAAGCACATTCCATTACAGAATCATTGGCAGGAGAAATCAAGCAAGGTGTTGAGAATCCAGTTGACGCCACAAAGTCAGTAGCTGAAGAGCTGGAAGAAAAAATGAATGAACAAAACACAGAAACAGCAGATGATAGTGATGACAAGATAAATATAACAGTGGCTAGGGTAGAAACAAGCTTAGTGGCTGCCCTCGATACTGTTACAGATGATAAGAGTCTAGCAATGAGAACAATAGATGATAACCCGCATGGAGAAGAAGTAGACAGTGTGAAGCTTGAAGAAACCTCTGGCCCATCTCAAATACCAACAAATGAATGTCAGATTGCAGATGAAAAGAGTATGATTGCAGAAGATTCAAATGCAGTTGAAGGTGAAGAACCAAAATCTACTGCTACAGTATCTGAGTCCAAGAAGAAGGATGCCAGAGAGATCCATGATACTGGGAAAAGCCTTGTCATAGAAAACATCAAAGAACAGTTCATCGAGGACGAGAACTGCACAACAGAACTTCAAAGGCTAACCACGACAAATGAAACCGTTAATGAGGTCAGCTTGAATGTCACACAAGGCAAAGTACTTTAAACATCTCTTAAATGCTGTTGGCTTTTCTTCTTCATATGATTATTTAATTGCAATCTTATCGGTCAAGCAGGTGAAAGACTCAGATCAACCACCCACTGAGACACTTGAAGTAGCATGTCCCAGTGACAATAAAGAAGCTGAGAAATCATCAAGTGCAAAAGATCCCAATTGGGAGCCAGAAGCACATTCCATTACAGAATCATTGGCAGGAGAAATCAAGCAAGGTGTTGAGAATCCAGTTGACGCCACAAAGTCAGTAGCTGAAGAGCTGGAAGAAAAAATGAATGAAGAAAACACAGAACCAGCAGATGATGGTGAAGACAATATAAATATAACAGTGGCAAGGGAAGAAACAAGCTTAGTGGCTGCATTCGATATTGTTACGGATGATCAGAGTCTAGAAATGAGAACAATTGATGATAATCTGCATGGTGAAGAAGTAGACAGTGTGAAGCTTGAAGACACCTCTGGCCCCTCTCAAATACCAACAAATGAATGTCAGATTTTAGCAGAAGATTTAGATGCAGTTGAAGTTGAAGAAACCAAGACTTCTGCCAGAGTATCTGAGTCCAAGGAGAAGGATGCCAGAGAGATACATGATACTGGGAAAAGCCTTGCCATGGGAAACATCAAAGAACAGTTCATCAAGGATGAGAGTTGCACAACAGAACTTCAAAGGATATCCACGACAAATGAAACCATTAATGAGGTCAGCTTGATGGTCAGACAATACAAAGTACTTTAGACATCTCTTAAATTCTGTTGGCTTTTCTTCTTCATATGATTATTTAATTTCAATCTTATCGGTCAAGCAGGTAAAAGATTCAGATCAAGCACCTACTAAGACACTTAAAGCAGCATATCTCAGTGATAATAAAGAAGCTGAGAAATCATTGGCTGCAAAAGATCACAATTGTGAGCCAGAAGCATCTTCCATTACAGAATCATTGGCAGAAGAGATTAAGCAAGTTGTTGAGAAGCCAGTGGACATCACAAAGTCAGTAGCTGAAGAGTTCGAAGAAAAAATGAATGAAGAAAACGTAGAACCAGCAGATGATGGTGATGACAAAATAAATATAGCAGTAGCAAGGGAAGAAACAAGCTTAGTGGAAGTTCAGCTAGATGACAAGATCATTACTTCAGATGATATGAGTCTAGCAATGAGAACAGCAGATGCTAACTCACAAAGTGAAGAAGTTGACAGCATGAAGCTTGAAGAAACTGCTTGTTTGGTGTCTCAACTACCACCAACCGAAAGTGAGATTGCAGACAAAGAGCTTGTGGTAGCAGAAAATCCAGAAGCAATTGAAGTTGAAGAAACCAAAACTTCTAATACAGTACCTGAGTCCAAGGAGAAGGATGCTGAAGAGATACATGAAGCTGGGAAAAGCTTAACTATGGAAAAAAGTAAAGCACAACTCATTGAGGAAGAGAGTGGTACAACAAAACTTCAAAAGATATCAATGGCAGATGAAACAGTTGATGAGGTCAGCATTCATACCAGGCAAAGCAATTTAAACATTTATTAAATATGCTAATTTAGTTGCAATCCTTTTTGTCGAGCAGGTGAAAGACTCGGATCAAGTATCCATTGAGAATCCTGAAGCAACATATCCTAATATAGAGAAATCGCCAACTGCAGAAGATCTCAATTATGAGTCAGAAGCATCTTCCGCTGCAAAAGCACCAGATGAAGAAATTAAACAAGGTATTGGGAAGTCAGTCAACTTCACAAGCTCAGTAGGTGAAGAGTCTGCAGGAAAGGCAAAGGAAGAAAACAAAGAAACAACATATAATTGTGATGATGAGATAGATACTTCACCAGTGATATTGCTAGCAGAACAAACAAAATTAGAGGAAGTTCAGTTAGCTGACAAGCTTGTAAGTGTAAGGACCCTTGATACTACTTCAAATGATATGAGTCCAGAAATGAGAACAATAGATGCTAACAAACATGGTGAAGAAGTTGATAGTGTGAAGCTCAAGGACACTTCTGGCCTGGTGCCTAAAATGCCTACAACTGATTGTGAGCTCGCAGACAGGAAGGGTGCAGAAAATCCAGATGCAGTTGAAGTTGAAGTAAACAAAACTCCAGTCCCAATACCTGAGTGCAAAACACAGGATGTTGAAGAGAGTTGTGAAAATGGGAGAACCCTATCTGTGGAAAGCACTGATACATATAATGAAGAAGAAATCAAAAAAGTTCCTGAAACCATACTTAAATGTCAAGGTGTTGAAGCAATTCCTGAAGGTGATATTAGCCCAAATCAGACTTTCTCAGCTGAGAAAGTTGCACAACTTCAGGAACCATTGATTGCAATGGTTTCCAAGGAACAGGACTGTGATAGTAGAACCACAATTGAGAAGATAGAGGATGGGAGCACAAAGACAGATAAAATTCTATTGAGTGAGAATTCGGAGGATTCTTTTGCCACACGTACCAAAGAAGAGATAAACTTGCAAAAGGAAAATCCCAGGGAGCTTGAAGTTTCAAAATTGGAGCTTGAATTCATCGAAGAAATACACAATGACAATGCGCATGAAGCATCAAAAGAAGGAGGCATACCTCTGGAACATGCTACATATGTAGAGCCTCAAGAATACGTCTCCAATATTGAATTTGCTGATTCTCCATCAGCAAGTGAGAAAAGCTTGGAAGCCAGAAAATCCATGCACAAAAATTTGTATGAAACTTCAGAAGAAGACACTACAGAATCAGGGAACTTGAACAAGGAAACTGATGATTTAGACATTCCTCATTCAACTGACAAAGAGATTTTACCAGTCGATGTGAGTGAGAAGTGCGAAGAAGACGCCAATCACAAGATTCAGAAGACCAAAAAGTTCCCTGAATCAACGTCCGAGGTACCTAGTGCTGAAGAATTCCCCAAAACAGAAGAGAGAGAAATGAAGGAAAAGTATCTTGAGGCAGTGACAACCACATCTTCTGAAACAAATCAGTGTGAAAAAATAAATGAAGCAAATGAAAACATAAAGCACGGAGGTTCAACTGAAAAGGTGAGACAGTAATTAAGACTGGAAATTCCCCCCCCCCCCTTCTCTTTTTGCGTTGTTTTATATTTTAAGGCTATTAACTGAAGAGGATGAAAAACAGGTAATGGATAAGGAAGTTGCGGAGGACTCTCACGTATTGTTTCAGGAGGATAGAACGAAGTGCTACCAGGAGGATAAATTAGAGGCGCTAGAATACCGAGCAGACAAGACAAATCAAACATTTGAGATCAACGAGAATGCAATTGAAAGAAAAGAGGTCAGTGAATAAAATGTAAATCTTATTAGCATCCTTGTAATTCCTTTTTTACTGTAGATCTGAAGCTTTGTCAGAGAGACTTGAAAACGCTAATGCTACCAAGAATATGAAAACACAGAATACAGGTGAAGGCAAGGCTCTTGAGGATTCCTCCAAATACTTGGTTGGGGACAGACCAGTTAATGAGAGCCCCCCAGAAGAAGCAAAGGAAGTACAGAATGTTAATGAGTCACCAATTGAAGTAGACCTTAAAAAACAAGGAGACAAAACAAACTGTATAGATTCAAAGACAGAAGCTAGGGCTCTGAGTGAAGAGGTCAGATGATATACCTATCTACTATTACTGCAACTATATGTGTATGTGTTGGACAAAATGGAGCAGAAGGGTTGGGTAGTGGGGTGGGTGGATGGATCCACTATTGACAGGGTTCACTGCTCTCATACTAAGTAGTATATGCAAACCTCATGGAGACATGATCATGTTCCCAAATAAGGTAGCTAACAGGTAAGCAAATCTTCTTATGGAGGACTAGTATCGTTGAAGCCTATGGAGCCTTCATCTTCTCATCAGAAATAGTATTCAACTCCTGATACTGAAGAGTTCAGCAGGGGGAGGATTTCTTTTTTAATTTTTTGGCAAGGGCAAGCAGATTTCATTTTACTATATCTAGTGGTAGGGCTTTAAAGAGTAGCCGGTCTGTATGTTTCTAGGATCACCTTCTCCAACACAAATATTTTTGTTGATAATTTTTTGGAACATCAATACTCTATGACTTTTTTTAGCATTTTGTATTCACCATTCAATTTGGCATTAAGAGAAATATAATCCTGTTCGGTCAACAAGTTCTCTAATATAGTATTTTTAAGGCATAGAAATCTCTAAAACTTAGTTTTCATCATACACAATAAGGATAATACTCCCAATTCCCTATTCAAATTCTACTATCATAAATTCAAATATGTGGTACAGGTTAACAGCTCAGAAGCAGAGTTAGTAGATCATTATGAGAGCAGCACAAGTGCTCCAAATAAAGAAACAATCACAAATGAGGAAGTGCTGCAAAATACAAAACTGGAACACCCACCCATTACTGAAGCAGCGGCTGAAACAGTGCCATACGAAAAACTAGGTGAAAAGGAGGTGGAAGTCCCTGGACCTACTCCCAGAGAGCCAATTCACAAGACCTTCGAAACATATTCAGAAAGCCTCGTGGGTGATGAGAAGGCCAAGGACACAGTTTTTGAATCAGGTTTTGACGGAAGTGATGTTGAAATAGACAAGAATCTGACAGAGCAAGAAGTTTCTGCAGATGCACCGGTGAGCACACCAGGAGGAGGAAAAAGCATCAAAAATGAGGGACTGCATGTAAATGATCAGGTAAACAAAAATTGTAGCATTTATAAACCAAACAGATGGAATATACCCACTGACAGAACTTTACACCCACCTGTTCTGCAGGAATTAGCACAGCTTTCAATAAAGGGAGGTGAAATGCAGCTTGATGAAGCTGAGTCTAACAAAACAGTAACAGCAAGTGAAGATGGCGAAACTCAAGATCCAAATGAGAAGCTTAATGTATTATCTGAGACCATGGATTCAGGACTGGAGAAATCAGAAAAACAATGCTGCGTGGGTATTATTAAAGCAAGTGAAATCACTCAAGACATACAAAAGCTGGAGAAACACTCTCTTGCTGTATCAGATAAGCAAATTCCATTTGAGCCAGATCCAAATGAGAGGACGGAGGCCAAGATTTCAACAGGAAACAATGATTTCCTCCTTGTTCAAGATGACACTGCAAAAACATTCGAGGCAGAGATAGAAGATTCAAAACCTGGAAAAGCTTCAGATGCTGAAGCAGAAACCAAAGCAGAAGAATGTGTAACAGAGGAAACCCCTCTTGCTATATCAGATAAACAGATTTCAGTGGAATCAGCTTCAAATGAGAGCATAGAGGGCAGGATTTCAACTGGAGACAAATCTTTTGCGCTCGGGCAACAGGACCCCACTACGAAAACCTGCGAGGCTGAGATAGAAGATTTAAAACCTGGAAAAGCTTCAGAGGCTCAACCAGAAAACAGAGCAGAAGAATGGGGAGAAGAAAGAATAACACACGATGCGTGCGAAGAAACAACAGAAAAGTCCACACCAATGGATTCAGCCAAGTTTGCATCATCCGATCTCCTGCAGGAATCGACAAAAGCAACCTTGGAGGTGGCCGAACATGGACACAAGACTGAGGAGAAAGAGCTAACAATCAGCAATGAAAAACTGCAAGCTGATTTAACAGAAACAACTGAAGTTCAAGAACCAAAAACCGATGAAGAGAAAGATGAAGAAGATGAACACAAAAGGACAGACTCAGGCTCTGATGCTCCAGTCATGGTAGAAGCCTCAAGAGATTTGGATGTCAAGGTGGCTCACAAGAAATCCCATAATATACTTTCAGGTGTTGGATCAAAAGTAAAGCATTCAATCGCCAAGGTGAAGAAAGCTATCACTGGTAAGTCTTCTCATCCAAAGCCGCATTCACCAAAATAGAGCAAAAAAATAGGAGATCTATGGCGCAGTTAGAACAGCTCGATGGTTGGTCTAGTGCCAAAATACTCATGCACAATGAGCTTGTGAGTAGTTTCACGTTCTTCTTAGATTATTCAAGTTTGCGTGTGGTGTGTATTTGCCCAACAGGAAAAAGTTTAGAATCACTGCTGTACAAAGTTAGTTAAATGGTTGATCTGATTATAACATATTATCTACTTTCGTATTTGGCATATATTGGGTTCATCTATTTTTAGAGGATAAAAACCCAAAGGTGATTATGTTATATCAGTTTCATTATTTTAGACAAAGCATGCCAAAATGGAAGTTCAAAACAACAAATAGTGCCCAAAACTAGGGGCAGGCAGCATATGCAAGAAACCCCAAACGGCCATGCATGTGATGGGATCATAGGTGCCATGGTTTATCTTGAATCCTTGATAAGTACATAGAAATCAGAAATGAACCAACAAAGAGGCATGAATAAAATAAATAAAGAAAAATAACACAAGAGAATGACATTGATTTCAAGCTAGTGCCCAGCTGTCTGAAGGCATTGGCAAATTTCAAGATATTTAATAGAGAGTAAACTTAGTGTGGCTGCAATAAACGACTAACTTTTAAACTGTATGTTGCAAAAGCAGGTTTCATGGGAATATAAAACCAAAAAAAAAAACCTACCTCAAAAAATGTTTTCAATTCCACAGCCCAGCCCTCGAATAGTCCAATATGGTCTAGAAAGCAATATAGAAAAGGCAGAAATACTGAACCCCTTATATTATACAAAAATTTCCAGAAAATGAGTATTTCACTTACATCCGTGTCTGTGTCACTGCAAAAAAAAAAATGATCTACCAAAGTTGCTAGTAGAAGATCAATTTGCTCATTGTGTGTATCCTAAATGACTGTGTTATCTTCAATAGCAGATAGTATACCTCGCATATACATGGGTTGCACTTGCACCCCTGCCTTTTTTGGCGTGTTCTAGACCTGTGGGGGATTAACTTAGTGGAAATATAAAACTTATGTGCCTAGGAATAATACCTGCATGATCCTTCAGATTCTGCCTTTCGTAATATTATGCATTTATACCGTACCACAATCGTAGTGTGATACTAGAGGAAAGCAAATTCATCCTCAAGTAGCGTCCTAATGTGATCAAACTTACGAAAACACAAACTCACAATCCAATCAAACTTACGACGCCGCTATTGCAGTGTTGAAAATTAGCAATCGAAACATAGAAAAACACAAAAAATCAATCAAATAAAAAAGTTAATAACAGATTCAACGGAAAATGCACATCAAGTATTCATTATTAGATTCCAACGATTATCCACAACAAGCATTCACTATCGACCAGCAAACAGAACGAAACATCACCAGGAAAATGTATATAGTTGCTTGTGTACGGGTGAGAGAGAGAGAAGTGGAAACGAACCTCGTTCAGTTGTTGCGTAACGCATTACGGACGGAGATTGTCTAGCTCTGTTTCGAGCTCGGAATTTACAACCTTCCACACCAGGACTGAAGCTCCGGCCAAGAGTAGTAAGACCGTTGGCTCTCTTGGTTGGCGTGAGCATTTTATGCAGTGCAGGTTATGAGGACATGATGGTCAATTCGGCATAGAACCACGTTTTTTTTCATAAACATATCTCCGCCTTTTGAAGGAATATCACAATAGGGTGCTGTTGGGCCTTGGCCCATTTTCCAAAATGGAGCGTCTGTCCCGTCATACGTAGATATTTCATTGTAGGGTAAATTGTAAAAATGTATATCAAATTAGATTTATTTAGTAAAAAATACACATTAAAAAATATAAAGTTATTAAGTACTTAATTTTGATACTTATTTGTATTCAAGTACATAATTTGAATTAATCTATTTTTATTATGACATTTTTACCCTCCATTAATTCATGTGTATTTAATGCACCACTTTTCAAATAAAAATAATGCATTAAACATCTCCTAATGTTATGAGATAACTTTAATATATATATATATACATGAATACAAATTTTGAAATTCAAACAAATACAAATTTTGAAATTCAAACAAGTATATATATATATATATATAAATACTTATGTATGTATGTATATACTTGTTAAATCTCTTATATAAATTTTGAATTATCTTACGATGCACCTTGATTCGTGAATTTTTCTTTTTAGAAAGTGATTTTATTTTCAAATTAATTTAATATCCGAATAGTGTAATAGTGTAACAATAATAATGTAACAGTATAACAATAATAGTGTAACAAACTATTTACACAAAATATTGTATTATTACATTTTGTCAAACATATAGTTTCATATAATTTCATTCAAAATAGTCCATCTCTATTTTTAATTTGTTACCATATACACAAAATTACTGAACATTGTTTTTGTTACACTATTATTATTATACTATTACATTATTCGGATATTAAATTAATTTTAAAAAAAATTATTTAAAAAAAATGTTTGAATCTAGGTGCATTAAATATAATTTGAAAACAAAATCACTTTTAAGAAAAAAATACGCATGAATCAAGATGCATTAAAGATAATTCAAAATTTAAATAAGAGATTTAACAATAAATATATATATATATATATATATATATATATATTAATAAATACACATGAATTAATATGTATTAAATACATATTTATATGTATTAGCAAACACACATGAATAAAGGTGCATTAAAGATAAGAGATTTTGAATTAAATGACCTAAAATGGGTATTTTTTAACTCATATTTTATTCTATATACTTTTTGTCAAATAAGTCTAATTAAATGTATCGATTTTCAAATAACCTTTTGTTGTATCGAGAAGACATGATCTGACGTCGGGTCCCATTTATTTGTCTATATGCATTGCATTTGCTAAATGTATAGAAGTAGCAATGTTATACATATCTAATTTATTAGAATTATTAGATTAATTATAAGTTTTAATATTTATTGAATTCACTTTGAATTTAATAACTATAATTAATTGAATTTCTATATTAGTTTATCAAATTAAAATTAAATAATATTTTTTGTAAAAATAAAGTGGGACTTGATTAGGATTCAATTGTGGGTGGAGTAGAGTTTAGTATTTAAGTTGGGTGTATGTCTAGCTAAATTGACTTAATGCGCTTATAGTTTATTAAGTGAGCCTCTCCACTACAAATTAAATTCAAATAACATTTATTACATAATAGAGAGGGGGTTGAAGGTAAAAGCATTCATCTTATCTTACGAGTATGAATTATAATATTTCATATTTGTATCAAATATTTTGTAGATAAATTTTTTTTTGGTCTATCCAACCAAATTAAGTATATTATTACTATCCGAATTTCGTTAAAAACAATCGGATAAAAAGTTGGATAGGAATCGAATGAACATGCATTTTTTAGTTATTAATTTTTTAATTATTTTAATAATTTAATTAAATAACATGCACTAATTAACTAACACAATAAATCAATAATACTAAAAAAAACACAATAAATTTGATAATACATAAATAATTGCAATAAAACACAATAAGAAAGTCATAAATATCAATAAAATACTTGAGTTTTTAGATTTTAGGATTAACATATATATATATAGTAAACGAAAATTTTATATGTATTATATATTCTTACTCGTTTTTTTGCGAAATACCAAATTTTTTTTTGTTAGTTTACCCAAATTTTTTGTGTAATCGATCAATAAAATCGGATAAGATAGGATAGAATCAGAAGTTGCGAATAATTAAAAATTTGAACACCCTCCTTGCAGGTGGATGCCCAATAAACATTTTGTTGTGAGTATAGTGGAGATGTGGGAGGCAGGAGCTATATAATGTAAAAAAGGAAGGTAAAACTGTCATTTATTTAAAAAACAAAAAAAAAAACCTTTAGACGGCATCAACAATTTTTTAGTTGTCAGTATCTCACGACAAGGGGGTTGTCGAGGGAAATATATAAATTGAAGAAAAAAAATATATAGTGAGAAAAATGATAGTGTAGAGTGAGTGGGTAATTGTAACACTTGAATTTTTTTCATTAAAACTCTATCAATTGATATATTATAACGTTAATAAATTAAATCAAATAAAAATAAAATAATGTAGAAGACTCGCAATGAAGTTTTTCCTCCTCATGGCGGATTATTCAAGGTCGGTTTAGATAGGACTGAATTCGAGTTCGGTTCATATTTAAAATGAATTAAGGTTGAATAATTTTTTAAACCCGTTTAAAGCCTAAAATACTCGGCTCGAGTTCAGTTCGTTTCTATGTAAAATAGTAGAATTACTCGAGCTCAACTCAAGTTGGGTTTGATTTGAACTCGAGCTCGATTCATTTTATAAACGAGTTAAATTTAAACAATTTTTTAGATTATTTAAAAAAATGAGCTTTATAAATTCGAATCTCTCAACCTCAAGCAAGTGAATTTAGATTTAGCATTATTTGAACACTCAACTTTAAAGTTGAACGACGACGGCAGTTACCTTTAAGACAATATTTAATGGCACATGTGTTTGATCCACCCGACTCTAACTTGAATGAAATTTAAAAAATTATAACTTAAATACATATCACTTTTAAATAAATAGATCCCATTAATTTTTTTTAGTGAAACTCATTGACTCTACCCTCATTCATTCAAAAAATAATATGTATTTAAATTTAAAATTTAAAATTTTATTTAAATTATGTAACATTTTCTTATTATTAAACTTTGTACGAAAAAAATTCCAACAAATAACGAGGAAAAACCGAACGCCGAAAAACAATTGGGCAATACCGCCAATATGTTGCCAAATAAAAATTTCAAATCGCGCGCCATATCGTACGACTATCCTCGCGCCAAGTCAAATTCTACAAAATACACTACACAGAACCTCTCTTCTTCCTCTATCTCTCACAGACACACACAATCAGTCATGCAGACGGAGAGCTCCAAACGTCAATCCTTCTTCCAAGACACCAGATCAAGAGAACTAAATGGATTCAGAGGTACCTATCGTCTCTCATATGTACATATACCGTTGACTGATTACTTTTTTTTTTCTCTACATATTTTATGTTCTATTGATCCATTCAATCAGTGAGGAAACGACCATATATTGCCGGTGATTCCTCGGAATTCAATCAAATTGGAGCTGTCTCAATTGAACACACCGGCGACCACTCACCTCCAATGGCTCTCTCTTTCTGTAAGGTATAAAACTAGGAAAGTCGCATATAAGCGCACTGACCTACACATAAGTTAAGCTGACCTGAAAATTATCCATTGAGTTGTTAATTTTAATTCTGCAGACAAGCAAAAGTTCCCACGTAATTGCGGTGACTGATGAGGATGGTTATGTAAGCTTATACAATACTCGTTCAAAGTTTCCATCTTCCTCAACTTATCAGCAAAATGCAGGTAAAAATTAATCTAACTAGGTTTGCTTCTGGGAGTGATTAATTAACATTTCTATTTCACCATTTTCTTTAGTTTTAGTGTTTGATTTACTTGATAAAATCTGCAGAAAAAGCTAGGATATGTGAATGGATTGCTCACGATAATGCCATATTCGACATATGTTGGATCAAGGTAATTCTTCTAAGTTTCATTTGTCAATATTTGCAAATTGTGTCGGCTTCACCGTTATGTGAAATCGAGTCATCGTTACTATAACTTATAACCACCCAAATTTCCTGAAGTTGGTGCTTTTATTCAACCTATAACTGTCTAAAGTATGATGATTTACATCATTCGTTCTGATGAACATATTAACATATTTTCATGGAACTGAAGTTTTCCATTCTGGTAAGAGTAAAGTTGTTATTAGAGCTTATTTGATGCATTCATTAATGGCTATCCAAGCAGCTGATTGACCATTGTTACATTTTGCAGTAGATGATGAGATGTGTTGTATTTTCATTTGTGAACTGCATCAAAGAAGGTTATTAATTGAAAAGGGCTATAATATGCAATTAGCAAAATGCCAAAATCCCTGCAGAGATGGTCACCATACGTAGAAATGAAGGCTTAATGTGCATGAAAGCAAGTCAGCTCGTTAGAAGTGATAGAGAGGGGTGTGATCTGCAATTTCAGTTTTTCTAAATTGACATCTCCACACAATTTCAGGATTAACATGAAAATTGTGTCCAATCCGGTTCTACAAAACAACCCATGGCCTATTTACCACACGGAAGGTGCCTAATTAGTTATGTGATATTAGGTGTTACCAATTTAAATTTACATATTCAGTGTTCAGAATTTTGATCAGGACGATATGAATAAGTTCATTGCTTTCAATTGATTGAAAGGGCAGGCACTGAATTAGGGTTTACAATGAAAAGGGGGACACTTTTGCCAAAAACATGCAGAGAATAGAATAGTAAAGATATGATAAATCAGAGCCTAAATGAGTGTTTATTTTTGTTTTTTCTTGTACTGTAATTTCACATTAGTTGGGATCTTCAGTATTAATAATAAACATAACTCAACTTTTTGCAGGAAGACACCAACATTTTAACAGCTTCAGGTGATCAAAGTGTGAGTACTTATGCTAGATGTTTCCCCAAATAGCATTTATATCTAATCAAATAATACAAATTGACCAAAAAATGAATTGCATTAATTACAATTCCTTTTCAAAATTGCTGGTTTTACATTCATTGGCTGTTGGACAGATAAAAGTATGGGATCCGCAGGAAAAGAAATGTGTCGGGGAGTTGATGGGGCACACAGGAAGTGTGAAATCTCTCTGTTCTCATCCAACTAATCATGGTAAGTCTATGCTTTGGTTGTCTTGATTTTTTACATTTAATTATTCTGTTTCCCTGTCAGTTAAAAATGAAGGATAAATTGTTACAATTTATTAATGTTGGTGTTTGTTGCTGTCCAACAGATCTCGTTGTGTCTGGTTCAAGAGATGGGTCCTTTGCTCTATGGGACTTGAGATGCTCTAGAAAGGGCCATGTAAAGTTTTACGCAGCGTAAGATTTACATTCCCTTGTTATGGTTGAGTGCAACAGGATAGTGATACTTTAAAACACTGTTACATATTCCCTTTTTTGAATAGGACAATCAATGATGGGTTGCCCATTAAATACTGGAATGGACATGAGTATTGAAAAATCAGATTTTGGATACTTCAATCTAATTTTCCATTTCCTTTTCTTGTGCAGGCCAATTGCTGCGGTCCAAGGGGCTCACATTTCACCACATGGAAAGCGAGTCAGGCGTGTCAAGGTATATTTGCCGATACTGTTCATCTTCTTCGTATTATATTCCACTGTTTCTTGAAAGAAAATAAATAAAGCTTAATTTGTTTTAGGCAGCTTCCAAGAGTATTACATCAGTTCTTTATCTGAAAGACGAGGTCTCCATTGCTACAGCTGGAGCAGTTGACAGGTGCATGAGAAATTTTATCATGTTTCATGATATTGAAGAATGAGTTCTCTCTTTCAAAAAAAAAATAAGTTCTTACGGTAGAAGCTCTACCTAACTGATGACTGTATTATTTTAGTCCTTACCCTTGTTTGATTAATTAATTTCAGTGTTGTAAAGTTCTGGGATACAAGGAACCTAAAAAGCCCAGTTATTCAGGCATGCCCACTTCCTGATACGTCCTCTTGGAAGGTAAGTCTGGACTCTGGATATGTCCAAGAAATGATTATCTGCATTTTTTTCATTCTGTAGATGGAGGTCTTCTCATGATCGAGTATTAAATCTGGATAATGAAATTCAATGTCTTCCAGCTGAGGCATTGTCATTATCAATCCTCGAATAAATACTTTATAATAATTGTGATATTAACCATAACTCATCCTTTGTTGTCCAGGGAAGAAGATTACATGGCATATCTAGCTTGTCTCAGGATTCAAATGGAGTGTTTATTTCGGCTTCATGCATGGACAATAGGTATCCTCAGGTTCTTTGACTACCACTTTCTTCCCATAGATGCATAGACTTCCACACAGGAGTTCGTTCTCTGAAAATTTTTAAAACTACCATGCCTTGTCCACTCTTAGTAAGCAACTAAGTATTCAACTTACTAAACGACACTGAGTTTGAGGATGCCTTCCCAGTTTTCACCAGCCCTTTGCTCAAAATTACAGATATTTGTTTCTTATAGAAATTATAATTAGTTTCAAATGGATATTTAAATTCTGATATCTTGTTGTATCAGGATATATCTATACAATGTTCTTCAGCTTGAGAAAGGGCCTCTCAAATCTTTCTCTGGATGCCAAATTGAATCATTTTTCGTAAAGGTATGCACCGTTTATATGGCCACTAGATAAGTACTTCTACGGCAGGACTCCTGCCCTGCTTATTTGCATAATAATTTTTGTTGATGTGGTTGCAGTCGGCTATGAGCCCTGATGCAGCTCATATTCTAAGTGGTTCTAGTGATGGAAAAGCATATCTATGGCAGGTAAGTTTTTCTCCTAGAAGTGTTTTTTTTTGGTTTGCTATTCTATTGCTTAACTTCACTAGCTATGCCAAACCAGGTGGACAAACCCGAAGCAGATCCGATTGTACTGAAAAGTCACGATGGAGAAGTTACAGCAGTAGATTGGTAGTTTTTCTGAGCCAATTTCTGTATGTCTAAGGTGGGCCTTCAAAAAATGTAGCCGAAATTCTAATAACTTCTCCTCTGCAGGTGCCCATGTGAGATAGGGAAAATAGCAACTTGTTCAGATGATTTTACGGTAATCTATAGTATTCAAATAAGAAGAGGCAACATGTTTCATCATGTTATGTAATCATTTTTGATATGGTTTGCTGCATTGTCAGTTATACGTTTATTTGTTTTTGAAAGCATCTTATCTTTTGGAAATCTTTGTATGCTTAGGTTCGTTTTTGGAACATCCACAGCAGTTGTTATGCAAACACAAGATCTCCATCTTCCATTCAGAAAAGGAGAGTAATGGCACTTCCAAGTAGGGAGTGTAGAAAGCTATTGGTGGACGAAGAACTAACCGGTCTCAGGAAAGATTCAGAAGAATGTGCTTCAGATGATGTATTATGCCAAAGAGATTCACCCAACACAACAACAATGCCTGAAATCAGTACTCCTAAATCCCAGAAGAAAACATTTGCATCAGGTTTTGAAGTGGAACAAGCCTTTGAGAAAACTCCTGAAGCTGAACTAAACAGCCCTTCTTCTGTTCTTAACCCTCCTTCATCTTTGAAAAGAAGAACAATTCGAGATTACTTTTTGATGGCTTCATAAGATCTAATGACTTCTTTCCAAGTTTTGCTTAACGGAGATTTGTATTTAAGAGAATCCACCAACCTGATGAGTTAGAGGAGATTGTGGACAAGCCATTTTTCAGATGCACATCAATTACAACGTAAACTAACCGTGGGCTCTGTAATTTTGCAGGTTTGTATTTTACATGTAAAGAAGATAGAGACAGTATCTTTACTGAACTATATTATCTACTGTTAATTCTTTGGTCCTTTCCCTTTGACCTAAAATATTCATTTCATGTTATCTCATGCAGAAGTATCTGAGTGGTATGGATTTACACAACTCTTGGCATCCTTCAAGAATTTCAGGCTAGGAGTTTTATTTGATTCATATCACAAAATTCTTCCCAAAAAACTCTAGTTTTGGAAGAGGTCTTAGTTAGAAATGTCAGAAGCTTTGGTTAGCTCATTCCCTTTATTTAGATTAGGGTTAATTAGAAAATATCTTCTTCAATTTTGGGTAGTTTACTATTCACTCTTTAAAGTTTTAATTTTAATAAATAATCTCCTTTAAATTTGAATATTTTGTAATTAACACCAATAATTAATTTTAGATTATAAAAAATAACAAAAGTTAGACATTAGGAATTGAGGTGATCTTTACTTTATTGAAAAGACATAACTATTCTTGTATGTGTGTGTATGCGCACGTGTTCATGTTGTATAGAGGTGGAGGCAAAGGTGAAGATCAACATGTTGTGTAGCATGTTTGTATTGAGTTAAATGAATGTATTATTGTCTTGGGCTTTTTTTTTTCTTTTTTTTTCATGGACAAAACTAATATCTCAAGAAAAAGATATATAAAAATTATTGTACGGTGGGTATAATAGTACTCTCATGAGATCGGTTACTATTGTCAATCAAAATTAAGTCCACTTGTGAAACTTGGAGAGGGCATATTGAAGAATTTGAAACCACAGAGAGCTAATTGCAACAAGGAGCATAGTTGGAAGGGAGAAATTGTAATTAACCTTTAGATTATTTAGCTGTCGAAAATATTTTGAAAAACTGCATAATGTTTTTCTGATGGCCGGTTGCTTTGAGATTGAAGTTAGACAATGAAATGCAATCCACTCATTTCCTAAGCATATACATGCACCATTGAACAAAGTAGTTAATTATTTATCATGTTTGCAATGTATTTGCATATACTTACATGATTGAACGTTGAAGGCCAAATTCAATCAAAATGATGTTAAGTAATTGCTCTTCAAGAACCCCCAATCACAATAATATTAGGGGCACATTTGAATGAGTTCTGTATCAGATGAATTATTTTGGCTATACATAAGATGAAACTTCAACAACACCTATACCATTTCTCATGATCTCTGCAATCAACAGTCTATACAAATACATTTTCACAACAGAAATTCAAAGATTAAAAATGAAATGTAATTAACAAGTGGAATTACAGACCGTACCAGAGGAATTAGTCAGCGCAGAGCTCTTCCAGTACCAAAAATGAGGATCTGCCCAAAACAAAAACAAAAACAAAAAAAAGGTTCGAGTTAGGCTTATACAATACTTTTTTACCCAATATTAGGAAGAAACAAGTTTACAAAATACATCAGCAGAAAAATGAAAATGTGAACACACCCAGAACCAACTTCATTTATGTATTCTTTTTTCCTATTTAAACAGTCCGAAGTTCAGCACCAGCTTGTAAGTCTGTTGATGACGAAACATGTAAAAGCTCTATCTATAATTCACTTTGTGTTTTTCCCTTTCAATTTACATGCGTGTGTTAAAAACACACTTCTTTTGGGTCTCAAAAGAATCTACAATTACATAACCATGTTCAACAGTTTGACAGCAACAGTTATTAGAGGCTTTGAAATTAGTTATGCAATCCGTTTCATCCACACATTCCACCATGCCAATTATTTCTATTCGAGTGCATCAACCTCAAAGTTATATTAGCTGTCCTAAAGAGGTCAAACTATGAGTAAAGGTCATAACTAAGAAACAGTTCCAGCAATATCACTTGATGAGCAAATCAGCTACAAGAAAGAGATGGTGCATAGCATTAGAAACGCCTTACAATCTTGAGTGACAAGCACTCTTCTCCATCAGGAGATTTGGTGTATGCTAGGCTCTTTTGTGTGTACATAAAAAATAACTGAACAATGTTTAATGCTTCTAAATTTAGATATGAGCAAAATGCCCATATATTCTTTCTAACAGTTGGATGTGTTCATGTTTTACGCAACTATTAATATCCATGCCAATTTTATTATTCTTTTATTCTCCACGTATGAAATCCAATGGTTGCTCTTAATTCATGTCTCTTGGCTAACCCCCTCAAGACGCTCACTCCTCCCCCCCCAACAAGAAAACAAAAACGAAAAACCTCAACAAACATGACACAGGCCAAAAAATTTATTAAGTTCCTTGGCTCAACGTATTGATATGGTTTTCATGTGGGTGAAGCTCATGGAATCACATAGCCTGGCATAGTATGAATATACATAATACTCAGAGGGCACCTACAGCATGCAGGAGCAGTTCATAGAGAATAGCCTGGCAGCAAGATGTTTATTTATCTTTGAAAAAACATTTTCAAAGCAAACAAACTTCAAATTCAGTGTCAGTGCCTGTCAAAATCCGATACGACGCGATTAATTAACACAAATTAAACGGGTTTGAGCGAGATCTTAACTGGTTTGGGTGATACACAGGTTGACCCACCAAACACATTTAATAAATGGGTTATGTTTGAGTGAGACATGTCAAACCGTTTATCACACGTTTATCCGTTTAAATAGAATTAATATAATAATAAAATTAATAATTAATTTTAAAAAATTAGCCAAAAAAAAAGAAGTAAAAAAATCAATACAAAAAAAAAGAAAGAAGAAGTAGTAAAGTAGTAGTTTAAAGACAAAAGAAGAGAGATGAAGAGCAGTTCAAAAACAAAAGCAAACCAATGCCTTTTGTTTTTGTCCCACATCGGCAAATGAGGGGAGATGGGAGGATTGACTTACCTATAAAAAGTAGTGGCCTCTTATTTTTTTTTTTAGCCTTTAAGTTTGATTTTTATGTGAGATTTGATTAAAAATTCTTCTTTTTTGAGGTAATTATAGTTGGTAGTAAAAAAAAGTGGATATTAAAATTTGTTGATATAATTTTTTTAAAATTAAACGAGTCGTATTGTGTTACCCGTTTATTAAACGGGTTGTATTCGTGTTAAAATTTTTCACCCGTTCATTAAACGTGTCGTGTATGGGTTTATATGTTTTTCACCTGTCACCCGTTTAACCTGACATGCAACTGTTTAACCCGACACGTTTGACACCCTAAGTTTCAGTAGCATTATCTTTAATTTATAGAAGGTTAACGGATGAACATAAAAATCAACTGACCTTTTTGGAAATAATCCTCACGGTTTTATTTTCTACTGGATGATATAAAGCTCTTGTTTAGCTATGAAGTAGCGGCCAATGACATTCCCAGGTTCAATAATGAACTGCTCTTGAAATGTTCCCATTCGCTTGCTAGGTATATCAACGGAAAGATCTTTAAAATTCGGCAAACCTTCAACTTGTACACCATCTCCACATATCAGGAACTGATTCCCAACAATAAATGATCCTGAGACACGAATTGCAACTCCATCTTGACCATGAGCACGGCACTGAAGTTTTTCCACAACGTGCACAAGCTTTTCAGGAGGCCATTCACCAGCCAACGTACTTCGAATATTTGACAAAGTTGTAAAGATATCAGGTGGGCCAACAGATTCTTTCCCAGAGAAACTAGAAACAATAAAATTTTATCAGAAGAGGAAGCTCAGATCATGCAACAATACTAAAGGCCAAAAACTATCCCATATATGCAATTTGGTATATTTTAAGTGAATGACTACCATTTAACCAATGTTTTTATCTTTCTCAAGTAGAAGGTTTAATCCCAAGTACTAAGACTAAATACTTGCTTTCCCTTTAAAAAACATAACCTGGAAAGAAGAGTCATTAAATACTATAGTACCTGAAAATTGAACATTCGTTATATAAAGCCTTTGTATATTGCCAAAGGTCATCAGGTCCATCAAAAAGAAGGTAATAATGTATTGTCAGCATCTGGTCAAGCAAAACACAAGTAAAAGCAGAAGTGATTACTCAATCACCATAAATAGTGGAGAAAAATATGTAAAAATAGTCATGGGAACTTAATGATTTCGATAGTCCATTAATGAGTATCATCTAATTGGGATGATTAAAATAGAGGCAAAATTCCTAGCTATACATAAGGTCGTGTATACATTATGCACCAGTAAGCAAAAAAATTTGATCACAATAATCATAAATAATTTGGCGCATTACTCCATTCCAAGAATGCTTCACTTATTTATCTCCAGTTTAGAGAAGCTGGGAATATAGAAAGGTCACTGGATTAAGCTTTGAAATACAAAAGAAGGGGTTCAACCTTCAACAACACACGTGTAATTATTCTCTTGCTCATTCATTTACAAAGTTTAGATAGTTGTTCGTGCAAATTGATGGGCAATCAATAAGTGAAACGAGTTATTTACTTACATCTGCCAAATCCTTCATCCTCTGTGTTGGATCAAAAATGCTTCGGACAAATGCAGCTAAGTCCACCCCAGCATCCTCATACTTGGTGATAAATGGGTGTGAAAGAAGCTGCAGTGAAAGGATAAAAACATTACACGATGCCAGTTCAAACTTAAGTCCTTTAAGAATAAGATCAGATGTGAATTGGCATTAGCATCTGGACACAAGTGAGAAACTGGCATAGGTTATCTATTCAAAATTTGAAAAAAACTTGAGATCCTATTCTACTTGCTACCATGCAATTATGCCAACTTGGTTAAATATAAAGCCTGACCTGCCTAGATTTATCAGGATAGGCCAATTTAATGTTGGAGTGAACTTCAATAGGCACGAATTAAACTGATCAAAATCAAGCTGAGTTCAGGGTGTGGGATAATAATAGTGTGTCAGCATGTTTTGAAATGATCAATTCTCGAAATGTGCAAATTCGAATTGTTTATTAATGATCATCCCTAAAAGGTAAGTTCTCAGCTGTTCCTGCACTTTAGACTAGGTTTCAACCTTATCAAATGTCAAATCCAAGTTAGAGCCTAGGGCCTTCTCTAGTTCCTAAGTTTTTAAAAATCCATGTGATCCTTGCATATTGGGGTACAGAGCAGGATGAAAAGGTGTTGACCTGCACCAACTGATAACAAAAAATATACATAACGAATAAAGGTTAAAACAGTTTAAATTTAAGAAAATCCAATGGAACAGATATTCGGATATTCATTTGGATTGATTTCATACTTATTCAAAAGTAGAATAGTTTGAAATTTGATAATATTATAAGAGAGATGTCCTCTCATTAAAAGGAGATGTCCTCCCTAGTAGTTATTTTAAAAATTCAATGGAATTTTTATCATGTTACTTCTTGCTTCAAATCAATAAGCCTTACAAAAAAGGAACACCTTTCCAAAGGTTGAAATAATGTAACCTCATTACTAAAATCCCATAATTCCTATTCATAATGTTAAGGAAGCAAATGGACTCACTAACGCTCCTAGATCCTACTTAAAGCTCAATGGAATAATCCCAATTCTGAGTCAAGGGTGTCTAAAAGCCCAATAATTTCATATTTCATCTTTAATTAATCTTGCAGCAAATATCCACCTTTGCTCACCTGCTCTGCCGTTGGCCTTGCATCTGCATCTTTCTGCAGGCAAGCATCAATAAATGAACAAAACTCTGGAGTAAAGTTGTGCTTTGATGGTGATGGAGATGCATCATCCAGGATCTGCCATAATGGAACCATTATTTGTATTTAGCAGAAATAAAAACCCGAAATGTAGTAGAAAAAATTAACCATAGAATTAGCATTTAGAATCATAGGAATGTGATGGCATCATATCGCACCTGAAGCAGGAAAAAAATACACAGCATGTAGATAATGAAAATATTATGATTGTCCTACTAATGAGTTTGACACATCCATCGTATGAATAATCATCAAAATTTATCCACTGCTCATGGATGCCAATTACACCCTAAAAATTCATTTGGCACAAACTTGCCGAGCCTTATATAATAATAGCACATCTATAAAAGTTTGAACCTCACAAGTTAAACCACTTGTTTTTCAAAAGGACATCATGTACAAAATTAAGTAGAGAATGAATGAAGGCAATAATAAACCAAGAAAATAGAAAAAAAAATCATGTATAAAATTACATCGAGAATAAATTATATGTAATACACGAGCCCTGCAAACAATGAAATCCCACCTGCAACATTAGGTTTACAGGTCCTTCATTAGCGGTGTATGGAAATTCTCCCGTGCCACACTCAAAAAGTGCAAGCCCAAGGCTCCAAATATCAGCCGGATAGGAATAATTCTCATTTCGAATTCGCTCAGGTGACATGTATGTAACAGTTCCAACAAAAGTAGCACACTGGCAAATACAATTTAGAGAATTTAGAAGAAACTGATCCAACATTTGAGATGCATCTTATATTGCATTTAACTTATTAAAAATTGAAATAACAGTAGGAACAATATCACAAAGCATCGAAAAACATGACATCCACTACTTACCATTGCCATTGAATTCTCTAATCCAGCACTTATACCAAAATCTGTTATTTTTGGCTCCCCCTTGAGATTTACAAGCAAATTTGCTGGCTTTATGTCTCTGTGAACTAAATGTCTTACTCCATGCAAATAACTTAGACCCTAGTGGAATAATACAACACATGTTAAACATAGCTGGAAAAAGAATGCTATATAAAGAGAAGAACACAATATAACCCAAAGAAAACATGTTTTTTATGGGCATACTCACATGCAAGAGCTTCTGAACCATACATGAAAGAACTGGTTCTGGTATACAGTTTCGCACGCATATAATATCCGCTAGAGACCCTCCATCCATGTACTCCAAAGCTATGCTTATTTGTCCAGATTCTGGAGTATAAAAAGCTCCATAAAATTCCACGAGACCCTGATAGCAAGGTGCTTCGCACAGTGTTCTTATCTCTGTAAGAAGCTGCTGCCTTTTCTCCTGATATGCACATAGGAATACTTAATATGGGAATGAAGGACTCTGATAGTATCTTTTACCATGCTAGTTATTCTGAAACTTTTTTCAAAAAAACAGCACCGATCATGTTCATAGTGCTTATACCTCATATCTAAGTTCAAATATTAATAATTCAAATGTGGGGTGCGAGCACTCTTGCAACAAAATGCTTCCAATTTTCTGAGTTCAAAAACACTCTCTTTCTTGTTTGAAAAGAAAATGAAGAGTGTGAACAACTAAAACAATGGCAGTGCAAGCAAACTTGTAAATGTCAGTGGCCTAAGAAAATAAATGCTTCCCAATGTCTAAAGACTACATATGCACTCCATCAGGGAAAAAAAAATATCATCCTATTGAAGAGCAAAATATGTTAAATTTTTAGTATCTACAATATAATTCTTCCAATGATTATTTCAAGGAAAACAACCCCTTAGAATAGTTGGATTGAAACTTTTTTGGAGTGCCCAGGCATCCAAATTAAGTATATAAACCGATTGACGTGCTGGTCAACCAGAAATATGTTGTGTAAAAACCAAATTACTTGCATCATTACATCATAAAACAGAGGAAGAAGTATGAGATATGCTTACCTTTTCGAAAATATTAATCTTCTTCAAGGCAATAATTCTATGATTGGGTATATGAATAGCTCTTTGAACAACACTGCTTGCACCACTACCTATGGCTCCAAAAATCCTCATCTCATGGGAAGCACATCTATATGTCTTTTCACTATGATCTGTATCATCCAACGGCCATGACGTGCACTTTTGTAATCCAAGCTCATTAATGTTGTATACACCATAAGATTGGCTCAATAAGTTTACAGTTCCATTATCTGATAGCTTCATAGAAACCAATAACGTATTAGTAAAATTGTTTCATTTCAAACGGCAAAACTTTTTTCTCCAAAGAAATACCTACCATATACGAATCAGAAGGGTTCAAGCTTGACCCTGATAAGAAGCCCTTCTCAGCATCAAACAATGGTACAAGCTTCTTTTTCAATTCCTCCAGTCCCGCCATGATAAATAGAAAACAATAGGATACTATGACTATCCTTTTTCCTTAAAAAAAAATGCAACAACAAACGTCAACACCATCTTATTAACTTTATTGGTGCAACATTAAAAACATACGATTACTCATTCAAATAAAACCCCATAAATTGTTGAACAGACATATCAAATACTTCAACAACATTCCCTCCTACATGCTTATGACAAAGCCAAGTGACAGCAAATCTTGAAACACTGGAACATTTTTCTGTTTCAATTCCTCCAACCAAGCCACGATACGTATGAAAATGATATGACATTCTTTTTTTCTAATAAAAGGCAAAAAATAAAATAAACATCAACACCATGTTGAGAACAACTCTAACAGGGAATTCAAACATGTAAAAATTCACTGAGATATAGTTACAACTCAAATTTGAAACGACTGTTTATTTGACAAAAAGCATTTCAGGGTCTGATTAATCATTCTCATCTACATTAATTTTTTCCCAATTCAATAGAAGTGACCCTTCATTAAACCGCCCACCTCTGAGCACAAAATGCTTGAAACAACAAACACATTATCAACTTCCAACTTTTGACAAAGTTAGGTATTGTTTAATACCGCTTTTAAGATTATTTTTTTAGCCTTTTCAGTATTTTTTAAATAGTTTTGTTTGTTTTTTCTTATCCGGATTTACTCCCTTTTTCCAATCTTAACTACATGTATAATATTACATATGCGCATTAATAAAAATTTACTGATGTACTAAAAGGCATATATGTCACTTTTTTATCAAATAGTAATCAAAACATGCTTTGTTTCTTTCTTTTTTTTTTTTTTTGGCCTTTCAAAAAGAACTCAAAAGATTACCAGACGACACCCTAGTTTTCACTCATTCATTGAGATGGGAAGTGAAAAAGCTTATCTATATTTTTTTTGCCAGGTGGACAGAAAAGTGTAAAATACCTACCTTCCAATTCCACAACTCATGATCAATACCTAACACAAAATTGGAAGCAAATAGCAAATAAAACCTTAATCAAGCATATCTCCCTAGAAAGAGAGAAGAAGTAGAAGAAGACGACTGGTTAAATACCACTACATTGAAACCCTAATATGGACCAAACTCCTACACACTAAGCAGAGAGAGACGGAGACCCAACCCAAAAGAGCAGATCAAAAGCCTAGGTTCATAGTTATATTCAACGATTAGGAAAATCAAAGAATCGAACCTAATATACTTACAGATAAAATTAACACAGAAATCGGTTAACCTGTAATGGAAACGTTATGTCTGCGTCTGAATGATGAGTTCGTTAATATTCACTTACTTCCACCTTGGCATCTTCGAACTTCCGTCTAACACAACTTAATTCGTGTCCGGTTCTTTCAATTAGGTACTCTACAGGGCGGCACTTAGCGCTGGCTAACTTTTCTACTAGGACTAAATGAACCCTAGGTATAATGTCTGCAGTCGTATAGGTTATGCTTTAAGTTATCAAGTCCCCCCACCTAATTAGGTCAGATAATTTAGTTAAGGTTTGTTTACACATAAAATAATATAATTATTTGATCTTGATTCTGATTTAAATAATTTTTAAAACTCGTTTATAAAAATAAACTCGATTAAAATTCACAAAATCCGATTCAATCAACCTGCTCTGTTCATGTCTTCCCTAGAACCACTTTTCCCATTTGGTCCAAACCATGCCTTCTGAGTCCGTCATGCCGCCAACAAGATGTAAGTCAGTGCCTAGGCCCGCCTATTCAAAACCTTATTGGGCTTTAGATCTGTCGGGCTTTGGCCGGGGAAAGCCTTTACTTAGATTTGAATCTTCCTAATTCCAATAAAGTTTAATCATCCATTACTAAATCCTATTCTATGTTAATGAGGTTTGCAGAAATATATTAGTATGGCCTAATAAAATTGAATTTGATAAGACCAGGATTGTCTATGATGGATGACCTTACCTAGCTTTAAAACTGGTGAGTACTAGGCCTGTTTTGGGCCTTGGTGATTTGAGAGTCTGAGACTGTTAGTGAGAAAAAGACTCAATCATATTTAATTAGTAATATTGTTTTGATGCATAAGATTTCTGAATTACATGGCTAACTGACCGCACCGTCCAATTTTCTTAGTTGTGAAGGTGTAATGGAATATTTTGATAGAAAAGTTCAGATTATTTGAGGACATGTTAAATCACAATAAGATTTTAATTTATTTTTTTGAAATGAAATGACAAAGATTATATTTCATCAAATATTCAAGTTGTCTTGTTGAAGGAGATGATAAAAGAAAATCGGAGAATCTTTCCTCCCACTAGTAGAATCAGTACAACTCAAAGCAAATTTAGCTATGTAATCAACAATATTTGACCATGTACAAAATAGTCTCGTGTAACATTAACGGTTGAGTGTGTAATAAAGTGTAATTCATGAACAATTAATAGATGAATCAATGACAATAATATAAATATTGAGTTATCACACAATTATATAGTAGTTCGATTTGGATGACATACTCCATTCTGAAAAACGGCATACGTGACCAGGGGACTTTTATTGATAAAGTAAGGTGAACAAGAGAGAGAAAGAGCAATGGTTAGTCCAAGAGAGGTACAATAGTTAGGAGAGAGAAAAGCTATATGTGTAGAGAGGTGTAGAGATAGAACTCAATGTGTCCTCTCATGTAAAGAGAGCTTACAATTTAAAAGCACGGATCCTTGGTTAAGGCGGTGACTTTAGGGCAAAAACACTAATTCTCTGAATCGCTACAAAAGGTAAATGTCATAAAAAGTTGCCTTGATTTTCGAGAGTGAATATCCCGATAATTGCTCCTTACATGTTCTAATTTTTCTTGGACTCTTTCGAGCTTAGGTGGGATCGATTTCTCTATTTGAGATTGACCTGTCTTTTAACTGATTAAAACTTACTTGATTTATTGGACTTGACCCAACACTCGTGAATATTATTGCTAGAGCCACGAGTCCACTTAACAAGAAAATATGTCAGTTGATCTACAAACATGGATTTGCTCCACAAATATCCCAATGTCAGAAAAATTTGGTTCACTTCTTCCAATTGCATCCAAGACATTTTTTTGAATCTCCTTCAAGCATCACTCTTTCGTATCCTAACTCACTGACAAACTTCAAACCAATTAACGCATAGCTTTCACATGTTCAGCACTAAGTCGACTACCAACATGTTTACGCAAACCAGGAAAAAAATTCCCAGAACAGTCCCAATACCTGAAGAATTTGTATCTTTACAAGTAGCATGATCGAAATTAAGCGTGATTAAGTCGGGTCACTCCAATGACAACTATCAGTCTGAGTTTGTTGAACCGAAGGTAGCTTCTTATGAGCTTGGGCTTCCTGAAATTGATGAAAAGAAGTAGAAAATCAACAATTTGACCTGGATTGTGTTGTTTCTATTACACCACATCAACCAAGCTAACGTAATTACCAAGCCTACTTCACTGTTAGGAACACATTATGTTACCTTGATGAGCCATTCTTGGACTGAGTTGGCTGCAGTCAATGGTAAGAGTAATAAGAATTAAGCAGCTAGAAATAATGTAATCTCTACAATGATGATCATGAAAATCATGGTAAGGCATTCTTGGATTTCAAAACGCTAATATGCTACTCAACACGATACGATTCATTAATAACCTAAGGAATTACCGGCCCATTATTTAGAAACGGACTCCAGTACCACCTTGACCATCTTTATGTGGATGTATTACGATTTCATACAGCCCATTTATCACAATTTAAGAAGCAGATGGGAGGGCATAGGTTCTTGAGGTCATCTCCTCTAGCCTACCAACTCCAAAGAGTTAAAGAAATACGAAAGTGACAAAATTTAATACATGTGATCTGTGTGCATGCGTATAATGGACCAATAATCACCTTACTAATCATTAGGACCACACTCCATTTGATTCAGATTATTCTACTTTCTCTCTCCAACTTTTCTAACCGATTGATAGCAATCTGACTCACATTGAGTGTTTAGAGGGTCCTAACAGGCATGCTAGAATGAAACATATAGTAGGGCATAGTTGCTCTCCATTCTTTTTTCTTTGATGACCTAAAGCTCCCATGGCATCAGACACATGGAAAATATTGTATCATTGATTTTCTCATATGAAATGGCTTCATAATTGAGTCATAAACATTTATATATATATATAACACGCACCCATGATTTTGTATCATCGACCAAAAAAGTAGGTTCATGTACCTTAAAGAGATCTAAAGAAAATTATCATCAGCAGTATTATACAATCATGAACAATCACACTTGATTTCCATGTAGACCCACTTTGATAATCTATTTGGAAGATGCTGCATTTTGACAAGAAAGACAATGCCAGTTAAATGTTATGCAGGATAAATCCATGGTGTTCTCATGTTAATTAACACAGCATCACCTTCTCAACATCAGTTTTATGAGCTACTGTCTCACCTTATTGATGCTTATAGCACTTTTTTTCTTTTCTTTTTTTTGTGAATGGCTAATTGTTTCAATTACGTGTTTGAATTTGTAATTGCTATGTAGTCTTGGGAGTAAATTTCGGGTTTTATGCAATAAGTGAAACTCGAATTCAAGATCTCGTGATGATTTAAGCCTAATTGATTTATTGACCACAAAATCAACATGTGGCGACTGATTTTAGCACACCTTCGGATTGGTTTTGGTTTTTTCCATTTCTGACAGCTACTTAATACATCCAACTTGTCGACATGTCGGCGAGGAACATGAGAAAATGAAGAACAGTGAAGTGAAAACGACAGAAAGTCCTATTGTGTTATTAATTATTCGTCCTTTCATAATATTTTTCTACAATTAAATTTTGGCAGTGTTACATAGACATGTAAGCAAACAGTAAAAGGTTTCATCTTTCATGGGATTCATTGAGCAGAGAAGATACGGAGGGGAATATATATGTATATACACACACACACATACATGTCATGACTCATACCTTGTACATGAGAGATTCCATTGTTTTCCAATGCACTCCATCCTGGGTGATGGATCTAACCTGCTAAACAGTAAAGAGGTGGGGTTTGCTCATATGCTTCCAGTAGCAATTACTATTGCTTTTGCTCAAATTTATTCTACTTTATGAAATTTTGGGGTTCTGTTTATGTTTGTATAGTGTCCTCTCAGTAATTTTTTTTGGAGAAGTCTGAAGCACTGAAAAAAAAAAATTGTACAAATTTTTGGACTTTTGCAATCAATCCTTACATTTAGGATTATTTTAATTTTTTTTATTATAAACAAATCTTAAAAACTTGTATCTCAACTCATAAAATTTGTAAACTTTGGTGTCATATCTTCTTCGGTACTGAAGTCAAATGCATTTTTTAAGGCTAGATATGTCTTTGCAGTTCTTGTGTGTGATAATCATATGATGTATATGACTCACATTGCTCTTTCTTTCTATCCATCACCTCTCCAACAGCCCTCAGCAGCAGCTAGCCACCAGCATCATATTCTCAACTTTTGCCCTCTTCACTGATAGTAGGTTTAAGGATAAGGCTATGGTATGAAAATATTAAAAATAATTTTCAATCATAGATTTTATTTTAGTTGTTTTTCATCATTGATTATGAAAATAAAATCATATTAAATGAATGCATATAAAACCAATACAGGATTACCCAAAAAAGAAAGCAATCAAAGATACAGAAAAAAGGGAAGATAATGATAAAAAAAAACTATGGGAATTGATGTATGACTAATAATACACATATTAAAATCTTGCATTGCTTGAAAAAAGAGGAGGTCCGAATAGAAATTTGTAGTAATCAACACCATGCCACCACGAGGATGTGTGTATATATTTATATTGACTAATTTTGTTGATTTGTAGATGTACTGACTTTTAATTTTGTTATTCTCATAATTTCCTATTTTGTCTATTTTGGTGAAGTTTAATCATCCATTACTAAAATTGTTGAGCTGACACATGAATTTAATGATTGATAACATTAGAACTATTAGGAAAATCTGTATTTTGGTATGTCTGATGAATAATGTAAGATTGGGAGGAGTTACACAGAAGAAAGTTTTAGTAAAAAAACAGCTTCATCTTCTTGATGTCTACTGTAAAGTCCACAGTCACCATATGTTATAATAATTGCTGCTCTATTTATTATGCTTCTGTCTTTTGCTTTCCATTCCTTCACCATTCACTTAATACTCTTTGCCTTTCCTCCATTCTCTCTCATCATCTTTCTTAACTTTCGTTTACTGTATCTAGGGTTTTCCCTCTTTGATATTGATCAACAAAAATAAGACCAAGAAATCGTGGTTTATAGATGGCCGCAACACGCTAATCCTTGGGATAAAGATAGAATAAAGCTTGAAAGAGCTTAGAGGGAGGAAGAAAAAAAGGTACTATTGCTTCTTTCTTCCGGGTAAAGAAAACCCTTTCTTTTTCCTTTCATGGTTGCCAGATCCAAGAAACTAGATCATACAAAAAGAAAGCTGGAACAACATTTTTAAACCATATTCTTGATTTTTGTCTTTTATTTTCCTTACATCTATTTGTAAGGCACTAATGAAGTACTGCATGATTTGAGGTTGCAGAGAGACTTTGATTCAGGGTTTTCCGTTGGTAGAATGAGTGCTATTTCTTTTTCTTTACATGGCATGATAAGACACCAGTGAGATTCCATGGTCTACTGACTTAAGAAAGATAGACCTGCTAGCATCTATGGTAGCTAGGTGTCTTTAAGTAGATGCAACCGATTTCTATGAGAGAGAGAGATTCTAAACTCCAATAGTTGTCCTGAACTAAAACATCTCCTAGGGAAAATACTTTCTTGTAGCTAGATTTTGTATTCTCCTTCTGCTTCATTTGTCTTTTAAATTAAATTTCTTGAACTGCTCTGGGGAATCTTTGTCTCCTGTTGTATTTTCTTTTCTTATGTTTTCCTTGTCTTTGTGTGTGTTTTTTTCTCTTGCATGATAGTTTCTGAGGTAGATTTAAGACAAAAAATTAATTCATTATAGTTTAAAATTTTGTTGTGCGCAAGTACAGGTCATGGATAATCAACAAAACAAACAAAGAAAGAAAGAAACAAAAACAACAATTAGAGTATTAGGCAAAAGAAGGAGATGGGTTCTATCACAACCACCATACAAAACCATATGGTTCTAAACATAATTTTACAGACTTCTGGAAAACGGTCAATTTGGCATTATAAAATGTCTTCTTGATCTAACATTCTCTCTCTACTGGAATGAATCACTGTACTGTTCACTATGACAATAAATATTAAAGTGCGCATGGCCTAACTATATTAACTGATTTTATACCTTGTTTTGCTCATTAATTCTAAACTACCAACAATAATCGATCTGTAATTATGTTCATCATCATCATCTCTATATCGTGTTTGGGTGCAAACGATTTACAGACTCTTTTTTCCTTGTGATGCAAAGATTTGAAGCAGATTAATTAAGATGAAAAATATATTGTGTCGAACTTTGAATTGTGTTATGGGGAGTCCAACCGTGCTCTTTGTACAGGATTTTGTCACTTGTGGCATGGTTTGAGTAGAAAAGTCAAACTTAGCCCAAAAGGAAAAAAAGAAAAGAAAAAAAATGAAAAAGAAAGAGGACAAAACTAGCTGAAGTCAGAGAGATGAGCTCTAATAGGAGAAACATTTGGTGATAATAACCATAATTCGTACATCCAAGTATTTCTCTTGCCTTCTATCTGTGTATTTTCAACAAACTTACACCAACATGTCTCACTCCTTCGGCGGCGAATCTTCCTTTTTTTGTTGCACACATACGGCCAAATCACCGCCATTAATTATTTCCAACCACCTAAGAAATTGATTGATTGATTGATGTAAAATACCTTTCAGTGAAAATGGCTTCTTCAAGCTATTCCAATTCTCCCTGTGCTGCTTGCAAGTTCTTAAGGAGAAAGTGCTTGCCAGGCTGCGTCTTTGCTCCTTATTTTCCTCCAGAAGAGCCAACAAAATTCGCCAATGTCCACAAGATATTTGGTGCAAGCAATGTTAGTAAACTTCTGAATGAAATCCCTCCTCATCAACGAGAAGACGCGGTTAACTCTCTAGCTTATGAAGCCGAGGCAAGAATGAAAGATCCAGTATATGGCTGTGTTGGAGCAATTTCGGTCCTGCAACGACAAGTCCTTCATCTCCAAAAGGAATTAGACGCCACAAACGCCGATCTGATCAGGTACTCAAGCAACGAAATGCCACAGGCATTTCAAGGGACTGATGTTTTGAATCAGATGATGACTCAGCAAAGGTCTGTACAATTTGGAAGAAGGATGGGTCATGAAGGAGGTTCTTTTGATCCTAATTCTGGGTTGCCTCTTCCTTATACCTCTCCATGGAATAATAACCAGTCAGGAGATAGCTCTGAGACTGGCAGCATGTAAAGATTGTGTGTGCATAACTATTTGCAGGTGACCGATCGATCCGGGGTTTGAAGAGGTAGCTGGCCATGAACTAGAAGTAGAAGGCACATTTGGGAGATTGTATGTGCATTATTATATCGAGAAGATGTAGCGGTGATTATATATCCCCCTATTTTTTAGGGGATATTTGATCGATGTAACGGTGATTATATATCCCTCTATTTTTTAGGGGATATTGTATGATTGATGTAGCAGTGATTATATATCCCTCTATTTTTTAGGGGATATTGTATGATATTGTACGTAGTATGCTATTCTATGAAGGTTTGAGTTTCATGTGGTACTTCTCTTAGCTAGTTCATGAGTGCTACTAAATTATATATGTTTTCTCAAGTAGTAAAGGATGTAGCTTCTAATCCAGCTGATTTTGGATGAAGAAGAACATGGTAACTTTTTTAAGCCAACCTAAATTTAATGATTGTGGTGTATTAAACAATATCAATTTGATCAATTCATAGGACTCTTTTTCTGTAAGTGATTGTTTGGGTGTTTAAGGGGAAAGATGAGTTTTCATTTAAGTGAGAATTTTATACATAGCTCCTTCCCTTAGATGAGCTATGGTTTGTGGTTTGGGAACTAAATAATTTATAACTTCTTAATCACAAAGCAATCAGCTGTCTATGAAAATCTTTTATGTATTGAGGATCCCATCTGGTACCCTAAGTCTATTAACACTTTAGCACTAATGCTAATGGGACCCTCGATCAAGAAGGACTTCGGAGACTACAATCAAATTGAAAAAAAAAATAGAAATGGATCGAGGGCCAACTCTTCTAGTTGCATTTCTAACCTTATTACACTACCCAACCAACAGATAAAAGGTCGAATTTTGCAGGGCTACGAGCACAAAATGCTAGTGAAGAATAATCTTAAAGATTTGGCATGCAGTTTTGAGACCACCAACCCATTTAGAATTAGTTTAACAAACTTAGCTCGATGGTCCATGGAAGAGCACAAACCCACCCACTGATATTTTATTATCAATGGCGGTGGAGTGCTTTGGTTTTACTACAATAACATTAGTGCTTAGTTATTAGTGTCATATTGTATAGGAGGGTTTCTCTTCCGCTCTCTCCTTTTGGGAATCAATTGCCTTTCTGTCGAGATTTTACAATTTTTTTACCTTAATTCTTTACTAATTTCTAATGAATTTCTCAAACTAACATTATTATTATCCTTATAAAAGCATAGTTCAAACACATGTTTTTTAATGTAAAACCATGTTCGCAAAACCATGGTTTTATTAAATTTTTTTTTAGTGGAAGTGTGTTTTGCAAATAATTTACATTGAAAATTGTGAGTTTGAACTGTGCTTTTATAAAATTATGGTTGTTAAAAAATTAGTTCAAAGGTGTAATAATCAGGAAATGAAGTTGAAAATTTGAGATAGATTGGTAAAAAAAAATTCCTCTTTGTGATTACCAATGAAAAGGTACAAGTCTTATACGGCATTTTGGAGTGTCAAACAGTCCGAGCATTCCTTCAAACCTGAGTATCTTCAACATATATGGTGACAGCGCATTACGTTCTTAAATTAAATATATCTACAAATTAATTCTTCTTAGCCCGTGATGACAGTGGCAACTCGCAAGATTTGATTGTACTTTTCTCTCTCGTGTATGCTAATTTATTGCTTCACATCTCATAGATTTTCACTTTAATTAACTGATCCAAATTTCTTAGCATAAAACCTACGGTAAGACATATTTCTCAAAGAAGACGAACTGTAGATGGGTTATAAGAAAATTTAATGAAATTATAGGCTAAACTACTGTAACTATTTAGTTGTCACCAAAGGGCCTTTGGTCGACTCTTTACTTTGCGAATGTTTTATTTTATAAAAGTCAGAATTTAAATCCCCTATCTCCACCGAAAAAAAATGTTTAAAAAAAAAAAAACTTGTCATTATAATATACCATCACTCTATACGACCTACCAATATCCAATTAAAAAAATGTATAATTAAAGTTTTCTTCCTTTCTCTCGTGATGGAACAAGAGGAACACGCAGAATATATAAAAAAAAAAAAAAGAACCCTTCAACTCTTCTGAGTGTGAACGGAAGAAAAAAAAGGCAAAAGTGTCTAAGAAGGATGCATTAAATTTCAAGCACCCTGTACATGTGTTGTTGTTTTTTCTTAGTTTTGTTTCTGCAAGTCAAGGACTGATAAAAGTGAAATGCAAAATTGTTGACTTCTCTCTCTCTATCATTCAGAACTATGACCACATATTGTGTGTTGCTCTTAGTAACTTGAAAGTCTGAGCGTCTCAATTATTCCGAGTCCTTGTCTTAAAACAGTGAATTGTACAGATAGCTAGTCTTATAGGATTCGGAAAAGATTGTTCTCCCACGTGAGGGAACGTGAATCTACAGGGTTATTTAACGTGGATGACATAAGTAGGTATTCTTTACCTTAATTTGTCACCTAAGACTCCTATTCTTCACTCTACATATAGGACTTGTCTCTATGGTAACCAAAAACAAAATATCGGTATCATACCTTCATTTATTATTATTATAGTACCTAAAAAAATTATAAAAATAATTATTATAATAGTAATAAAAATACTCACAAATATGATAAATAATTCACAAAAATGATGATTTTTTTTTATATTAAAGAAAAGTGATAAAAATAACTACTATAACAATGGTAAAAGTATCTATAACAATGATAAAAATACCCATAAAAATAATAAATCAGCCAAAATTTGATACAAAATTTTATTGTAAAATGAAAAAAATTATAAAATCACCCATTAAGGGTCGAACTCAAGTTACGGTACAACGTAAATTAACCGATTAATTTAGAGAAGTGAGGAGTGAAGAGTAAGGAGAGGAATGTAAAATTTAATGTGAATGATTTTAAGATAGATATTGATGACCGTTAGATGCGTTTATTTGAGACCATCAAATAAATTTATTACAATCTACACTATTTTATATAAAAGACAGTTCTTTTGTATTAGATTCTATTATATTAATATTTTTTATTATATTAGATTAGTATTAGTTAGTGATCCCGACTTACTTCCACGATGAAAGACAACATTCAAGGGGACAAAGAAATAGTACAGATAGAAAAGGAAGAAAAAAATAAGCCTCTGTGCGAAAGCTAGTGTTATAGGTACTTGGAATTTTTTCTTCCACTTGTCAAGCCAAGAAAGTTTAGATGATCCACAACTTCGAAGGCAGAGACTATACCATTTGGTTTCTAGCTACCCGTGCACAAGACTCTTATCTATGGCTTATGTGAGAAGAAACTGTCATTATATCACTTGGGCCAATGAACAATTATCGTCGTCGCTTCGTGTCTAACTTTCATACAGTTTTATTCTGTGCACAAGAAAGTTGACGTGAAAATTAGTTAATTCACAGAAAATAAAAAATACTATGCTATTGAAACATAATTTAAAAAAAAAAACGTAATACCATTATGGCCAATAATATATATTATAGTTAATATTGAGAAAATACAATGGGACTAATGCTTTGTCCCAATGGTAAAGGAGAAAATATGCATTAGGGGTCATGTTCTATTTGCTCAAAGAATAATAATATACATACTTACCGAATGAATTCACAAGTTCCATCGCCTCTCAAAAGCATTCTGAACGGTAATTTCGGGCCCAAGAGTGATATGAGCCAGCCAGCCAACTGATTTGATAAAAATGCTTTTAATAAATATTTTGGTATGTATATCATTGTCTTTGCTCAAATAAAGAGGAAAAAGGGTTAGTCATTTTTAGGAGTGGTTCAAAAGTAATCTTATTTTAATCTAAAAATTTAACTTAAATTGTTGATATAATGAAGAGGTTTCAGTAAAATTATTGGATCAACACCAAGTCCCGACATTTGATAAACTCATAGTCAATTCAAAGGTCATAATGAATTAGGTCTCAATAACATTGCTCGTGGTTCAATCTAATCTTTAGTAATTCAGAGGTTTCAAATTCAATCTCTTTTTCATGCATTCTAAGGATTAATCATACTTGCCTTTTAGAGACGTAATCTGACCTAATTCAAGTTACATTAATCAGTTGTCGAGTTCGAGAGAATAGTGGACGTAATTTTGACATTACATAGTAAAATAAAATAAAAAATAAAAAAGGCCAAAAAACACCTTGATGGCAAAATAACTTGGAAGGATAGGGGACTGTAGGTCCAGTAGAGTGGTCACTAGGCGCAAGCCATTAAAGTGATAGATAAGTTCAAGAAAATTATTGAAGTATCAGATTGACATCAAAATATGCTGTCTGTCTCTCTTTCTCATGCAAAGTAATGCACGCGCACAACACTTAAAAAAGTGTAAAAGGTAAAGTGTGTTTATGAGGAAAAAAGGTCCTCAAGTTTCATTCCCTTTGGGCTCTTCAAGTCTACCATTCAAGAATAGGTCACATCTCTCTCTCTCTATATGCTGGGCTTTCTAACCGTCCAAGGATCTCCTTAAAGTTCAGGTAAGCCAAGAGAGGCCCACCATAACCCAATAGTTCCAAAAACTGATTGATTTGATGGGTTCAAGCCTATTGTGTAAAAATTGAGTTTTGATCCAGGCTGATAATTGGGTCGAACTACTCAGGATAGGCCGGACTCGATTTTAATAGAACTTTATTCAACTCAACTCATGTTTTAAACAAATCAAGTTTAAACAAATTTTTTAAATTATTTTGACTCGACTAGTTTATATGTAAAATAATCGAGTTATTTGGACTCAGCTCATTTTTTAAATGAGCCGAGTTAAAATAATTGTTTAGACTTGTTCAAAAAAGAACTCGACAAACTCGACTTGATTATAAGTCCTAAATTTTGATATAAATTAATTTGTATTCAAGTATGATTTGATGGAATTGGATTGATGTTTTCGTATCAATGATCAAACATTTGGGTTTTAATTTGAATAGATCAATGTCTGATTTTATTATAATCTAATTCGAATTAAGATACAAATATATAAACATATAATGAAATCGAGTGAATTTTATATGAAGTTGAGTTAAAATGCATATGTACTTTAATTGAGTTATTTTCTTATGCACTGAATTTGTGGGTTTTTAACAATATGTGAATTTAGAGGTTAGCAATTAGTCTAATGGCAACCGTCTTGCTGTTAGATGTTCAAATCGTGAGTTCGAATTTCGTTATCACCCTCTCTATAGTAGTGTTTAACCAAAAAAAAATATGTGGACATACACAATTAAAACAAAATATGTTTTATGTAACCAAGATCTCTATAAAGTGCGAGAAAGAATACAAATGTGCAGTAGAGAATGAAAAAGGATGAATACTATGAGGGGTTGTTTGATAAGTGGAATTGGGGGGTTTTGGAAGATAGGTCGAAAAAAAATAGTTCAAATGACACACAAAACCTATATTTAGCTAAAAATTTGAAGCTTGTGTTACCAAACTCGGCCCTCTATTGGCCTAGACCTTAAACCTTAGGTTATGAGTTTCATCAAATTTATGGGGGGATGGGTTTCGGATGAGGGTTAATAGATTTAAGATACAAAAAGATAATTATACCCTATATGTATATAAACATGTCTATTGGATTAGATCGGTGAAGGAACACAATAGTTATTTATATACAAATATATTATCATAGTAGTGATATATCCGTTGACATACCAAACATATGTATAAACTAGATTTATGCTCCGTTTGGTAGGAAGGATGAAAACTAAGAATGATGGAAAGTAGGAGAGATACACTTTCTATCATTCATTTGTATTTGGTTGGATGGATGGAAAATAAAAATGACTAATTTTTTTTTTGTCGGTTAAGATTAGGGTTGACAATCGAGTCGTGTCGTATCAAATTCGTGTTGAGTCATTACGAGTTTGTGTCGAATATTAGTCAAATCTAACTCAACTCATTTAATTAATTGTGTCGTATCACGTTGCGAGTTGACCTATTTATTTTCGTATCGTATTCGTATTTGTATTCGTGTTGACCTAAATAAACTTTGAATAAAAAAATTTATTGTTAGTATTTTATTTTCACTTAATTAAATCCACGTTAATATTTTTTTCTACAAAACTAAAAATTAACTTAAATACAAATAATAATAATAAGTAAAAATATCTTTTTTATATAATAATTATGTTCATGCTTGATAAATAGTTACAAATGATTAACATTTTATATCTATAACACTAGTTAAACATGCTAGTTTCGTGTTATCATACAAACGAGAAAATTGAGAAAATATTTATTTTTAAATAAACGAGTTATGGTGTTAATTTTAAGTTTGACTGGTTGAACTGAATATGAACTTTTTATATTTCTTGTTCGAGTACCAAGTCATTTTCAAGTTTGTGTGCAGTTATAATCAAGTTCGTGTCATAAAATTCGTGTCGAGTTCAAGTCGTATCATCGTGTTGAGTAAAAACTTTTCACCCCTAGTTAAGATGAAAAAATATTTGTTTTTAATTTGTTTTTATTTTTTTAATATATATATATTATCATTATATTTTTATATAAAATTAATGTATATATAATATATGTACATATTAAAAGATATATAGACAAATAAAATATATCTCAATATAAATAATTAACTTTTTATCCACTTTCTTTCTGATTTTGGAGAAATTGATTTTGGTGAGTTTGAAAAAATATTAATCCATTCACTTTTTCATCCTTCTTATTTCCTTTCTTTACCAAACATGATATTTTATTTATCTTTCTAACTTTTCATCCTTTTATTTTTCTATCATACTAAACGGAGCATTAATGTTAAATTTCATCTTTATAAAGAGAGGTTTGAATTTGAAAGGGTTTGAGCAAGCCAATCCAAATCCTTCTAAAAAATCTATCTATAGAACAGGCTAAGAAGAAGGTCTAGCGAAGACCGCCCATTTATCATATGAGATGTGAAGAGTAATTAAACATTCGAGCTATAAACTCGTAATCTAGGCATTAAAAAAAATATTAAGACAAAATATGAATGAAAGATTGAATTGAATTCATGTTTTAGCTGTTTGAAGTTATATCCAAATTATTATTACTTGACAAATCTATCCTCAAGAGCGAAAGAAAAGGCTTTAGACTCTTGACACCAAGAAGATCGACTTCAATTTACTGGGCCCACAAAACCGTCCAAGGAAATATTTCTACGTCAACTTGACTCAGATGAGGCCCACTAAAAGCCCAATCACAAAGTCGCAATCTGCGTGATTGATTGATCAGACAAGCCCAAACAGAATTAGGCCCACACTGGACTCATACAAGGAATATACACGGGACAGAAAAAAAGCGGTCCCCCCTTCCCCCCGCTGGCTCTTCTTGGCTCCCCTGGTTGTACCTTGTTAGAGTTTCCAACTCCCTTGATGCTCCAGCTGAGTGGAATTTTTGTCATTTTTAAAAAAATTTCTGACCTAGAAACTACTCCGAGTGGAATTATAATAACCACCGAAAGATATGTTAGTCAACGTAATATATATTGTTCTTATACCAATATATTCTTTTGTGAATTTTATCTGATGGCCGTTAGCAGTTATGTAAAATCTATTTCTGTTATTGTTATTGTTAATGGTAGAACTGTTCGACCATCAATCCATTGATCCTTGCGCCTAGACTTTAGGATTAAGTGTTATTGATTGATTTATTATAGTGCTTGCTTCGAAACTCCTACTATTTTATAAATAGACTATTGTATATATGAACGTGGATAATTCAAATCTCTATTCCTCATGCATTAAAAAAAAAGTCGACCTCTCACTGTTTAAGTTCAATGCACACCAAGTCCTTATACCACATCAATAACTTTTTTTGAAGTGTTTGATATATATCGTTATCTTTGAATAATTACGTACGTATGTCTTTTTCGCATAAGCTTGTCAAGTGAAAAGAAAACAAAACAAAAAAAAAAAGATGAACTGCATTTGCACGCATATGGCGTATTCTTCTTGTCAATGCAACATTGATTGATGTCATATAAACAGAATAGCCATGTGCATAGGATTTGAATCCTCTCTAATAGAGTTTTTCTTCAATTTTCTCTTAGTAGTAAATAATTCACAGGGCAATGGTAGGGACTAATCTACATATAATGAGCTATTATTGAAGAAATATATTAGCAAATCGGGTTTGGATCAAATTTTAATTGATCAAAATACGAATTCGATTTCAAAAATCCGATTTGAATCCGATCCGATCCGATCCGTCCGACAGATTTTATTTTTTTAGTCTATATTTGAATCCGTTAACAATTTGAAAATCTGATCCGACCTAAACAACTTAATCAATTAAATTTTAATAAATTATACTTAAATTTTTTAAATAATCACTTAATTTTTTTAATATTATATAAAATATATAAATAATTTGAATATGAACATAATTAGATTGAATATTGGTATATCTAAATTCGAATCCGTAAAATATAAAATATCGAATTTAAATTCAAATTCGAATTATCAATAAAAAATGTTAATCCATATCCAGATATTTTTACCCATAAATACTATCTTGGCAGCATTTTTGTTATTGGCATATAAATTATTGTTGCTTTTTCCAGAAAAGAGTAGAAAAAACGTTGGTTTATGCCATTCTCTCTCATGAAGCAGACTAAGACGCATATAGCCTGCTATTAGTATAGGCAGATAGACTAACGTGATAGGCATAAAATGGCCTGCTTTTCAATGAAATAGATTGACAATAAGAGGAGAGAGATAGAGACCTGGTTGAAACCTGACAACTGCAAACCCACAGGCACCTAATGCACAAACCTTCTTGGGCATAATTTGATGACGGACTATTTTCCACATATCCAACCTTTTCTACTTGTATGTCCAAAGTGCCCGAAAAAAGGTATAATTGGGTTCGCTTTTACTTTTTTAATCAATAACGGCCTATGAAAGATGAGATTTATGATATCGTATTCGTATTCTATATGTCAAAAATTATTTTAATGTCTTGAACACATCATATCTAAATCAAAATAGAGCCCTCGATCCAGAACCATATGTCATTTATTATTATTGGTGATTTACTTGTCCAAGTTGAAGCAAATTGTAGGTTTAGAGAATCTACCTCTGTAAAACTTGCGAGTCCACATCAGTATCATGTCTAAGCGAGTTCGTATAAAAAAATATTTTATATATATATAATTTATTTATTAATTTATGCCTAACAAATTGTATTATGTCAAGTTCGTATCGTATATAACTAATATATAATCGAGTCATATCGTGTATTTTTTTTTTTTTTATAAATTTTACTTATACTTGATTCGTTTATTAATTATGTCGTATCGAATTTCCTCGTTTACCAAACAAATGACTTAAAAAAGACGAAAACCTTTTAATTTTATTACCTATTCGTTTTACGTTAACGTGTCATATTTGCGAAACCCTATAAATAACCACAGAAGTTTACTTGTATTAGTGGTAAGTCTTTCTTCCGTATCATCTTGCCTTTGGTCTGTGCTTGCATGGGCTCAGTTCAGTTTGGGCCACAGCCCTCGAACCATGGGCCATCCATGGAAACGAGTTTTCTTACCATTGAGTTGGGCGAGCCAGCCCATCCAAAGAAAGGCAGGCACACGGCCTGCTCATCTAGCCGGGCCTAATGAACCTTTAGCAGGCTACTTAATTGAGGCATATTTGTATTAGTGTACTAAGATGATCCAAAACGGGCCACAGTCCAGACAACAACAGAAATGTGAGTCTGGTTACGGGTCGGGTTTGAATTTGATTTTAATTAATCTAAATTTAAAATTTAAAAGTCTAACCCAAATTTGATCCGATTATTCGATGTATTTTATTTTTTATGGTATATACCCAAAACCGTTGATAATCTGAAATCTAATATAGTCCTCATAATTTAATTCAAATAAAATTTAACAATTTACGTCTAAAATTTCAACTAAAATTCATCAAATAATTACTTAATTTTTTAATATGTTTATAGAGATATAAACATATTTCGGATTGAATTATAACTAAATCAGATATATATATATATAATAGAGAATTTGAATTTGAATTTGAATTATAGATAAAAAAAAATTAACACACCTCAATATAAAAAAAATACTATATAAATATAATTTAAAGATCCAAGTGACCTCTTTTAACATTATAAATTGGAACTACGCCAACAGTTCTAGGTATGCATAGATGGAAACAGCCACCTCGAAACTTGTTTCTCATGCAAGGCCTTTACCTGCATGTCACACGTACGTGTCAACATCTTACACTCAGTCACCTCTTTTTAAGATCAGAACGTTACTACACTCCTCCGTCCATCTCTCTCTCTCTCTCCCTCTCTACACGAAACTCCATTGTCACTTTCTTTGTAGTCTCTTCTGCACTGCTCGTCCATGGCTGACAGAGACCGCCCCCAACCACACCAGGTACATGTCCGCCCACAACACCAGTTTGGTGGCAAGACTCTCTCTCAAAAGGGTCCGTCATCATCCAAGGTCCTAGCAGTGATCACTCTCCTCCCTGTTGGCGGAACCCTACTTGGCCTAGCCGGCCTCACCTTCATCGGCACGTTGATCGGCCTCGCCGTCACCACCCCACTGTTTGTCATCTGCAGCCCTGTTCTCGTTCCTGTCGCCATCACCATCGGCCTCGTCGTCCTTGCCTTCCTCGCCTCGGGGGCTCTCGGGGTGATCGGACTGTCATCGCTCTCTTGGGCTTTCAAGTATTTCAGGCAGGCCGGCGGTACAGAGCAGTTGGAACAAGCAAAGAAGCGCATGCAGGATATGGCAGCTCAAATGGGACAGCAAACTAAGGATGTAACCCATAAGGTCCATGACAAGGCCCAGGAAGCTGGAAAATAAGGTGGGGACCGGAGCACTTAAAAAGAGATGAGGAAACATGTGTGGGAATGGCTGGAATAATGTAGATTGTTAATCGATCTTTTGTTTCACTGTTTTTTTGGCTTTGCAGGCATTTACGTGCATGTGCTTGTAGTTGTAGATGACGGAGTTTGGTTTTGTTTGTTTTACATTTTTTTTTTTAGGGAACTTTGATTATCAATGTGTTTTTATCAGTTCTTTGTTTATGGTCTTTGTATGGATGACATCTGCCAGTCTCAACAATGTTATCAAAAAATCTAATAATCTGACAGAGAATATCTAAGAGGGCGAGACATCTCTTTTAATGATCTAGAGCAAACTAAGCCTTTTTGGGTATATATTGATGCTGCTTGCCTGATAGTTACTGATGATGCATAAAATATATTAACAGTCAATTGTGGGATAAAATGTAATTAATGGGTGGGATAAAATATAATTAATAGATAATTAATAGAGTAATCAATGACAATAATATAAATATTAAGTTAATATATGATCTATTTCATTTTGGAAAATAACAATGGTGGTCAGGACTTTTATTAATAAAATTAGGTGAATGAGAAAGAGAACAATGATTAATTCCAAGAGGAATATAATAATTAAGAGAAAAAAATTATGTGCAGGGTGTGTAGAGATGTTGCTCTTAATGGAAAGAGTTTATAATTTATAGGTACAAAATTTTAGTTTAAGTCAACTATCGATCTAATAGTCACAAGGCTATAAACCGTATAGGTTTGTAAATTAATTTGACAGAAATATTTTTATTGATTTGGAAAATTATATTTGATTGATTATTTTCCTCTACAAATGAACGTCTTGGGCGTGGATTTGCCTATGACTGAATCGTAAAGAAAGAGGATTAATTGTTAATGATTTGTATATGATTGAATCGGATCAAAAAGAAAATCAATTAAAGTGGACATAAATTTCAAACACTTTTAACCATTGACTAAAAAAAAAAAAGAAAAAACCGAATTTGGTTGTTCCGTATAGAAGTAGTACGATTTACCAGTCATTCTTCGTGAACTCATATAAGAAACGACTCAGTCATACACAAAAACCGAATTTTGATACAATACGAAATAGACTCTATTTGCAACTCTAAATGGGTTACTGTTAAATGAGTCAAACAAATTCTACTACGATACGAACTAAATTATATAAACACGATACACCCATTTACAGTCATATGACTCGCATAATATCATAGCGTATCCGATTTTCCTACTAAATAAGGTCAATTCTCCAACCAAGTTCCTTTCATTTGAACCCAAAGTAAGAAAGTATCTAACCACTCAAACCCTAGAAGGAGATAACCTCAATCAGGATTACAGACTAAATACCTCAAGTACTGATAGTAGCCATGCTAAAAAGGGGAGAACCAACCCCTTGAAAGAACAGAGTCTGCGTCAACTCTTTTCAACTCAGAATACAAGAAAATGGAGAAAACCATCAGGCATATATGCCTTTTATTACCTAAGACAGAATAAATGTAAACAATAGTCAGCTAGCTAATAGGGCGTAAAGAATTCCAGAAGCTAAATCATCCCGAACAGACAAATGGACTGTCATGACAAAGATGGAATGGAACAATATGCCACATTTGGAATTAAAATAGGTTGAAAAGAGCTGCAAATATACGTTGCTTCTGCTTCAAATGTTCAAATAACTACACATAAAAGCGATATAAAATTCAAACCACGGATTTCCATAGTTTGTGGTTCGGGGTTTCCCCAAATAGCCTAAAAGGGTGTACTCACTGCACGAGCCTCCAGACGTACGTAGCCTTACCCAAGCACAGAGACTGTTTCCCCAAAGAGCCTCTTGAATGCTAAAATGAAGATTGCACTTGGGATATAACTACTAACACCTTCAGAAGCTTTCCATAGTATAACATGCCAAACTTCAGATTACAGACTTCAATGTAGCCTCTCTCAATTGATTATCATTGAACTTTTCAGCTATAATCCTCGGTCTTAAACATGACTTAAGCATTTGAAAGACAACACAATTCATTACAACTAACCAGCTGTTGTCCACAGCTAGCAGTTAACAGAAAAAAATCCACCTTTACATATCCCAAATATGCTGAAGGACAAAATTTTAAACCAGCACTTAGCAATGCCTAAAAAAAAATCTGAAATTATATTTAAATGGACTTAACATTTACCTCACTGTACAAGAAATGTTGCATCAAGATGACTGTTTCTCACACGACGTTGTGGTTGAACTGGACTGAAAATTTCCATCTGTCTCCCCGCGCTCAGCATCACTTCCTATTCTTTCCTCATACTCTGATTCTCCATTTCCCAAGTCAGCTTCTTTCTGGGAATCACCAGATGCTTCTTCTGCAGGCTGAATATTACCATCCAAAGGCCTTCTAGGAGAAGATGATGGACTTTCTCTGTCACCAATATCCTTGCTAGAAATACGAGGATTACACGATGTGAGCCACATCAACTGCAAATTGTGTCCTTCCCAGCATTTCCCCTTCAAAAAGGCCCTCTCAGCTGCACTCCGTGTAGTGAAAAATATGCGAGCTGAGAATTTTGATGTCTCTGAGTCATTATTGGCTTCCTGGGACTCTATATCTTCTAGCTCCACTGCAGAAAGTTCGCCATATGAAGAGAAATGTTCCTTCAAAATATCAACCTAGGGAACAGAAAAGTCATCACTTTTTCATTTCATAATACAAGGAACCTAAGGATAAAGAGCACATGGAAGCACCAACTCACTCCAACTAATAGGAAGCACTAACTCACTCCAACTGATAAGATAATAAAATTACAGGGCCGAGATTCAATGTCAAGGCTGTGTATGAAGTCAAAGTGTTTTAGCAGCAGTATGCATCCTTGTATATATAAACTATGTGAAGTTTAATCACAGGTTTTATTGCATCTCTTAATGTTGATATTCTTTTAAATATGTGATGGTAGGTAATGTTGGGCATAACTGGGCAAAATACTGAAATGTTAAACAAAAAAACATACTTGAGCACGTATTAAAGCTACTGGTTTCAAACCTTCATCTCACGTATAATTATGTATGTATATTAGGCTGCAAAGAAATTAACTTGTGAATGTAATTCTAACACCATAATAACAATGGTTTAAGCCATAGATTGTGAGCATATTTAGGCACTTAATCCCAAGTTAAAAAAGAGGGACATGCAGAAATTTCCTCATTTCACTAAGCAACATAGGTCAATGCATGTAAGAGCAGTGTGTGTGTGTGTGATGGAGAAAAAAGTTACCTTTGCAAGACCGGTTGGCAATGGTGGAACAATTTCAAATGCGGTGGGACGGTTGTCCAATTTGAATCTATTGATGATAAAAGATGCCCCTACAGGAGTCAACGGACGAATTGAATGTTTCAAGCTTGCAGGTTCCTGCAGAGCGACAATTGAACTAGATTTGGAACCATGAGGCACAATACTCTCAGCAGATTTGCTATTATCAGAGGTCACTTCAACTTGCGGTGATAATACCACAGTAACAGGATCAGTGGACCTCGGAGTTGTAGATTTGGCAACATCGGCCACCACACCCGCTTCCTGTTTCTTAGCAGCCTGCTCAGATGCTGCTTCACCTTTCAGACCTGTAGCCTGCAAAAATCGAACAATCTGAATAGCCAGCAAAAGGAATTCTGACACAAAAAAAAAAAAAAGAACAAAAAAAAGGAAATTTTTTTGGGGGGGCCAGAGGGGGGGGGGGAAGAGAGAAGAATGACAGAGTTCTTATATTGCCAGAGTCTAAAGTTCACATTGTGTTGTAGATAGTACAGGAAAAAAGCAAGCAAATAGCTTTCCCCACACATAAGATTCCAACTTATGCTAACTAGACAACTATATAGAACTAGGGGACTCGGGAACCAAAATTGGGAAAATGAATAATCAAAACATATACACAATATGAGATACTTAATTGGGATTGTAAAATTCAAGTCAAAGAAAGTGTGTATTACTTGTTTCTCAAGTTTGTTCAATTTTTGCCTGAAGTCATTCCGTTTCTGATCAAGCATCTCTTGCTTCTTGCGGATTTCCTCCTTCAAAAGTTCTAAAGTCTCCAGCTTCTTTTGTGAAGGTGGGGCTTGGGGACCATTAGATGGCTTGAGATGACCGGAGGCAGGCACAGGAGCAACAGCACCTTGAGCAACCCTACCCTGGGAAGGAGTAGGTTGAAGATTGTCTTCTCCTCTGTTACCAACAGGTAACTGGGATGGAACTGAAGCAGCTGTCACTCCATGGTTTATTGGTAAACCATTGCTGCTACTCATTCCATTGTCAGGAATGCTGTCCCGATTAGCCCACCATAACTTGATAAAGCGGTTGCCCATCACAGCATCAGGTGCTTTTAGAGCAGCCTCTGCTTCTTCTCTCTTGGAAAACTGAACAAAAGCTCGTTCACTATTCGATGGAATATATATATCGATAACCTCACCAAATTTGCAGAAATGCGAATAAAGGGACTCCCTTTTGTTGTTTTTCTGGGGAATGCCATTCACAAATAGTGTGCGTAGTGCCTTTTGAGATGATTTCCGGACATTACGTCCGGTATCACTTTGTGTCTTCAGAGAAGAATCCGTAACTTGCGGGCCAATGCCATCCTCATTGATCCACTTTGCTTGGCGGGTCGCACCCAGAACATTATGCAGTGGCTCATCATCTTCTTTTGCTTCACTTTCTATATAATTTGAGGAACTTACTGTAGAATCCATTTTCTCTTTTGTTTCTGATCTATTCTTTGCACCACGAATTCTTCCCCACACAGACAAACTTGTACTTTGAGATTCTAGAGCAGTCCCAGCATTTCTGACCAGATGTTCATTGTCAGAGCCATCACACAACCCAAAACGACGATGAGCAAAAGGTTCGGTATCCAACAAAGACTCAGTTACATCTACATTAGACATATGGGCTACTAAGGGTGCAGTTGATGTATCAGGACGATTATTAGTCCACAGAGGCTGATCAGGATCATAGAAATCAGCTTCACCTGCAACAGCAGAACCACCAAAATCACCATTCAAGTCCAATCCATCATCTGCCCTTTCGGGCTTGCTACTTTTGCCATGTAACCCTTTGCTATTCATCATTGTGCTTGAAGGAGCACTAATTGCGGGTAAAGGTCCTAGTCCAGCAGGCGTTGCCATCATGTGTGCACTTGGTAGTGAAACAGGGAGATTAAACTGTGAAAGGCTCTGTAATTTGGCAAACCATGACTTAGTTACAGCAGTTTTTGACATTGCAATGAGTTAAAAAAGAGTCAGAGAGAGAAAACAAAAATCATGGCTTTAGAGATAGCCTCGGTATGTCATTCCTGCAAACCAAGAATATTCCATAACTATACACATATTATAGTTACAGGATATGTAAACCTTCTGCAGTCCTACAAACCTACCTAGGATCATAAAAGGTCTTTGTGTTTTAGCATAAAATGGGTCCTCTACTAAACCAAATCAATGATTAGACACCAAGACTAACATGATGATAGGAAAGGCCTGGCCATTCATAGGTACACTATTAAGTTAGAACTCCGAAGAGTAGAGCTCATTCAAAAAATGCTCCAATTACACACAATCAAAGTAGGTATTCATAAACAATGGGCTTCCAACATTCCATTGCCAAAAAGCCATAAAAATCTGAAAGTAATTGTGAGAAGCCACCCAGCAACAAGCCAATGGCACCTTGAAGGTCAATTGGATTTGGGGCCCTGGATAGATTGCAACGGGTAAAAATGTTGTACACTTGCATATAGTAACATAGAAGTTAGGACCCCTCGAGGCCGAGCAATCAAGACAACGAATCTAATCAATTCAGAAGCACATATTCCCTGAACCTAATAAGTGGTTCGTCCCAAACGAAATGTTACGTTGCCATGTTAGACCCATTTTTTGGCCCCATGTCCTCAAGCATCATTGCAACATCAAATAGGCAAAGGAAATGTGAGTGAGAATATACCTGTACATCTTCAATAACAATACGATTAACCCCATGCTCCATTGGGCACATGTCTCCTCTTAAGCAAAATCCACGCTCCTCAAAGTCTCTACATCGCTGGCGTGGAATGCATGTACTTAATGAAGGATTGATGGATGGCCCGAGTGTTCCATGCAAAGCAAGGGGATGCAGTGAATCCAGACCACCATTTGGTATGCCTGGAACCAATCCAAATGAGCCCCAGGATGCACTCTGTGTGTTTGAAGCAACCGGGACCCCTCTCCCAGCAAGAAAATTTGGCGGAACAGCTCCCTGTTGAACCATTTGAGACGCAATATCAATTGAGCTAAACCTAGAATCACGTTGGCTCCAGGAACCAGATTCTCTTCCTCGACCCCTGCCAGGACCAGGATTACCAGACAAAAAATGGTTCACCCTGAATCTTTGGTTTACATCTAATGTCGCTCTGGAAAATGGTGCTAAGCCTGGGCGTCTCTTCTCGAATTTTGCAGAGAGATCTTTTTCCAGAGGAGCATTATTATAATTTTTCCAGGTTTCACTTGACTGAGAATTGTCTTCCCTGTAAAAGCGCCCATTTTCAAAGGGCTTGTTCCGCTTTCTGTATGGCCTTGCTAGAACTTGTTCCAGAGCATCTCTCTCCAAAGATTGAGACTGTGCCTCCCGCTTGCGATGCTTATGGTTACGATCATCATCATCATCATCACTGATTTCTTTCTCCACAGGATCACTGGCACAATCAGAAAGCAATGGAGATGAAACTTTTAGCTCCATTGTGTCCTCTTAGGAAAAAATCCAATGCTCAACTCGTTTGATGACGTCAAAGTTCTCAAGTCCTACTAGACGAAGCACTCAAACTACTTTATTGGCCTGAACCAGTTCAACGGCAACTGGACTATCTGGAGACAACCTGGCAAAAGCAAACAATATATCATTTATACTTAAACCTCTTGATACCGGAAAAGAAATAAGTGGTCATTTCCAGAATCCCGTTTTCATGTTCAGATATGATATGTCATACAGTTTGATATGCAATTGATCATATAGTTACTAACAGTTGTGTATAGCATCTAAACTACGAAATACCACCTCTGACCACTGGATAGGTATCTGGATCTTCTCAACTAAAGCATGCCAATCATAGTCCCTGACTGGACTATTGGTTCACAGATAGACCAAAAACTCTCAAGGTTTCCATTGAATTCCCAGACATTTCCCCCCATTCATATTTCCCCTGTATTTTTCGGTCTTCTTGCTGTCAAATATCACATTACTAATACGCATGCATTTTAATCTACTCTTATGGGAACTTCACTCAGAAATTCATGAATTAGGTAAGATCAGATGAGCCTTAAGGTTTACAACAAAATAAGGTTGAATGCTTAATCAAGTTCGTGCCTTTTGTTTTCCTATGTGGGAGTCCAATAAAGGGGGGCTACCCACACCCTACCCAACCTTTACGAATGTGGGAATGGACACCAATCTCCTGTGTAACTAATGAGGGATTTCGTCAATGGGTTAAGTGTCACCATTCATCTTGTGCTATTTCCAATATAATCGCTCCAACAAAATATGTGGGCTGGTAGTGCAAAGTTCAAACCTCAATTTCACTTTCTTTTCTGCACATTAACCAATAAAATGTAATAGCCATGCCCTGTCAGAGAATTCGTAATCAGTCAAGCATGACAACAACAAGGGCAACATTATTATGGAACCAACCAGGAACATAATGATCACATTAAGTATAGCAAAGAGAAGGGGGGAAGAAGAGAGCAGTCAGCTAATTATCCACGCTTCACAATTACCTTAACATCATTAAGCATAACTGCTCAAGTAATTTCCCATAGTTTATACACAGTAACCCAACTAAAATGTTATCATAGCGGAAAGATTCTTCACGCTAATGAGCTCTCCATTTGCAGGCGACAAGAAACGCACAGAAAACTTGATGAAATCAAAGTTATTACAAGCACAAAACATTTTAACCCACATAATACTGCAGAAAAACTTTCCAGATGACTTAGATAAGCACATGGGAACCAGTGACAAACTAGGCCATTAAGCAATATATCAGCAATCTAAAATGCACCAATATATTGACTTATTAACTCCAAAAGAAGAGTAGTAATAGAATTCAAATGTAAAATCCGTGCAACAACTACAAAACATTACACATCCAGCTTGCATTGTAAACTAAGCATAACCGGAAAACAAATAAAAAATATAGATCACTGCAGGGTACTCCATCTCATTAAATTTGTGCCCTATGTTCTTAACTGTTATACTAAATCAATTTTGAATCCAATTCCACCTATTTCAGCTATAGGCACAAAGTGGACAAACATCACTCAAATGAACAAACATCACCCAAATGCCTAAACCACAGTTCCCCAAAATTCACATAAACCAGCCAGAATTCTCACAATCATACAAACCAGCAAAAAACGAAAGACATCAGCATCCATATTGCATAAAATTCTGAAAAAAAAAACCAAAAACATACAACAGCTCGTATTTCACACATATGGACTGAAAACCCCCCAAACAAACTCCCTTTCTCTACGAAACAAGCTAAAAATCCAAGCACAACCCTAGTTCAATCAATCGTACACGAATCACAAATAAAAAAGAAACACTACATACATAGATATAACTACCATATAGGACCTATATACGTACCAATACAGATTTGTGTGCCTAGGGTTTCGTTTATATCTCTTTCTCTCTATGTATATGAATGAAGACTTCGATGTATCTATCTCTGTTTGGGTTCAGTGATGGGAAGACTGTATGTTGCCTCCGCCTTTTGTGCCCCTCTTTCTCTCTCTCTGTAAATGCCGCTTTCTCTTTATGGAATAAAGAAGCCGGAGAGAGGGTTTTACAGAAACATGGCTAAAAAATTATGCTCAATTCCAACAAAAATATACTCAGGTTGGGCTTGATATCTATGTCAATGACCAATTAAAATGATTTTTAATTTTGCCGAAATTGCAGATTGGCCCCTGTGGTTTTGGGGTTGAAGACGCACCTATTACCCATATGAGACGAACAAGCCCGAACAAAAATGGTGAATATGGATGAGAGGAAAACAGTATAATTACATTTATGTCCACACAAATCTTGACAATTGTAATTTTTCTAAAAAATATGGGTTAATCTCATTTTATACCCCGAAAGATTGTTCGAATCCCAATTTATAACCTCAAAGATCAAAAATCTCAATTTATACCCTCAAAGATAGAAATTTATATCAATGTGCACCCTCAAAAATCAAAAATCTTAATTTGTACCCTCAAAGATAGAAATTTATATCAATGTGCACCCCAAAGATAAAAAATTTCAATTTGCAATTTCAAAGATAGAAATTTGTATTGCACCTAAAACTAAATTGATAAATTATACCTAGATCCCCTCATACTTGTCACTTAATCATTTAGACCTCTTCACATTTAGAATATTACTCCTACATCTTATGACATTTGTGCACGTATAACACGTAACTCATTTTCATTAATATCTATTAATATAACCGTTAAAAAATATAATTTTATCCTAATAAAAAATTATAATTTCATATTACCCTTTATTTTATGGGTTTAATATATTCTAAAGTTCAAAATCTAGTTTACCATTTGAATGTCTAATAAAATATAAATATTTATATAATATTTTTCATATTACCTTTTATATAAATATCTACATTTTATTAGACATTTAAATGATAAGCTTGATTTTCAACTATAGAGTATATTGAATCTACAAAATAAAAGGTAATATGAAATTATAATTTTTTATTAGGATAAAATTATATTTTTTAACGATTATATTAACAGATATTAACGAAAAGTGATTATGAGTTACACATGCACAAACGTCATGAGATGTAAGGGGAATATTCTAAATGTGAAAGAGTTCAAATGATTAAGTGACAAACATGAGGGGATCTAAGTATAATTTATTAATTTAATTTTAGGTGCACATTGATACAAATTTTTTCTTTGAGGGTACAAATTAAGATTTTTTATCTTTGGGGATGCACATTGATATAAATTTTTATCTTTGAGTGTGTAAATTGAGATTTTTTATCTTTGAGGGTGCAAATTAAAATTTGAACAATCTTTTAAGGTACAAAATGAGATTAATCCAAAAAATATTAACAAAGGTGAAAATGTAAACATGAAAGCTAATAACTTTTGCATATATGATTGTTTTTTATTTCAACCGTCAGGGTGACGAGGCTAACTTATACGCATTTTGATTACTCTAATTTAATCCAAAATTAGTTATTTACATCGGTACTAGAATATTTATGGACGGTAAATATTTCAGAGTTATTAAGAATCGAACTTAAAATGTATAAATTTACAATTCATCTCTATTATCATTTAGATAAACCAATATATATGATTGCATATACTAGCTGAGATTCTTGTTATGTATGGAAATTGAAATTCTTGTTCCATCACTTTATATTTATAACGTTCTTGTCCCACCCCTAATCTGTTCAATTTGTTTATTAAGTGAGTAACACTATTGAAATTTAAAAAATTAATTTAATTTATTGACTTAATGATGTCATTTTTTTAAAACTATTGAATCTATAAAAATCTACAATCAATTTAAAGACCATAATAAATTAAGTCAAATCAAATGAACACTATTGCTCAGTGCTTCAACTCTAAAATTAATCACCGAAATACATTTTTTAAACATAATTACCAAAATACGACATTTTTAAACTTATTTATTAAACTATAGCACATTTTAAAAGCGGATTTAATAATTCCGCTTTTATTAGAAATTAGATACGATAACTCGGTTTTTAATGTAAAAGTTGGGGAGGTGAAAAACTTTTTTTTTTTTTTTTGTAAAAAGCAGATTTGTCGATCACGCTTTCGATTGAAAGCGTCGTTGACAAACACACTTTTTATAAAATTCACCAACAAAAAAAACGTGTTGGCCCTGCACTTTTTCTTCTTATCTTTGTATGCCTTCTCTTAGTGAACAGTACCGACAGTAAGCTTCTCTGACTATGACAAATCCCATGTTGCGAAGGGATCTCTGGTTTTACATCGCTTAATTGAAGTACTAAAATTTGTGTTTACTGTCCGGATGAACCTGGGTGATCTTTGAGTCCTGAATAATTATGGGTTTTCAAGACGAAAAAAACATAAGGTACATTAGAGAAAGACGAAGAGAAGATTGCGGAACACAAAAATGTCTCGCAACGGTAGAGCACTTATAAATGGGTATTCACCCAGAAAAAATTAAAAAAAAACCGTTTTAATTTCTAATGGGTATTGAGAAAACAACCAGTCTATCTTCAAGATACATCAAAACACCATTAGAAATGGGTTTTGCCGAAAGAGATGGGTTTTGATGTTCTTTGGTGTCTATCATTGTGTCAAGCTCTTCTAATACACTCATAGGGTCTCGGGTTGGCCCTAGGCATCTTCAAGAACTGAAAAGAGAGAAGAACAAAGTACAGAGAGAGAAGCACAAGTAAAAATAACTGTGAAAGACCTGCAGTGATTTTAACACTAGTTGCCCAATTTTGTGTGAAAATCGTGTCTCATAAACACACTTTTCAGAAAAAAGCATAGAAAGCGTGTTTAATAAACACGCTTTTATTACTGTCCAATTTCACTTTTTTTTTTAAAGGGATCAAAAGCGGAGTTATTGACTCTGTTTTCTAGTAAAAGCGGAATTGTTGAATCCGTTTTCTAATAAAAGCGGAATTGTTGAATCCGATTTTAGAAAGTACCGTAATTTGATAAATAAGTTTAAAAGTGCCGTATGTTAATAATTATGTTCAAAAATTGCAGTATTTTGATGATTAATTATTCAACTCTACCAGTACACCAATCTTACCAGTCCAGATCATTGAAGCAAGACGGGAGGTAAAAGCCTGGTTTTCACAATATACATTTGAGCATTTGCATGATTATTAACAGCAATTCTAGATGGCATTGCTGAAAGGTATCATTGGAGAGTCAACTGTTTAACTACATAAGATACAGACAAAGATTGTCACTCGTATTAAAAGTCACATAGGTCCTTTGAAAGAGAGAGGATTGTCATCAGTTGGGTACTGCATCGAACCAGCCAAACGATGAACCACATAAAACTCCCACGCAGCTGAACTCGATTCAAATAGAGTGGATGCAATAACAAATCAAAGCCTCGAGGCGACCAATGTTGAAGAAAATAGACTGTTCGCTTCCAAATATTGTTTACAATGCAAGGTGAAAAAGAAACCGAAGGAAAAAAGGAGCCACAAACCACAACTGAACAGGTAAAGAACTAGAGTCTTTCAGAAATTATAAGTCATGAAAGATTAAAATTATTAAACACGAACACTCGCAATATCCAAGCAAATGTTTCCTTTCAGCAAAGTTGATGCAGAGACGAGTGATCCCCCTTCTATACAAAGCACGTTAAGAAGAAACATATTACCGACCAAGCCAACCTCTCTGGGGCTGGCCTTCCCCATCATTCATCAACTTGTCCAGTACCACATTCAAATCGACTGACTGTCCATTCTCCGTCAACTTTCTAACTGCGGCTCTCACCTGATCTCTTGAGAATCCCATATGGGTCACTTTGTCGACCACATCATCGATAGGAACCCTGTTTCCCGAGCCAGTAGAACCAGACCCACCACCAACCCCAGAAGCAGTAGGCAGTGCATGTGGTAATATCCGAGCAGTGGGGAGTTGAGGGTAGCTGCTTCCACCACTCTGGCCCACTGCATTAGAGGACAGTTGCTGTGCTTTCACAGGGGAGCCACTGCCATACTGAGAAGCTGGTCCACTGTAAGGAAATGGTTCACCAGACCCGGATGATGAGCTATATGTACCAGAAAATCCTGGACCGGGCCTGCTAGATGGTGGCTCATACATGTGTGATGGAGTCCCATAAAACGGTGGTGAGGGAGGGACTCCACTGGATGGATGAGGAGGAGGTTGGTGCATGCCAGGTGGATAATTCTGAGGCGGTATATATTGCGGTTCTTCAGGATGATGGCCTAATGGAGGTCGAATTTGGGGGGGAGGGGGATTAACAGCTGACAGAGAGGGGTGTTGTGGAGGAGGCGGAGGTGGCTGAGAATACTGTTGGTGAGGTACCGGCTGATATTGTTGCGGTGGTGGTGCTGGGGGAGAGGGCTGAAGCTGCTGTGGAGGCATTTGGTATGGCTGATTTTGAGCTTCTGGCGTTGGACCAGGAGGTGGGAAGTAAGACTCTCGTTGTGGGACAGAAGGTATTTGGTTGTGCGCGAATTGGCTCGGAAGCTGAACCTGAGATGGCAGATTCTGTAGTGGGGGAGGTGGAGGAGCATTAGGCAGTGGAAGAGTAGGAGGTGGCTGTGTATGAGCTACAGGAGGAAAGTGTTGTTGCTGAGGAGCAGATGCTGTCTGCTGCACAGAATCCATGTGCATATTGTTCAGGGTTTCTGTTTGCTGCTCTACATTCACAGCCTGCAGCTTTACAAGCTGCAGCTGAGCATCCATTATTTCTTGCTTATCCCTTATGACTTGTACACCAGTTTGTACCTGCGAGAAATGGCAATGAACACCAAGAGAAATAATAGAACGTTTAACAAAGGAACCAGATAGAAAACCAACAATGGAGATTAAGTGGATGCTATAACACTCAATCTGGTCAATAACAAAGCTCACATCAAGTTAATATCATTTGAGAAGACACCTGGACAAGAGCATCGTTCTTGGTTCTTTCACCTAGTTGAAATGCTTATAAACCTAATCCAACTTGCCAATACTTTACTTTCAAATCGAAATTATATCTTTCTAGAAAGCCATTTCAACTCAACAAAGCCATGTCCCAACATTTATGTAGTTGGCTATATGAATCCTCTTTCGCCATTGTGCTCTACAAAAGGCAATTGCTTTCTGTTAAACCATAATTTGTCATATCTTTCCTTACTATATTTAAAGTTAATTGTGGCATTTCTCTACCACTACGCTTATCATCAATAGTTGACATATCACTTTTCCTCGCAGGTGCCATTTCTTTCTGGAAAGCCAAATTACCAAAATTCCCTTTTCAGTCCAGGAACATGTCCCCATAGAACTTGAGATTTGTTCTTGCTTTGTAAAGGTGTTTACTGGATTGTGAAAACTCTGGTTCAGTAAGAAGTCATAAAAAGGGTTGAAAGAAGCATTGGAGACTATTTCGAAAGCTTAAGGAGATTATATTGCTAGATGAAAGGTATCGAGTCGAGACATAAAGGTAAGGAGTGGCATATATAAAAAACATCGTGGTTACACTTGAATGGCATGACTCGGGACATAATATTTCTGGATGAATGCGAGTCGTTTGGCAAGCCTGCAGTAAAAGCCAGACCTAGCATAGATGCTGAGTCTCATTTGAATGCAACTGTTCCCATGTATCAAGTCTGCCATATATCCTCAATTATTTCCTTTTGTAGATTTTTTTCCGTTGATGTTTAACTCCTAGGTCGTGACTATAGATCTGCACAATGATAGGTTTACTCAGTTAATATTTGACATTTGAGATTTTATTTTTTGTACTTCATTGCCAGCCATCAATGCACAAGGGAAAAAGACAAAAAAAACAACAAAAACTTCTCACTTACATTTAAGAAGCATGATGTCCACATTAAACGTGCTGCTCAGGCAAAGGATAACCTCTAACTAATGCAGATCGACATAGTAAGATAAAGTTCTGAACAAAGCTATGGCCCCATATAGAGTGAAGACGCAGAACAAGATATATTTGCCCAATCCACTCTTGCCACATTTTTGGAAAATATAACAAGTGGCATAAACAAACTTGAAATTTCCTCTGGAGGATTCTGGTGATGGGAAGAGTAAGGACTGTCATTGTATGGAGCTGTGTGGTGTTGCATATTTTTGGATCATTGCAATTTAGATGGAAAGAAACAACAAAATTAATTAAGGACAAGTCTGAGAATGAGTTTTTTTATGCGGTAAAGAGTAAAATTTTTGGCTTCTTTATGGGCAGCGGTTACTAAAGAACTTTGGACCATTCCTTTTTTTTATTTATTATTTGGACAGCGGTTTGCGGTTGAAGACTTGAAGTTTTGTCTAAAGTGTCTTGGGTTTATTAATATTTACTGTAATTTTTTTCTTTTTTCTTTCTTTTATGGTTGGATGCCTTGTCTACCATCGTTGTGATTTCTATCTTATTAATGGAAGTTCCGTTCCCTTTAAAAGAAAACCTTAGAAGTCTAGCAGATCCACCACCTGCATTTACCAAACATAACAGCAGTCTAAAGTAACAGATAAAAAAAGGCTGCAAGAAAACATACCTCTCTAAGAATATTCTCCAGCTGCCTCATTTTCCCGTCAGTGCTTCCATGATTGTTTCCAACAGATACCTTCAAGTCATCCACAGAATTTTCAAGATGGCGAGTTCTGCTCTCTAGCTGTGATAGTCGTGCACTGACACCTTCCAATGCATGTAGCAGATTATCAGCATGTCTCTTCATTATCCGATCAATCTCAGACACCAAAGCATCGTCAATGATGCCACGATCCTTCTCCGAAAGGACTTTTGCAGGTTCAAAAGAGTCAACAGAGCCATAATTCTGCATTAAACATTGAAGCTACAACATCAAACACTACAAGAATGCGTAAAATAGAATAACAGGGTGAAATTCAAGTAGCTTATATCTATCAAAACATGATGTGGTCCAATGGAGCATGTAAAGTCTCTGATTTAGAAAATCCCATGAAAAGTATGCACATAACGTCCAACAAAATAAAGAAAAAAAGGGCAGTGGCTGACCCTTGGACTTGGCCATGGATTGAGGAGCAGATATGAACTTAGAAACACTGATTCAACTTCTACTATTTTGGTTACTTCAATTTCAAAACTAAGTCTGCCATGCACATTACAATTTCACAACATTCAGAACCGCATGGGGTGTTTATCTTACTATTTGGGAGTGGTTAAGAATTACTGGGGCTGGAATTCTAAAACCAGATGTGCTTCCAAGTTTCCAGCACCTGTCCAAAGAGTAGAAAACTTAATCAACATCTTCTTCAGCTGGCCTTTTCCATAACATAGCCTAATAGCATCTTCTTCATCTCACCTTCACTGTAAGTATGCAACACATGGGAACTGTAACTTCAACAGCTACGAAAGTAAATGGGTCATCACCCAATTTGATTCACATTAATTGAGGATTTTAGGAAGAGTGGACTAAGTGCAGAAACGACTTTTTGCATTATCTACAAGAAGTGGTTGGCAGTAGATTTCAAACCACAACCTCATGTTTGTTATCCCGACACTTTTACTATCAAACTAGGCAATAGCACTTATCTACGTACCAAAGACAAATCTCCACCTCTAGCAAAATCCCTCTCTCTTACACACACACACCCCTCTCTCTTTCACACACACACACACACAAACAAAAACACACCGCAACTCATTTTTCCCAGGCTTACAACAAATATTTTGATCATCAAAGTAAAGGATTGGCACATGGGCAAAATGGATTAAAACTCTTTTGTTTCGGTTTCTACATTGTTTATATACCACATTGCAATTTTCTTTGTGGCACTTCTTAATCGCTACAAGTCCTTCCCCAGTATTCAATTCATCTAATGCAATTTAGATAACAGACTTCTAGTTTAAATGTCATCATAAAAAAAATTCAAAGCAAGAAAACCGTTGACTAATATTCCGAATATACTTCCAACAAACTCATTTCAAATCTGTGAACTACAAAACATAGAGCATCTCTCTAACACTTCTCTACACATGTCAACATGTGAACAACAAGAATTGAGAATCTGCTTCAATCATATCATTGAATATACATGATGCTCCCCCGTTCAAAGATTCAGATCAAGGCAACACCAAACCATATGCCTCACACATTTCAAGCACTGGTTATTGTTTTATAACAAACCATGTCTACGCACACGCAATTCAACAGAGCTTCACAGTCTCGTTTCTCCATTGGGATTTTAGTAGTATAATTCTAAAGTTATTACTGTTTCAAATATATAGTATTTCCACTATGTTTTAGTAGATTTCAAGGCCTAAAACAAAGAAATACTCCCACTTTGTGTGTCAGCCAAATACCATGCAATAACAGGTTCAAAATGTAAACAATGTTGCTCTTGCATGTCCTAAATGTTCATTCATAAACCCTAACCACAAAATAAACTTCCTCTCAGTCAGCTTCAATTACAATGATCTTGCAAACTATGAATCTCAAAATTAACCCAGAACCAAAACTCTATCAAGCAGAAAAGGATAGTTTCACCCAACAGAGTACCCAAGTACTCGAATTCAATATGAAAAAAAATTACTTCTTAAAAGTTAGTATAACCCTTCCTAATGTATCAATCAAAGCCAAAGATACCTAAATGCAAGATTTTGCCAACATGCTTATAACCCCAACATTGTTACTCGTATACCCTTGAAACAACTCCAAATAAACTAAACCATATCAAATTTAGAAACTAGCACCTACTAATTCCTCGATGGAACTACATCCATTAAAATCCACATCGAGAAAATAATATCACCAAAGAATCAATTTGACAGCGAGAGGAACAGAAAACTTGCAAAATAAATTAAAAAACTGCAGTCACCAATTAATCCTCATAATTTTACTTCACAGTGTCGTGTGTCTTCATCCACAAATACACACATAAATACCGATGCGCGCGCGCGCGTGTGTGTGTGAGAGAGAGAGAGAGCTTACTCTGATGCCAGTCGTGTTGGTTTTGGAATCAGCCGAATTCCAAGCCCTAGTTCCACTAACATTGCTCGAATCAGCATTGGAAGGCTGGGACGATGATCCGATTGGGAGAATTGGCTGGAAATCGTAATTCGGAACGATCTCCTCTTTCTTACCATAACTACTACCACCACCACCGACGTGGTGGTCCTCTTGAGGGTTCATAAGATCGATGAAGTCGTTGTTATTATTGCTCTGCAAATTCGAATTCGATAGATCCATGATCTGCTTGTCCATGAACTGCGACGTATTCATCGAGCTGCAATCCTCTTCCTCGTATGTACGTAGAAATTCAATCTATATAATCCAAAAGATGATTGCATATATCGAGAGATCGAGAGAGAGAGGGTTAAGGTTTCATAGACTTTTGTGAGGTGTGAGGTTACGAGATGTTTTCCGAGAAAACGATCCGAACAAAACAACTTCGGTCTTGGAACGATGTCGTGTTGGCACGCTAGATATTCTTGTAATTGTTTTGCTCTTTTCTCTCGGAAAGTCATTCTTCCAATTGTTGTCCATGGATATTTTTGTTAGGTGTCCCTACCGCGGGCCCGTGTCATATTAAGGGTTCTTTAGAAAGCGGTATATCTAATTAAATTTATTTGACAAAAAATATATAAAATAAAATATTTTTTAAAAAAATACACAGTTAAGTTACAAAGACATAAATGTCCATTTTAAGGTGATTTAATTCAAAATCTCTCATCTTTAATGTTTTTTTATTCATGTGTGTTTGTTAATGCATATAAATACGTATTTAATTCATTTTAATTCATGTGTATTTGTTAATACATGTAAATATATATACACTTGTTGTTAAATCTCTTATTTAAATTTTGAATTATCTTTAATACACCTTGATTTATGCATATTTTTTTTAAGTGATTTTGTTTTCAAATTATATTTAATGCACCTTGATTTAAGTGTTTTTTTTATAAAAAATTATTTTATTTTCAAATTAATTTAATATCCGAATAATGTAATAGTGTAATAATAACAGTATAACAAAAACAGTGTTCAGTAATTTTGTGTATGTGGTAACAAATTCAAAACGGAGATGTACTATTTTGAATGAAATTATATGTTTGACAAAATGTAATAGTATAATATTTTGTGTAAATAGTTTGTTATACTGTTATTGTTATACTATTACATTGTTAGTGTTACACTATTATATTATTCGGATATTAAATTAATTTAAAAATAAAATTACTTTCAAAAAAAAAATGCATGAAATAACGTGCATTAAAAGATAATTCAAAATTTAAATAAGAGATTTAAAAGCAAGTATATATATAAAATACGAATCAATACGCATTAAAATTTAATATTATATATATATATATATATATATATACGTTTTTATATATACATGAATACAAATTTTGAAATTCAAATAAGTATATATATACGTGTGTGTATATATATATATATTAAAATTCTTCCATAAAATTAGGAAATGTTTAATGCACCATTTTGCAAAGAAAAGTTGTGCATTAAATACACATGAATTAATGGAGGGCAAAAATGTCAAAAAAATTAATAAAATTCAAATAATGTACTTAGATTCAAATAATATTAAAATTAAGAACTTAATTACTCAACATTTTTTCGATGTACTTTTTTACAATTAAATCTAATTGAGTGTACTTCCTTCCAATTTTTCCTTTTTAATTTGTTACAATTAGTCCGTATCATCTTAAAACTATATAGTTATGTAAGTTTATTTATTTATTTTGGGGTGATTCTATAGTTAGGCATGATTAACACCATATTATACTATGGGATTCATAAAAATTCATTTAAGGCTTTTTTTGGGTGTTTTTGTGAACTGTGAAGTCTTTCCAAACCCAACCTCAATAATTTTTACATAAGTTTCAAACATAAATTTTATTCAATCTCATATGTAATATGTGACATAAATATGTTTAGAGTCTATAGATTTATGTCAAATCGACTTACTCAGTTGACAAAAATATTTATTATTCGGTGAATAGAAGAATAATTCTTTTAGATAATATAATTTTTTGATCTACAAATCTTATCTCTCGTTTTTAAAACTCATCCTACCCTTGAGTTTTATCAAACCTCCATATATAGATTTTAATTCATTTTTCATTGTGGTCGGAATTCATTTACCCTATAAATCATGAGCCTCAAATTTTGAATTAAAACATAGTTTTAGAAAGTGCATTAAATCATTTTCACAAAATCACCATTTAAATCCATCCAAACCAATATACCAAACACACCCTTATTAATTTGGGTTGATCAATTAATTCAACTATGTGCTATAATTTTGGATCATTTTTATATTAAAATTATTCATGCATATTAATAACTAAGAGTAACCCCATGTCTGAAAGTACAGTACAATGTAAATAATTTTAAGAGGGATATTAATAACCGTTGGATAATTTTATTTGAGACCGTCAGATAAATTTATTAAAATCTTTCATATTTTATATTATAGATATCCACCTTACTACTAAATGTCTCTTACACCATGTTTAATTTGGTCATTTAATAACTTTAATCAATTTGGATAAGATAAGATTGGTTTAGGTAGACCCACAAATTCAGTTAGTGAGATTTTAGGGTTTGATAAAGATATGATTTATCTTTGTTCTATCCCATATTTGGGAACGATTGGATATGAATTAAGGATAAATAATATACTTGTGGATTTCATCCTATAAAATCTAAATTAGATGTTATCTTTTATGATGATGGGATTATTTTTGGAGATAGTGCCCTTCGTCTAATAAAGTATTTAATGTAATGTAAGGCCATGTTAGTAAAAATTCTATTCTAACCCTAATAGTGAGATTTATATATTTTTGAATCTATTCCACGGTTGGTTTATATAAACGAGTGCGGGGTTAAATATATTATTCAAATTGGATTGGAAAAAGCCCAAAGGGTAAATTCCATTGTTTTCTCATAGAAGATATAAAATTTATTGATTTGTCTTTCGAGTTATTAAATTTTTATATTGCCCATTTAAAGAATAAAAAAATGTTACAATATAGTTTATCGTCCTATTTTTGTTTAATCATCCATTTTTTTTATGTCAAATCAACCAATTAAAAATTACAAAATAAATAAACAACCAAACAAAAATAAAGATAGTGGATCACATTGAAACGTTTTTTATTATTTGAGGGGTCAATGCGAAAAATTAACTGTTCAAAGGATAAATTAAGAATTTTTGTATCTTTCGGACAAAATGGAATTTTTCTAAGCCCAAATGTTTCATTCCCCAAGCTTACAAGTGAATTATACATGAATTATGTGGGCCCTAATTTTTTTTTTTTTTCAATCTCGCCATTAATCCACAGGAGGCTGGATTGCCAGCAAGAGTTAGGATGAAACAACTTAATAATAGAGAAGGCCCCAATATAAAGCCTTTAAAGTTTATACGGTCTTGTGTTGTAATAATTGACACCCCACTAGAGAGAGAGTGAGAGAGAGAAATAAGACCATTGCACAGGTAGAGTAATAATAGATGATATATTCTTAATATTCAAATATAATTTGTTATTTTCCTAATTTCAAGGCGATATAATAAAATCATTACACTTAAATTGACAACCGAATAACCTGACCATAATTTAAAAAGAGTACTCAATGACAGATGAACCGGAAGAATTGGGCCATGGAACTTGCATAATAACCATAAGGTCCTCGTAAGCAAATGAGGCATTTTCCCCATTGATTAGACAAGCTCTTGGTCTTTTTGAAGCATAGACCCTCATTTCTCCAGTCCCCTTAACCCCAACTCGAACTGAGCTAGCCTCTTCATCGAATTCCAAAGCTTGGATTGCACCACCGGAGTTTAGCATATTCGCCAAGCCAAACGGAGCAAACTCAACAGATTTGCTAGTCAAGATAGTGATAGGAGAAACTGTTATAAGCTCAAAATTAAAGGGCTCGAGAGTGATTTCAATGGTGTCGGATGGCTTGGAGAGGACAAGTTTCTTTTTGTGGAACATGTACGAGGCAAACACTTGTACTCCCTCAATTGAGATTGGCTTTGTTCCATGCTTCCACTCGATGTCGATTGGGCTGGCCATGGAAGTCACAGCATGAGAGTGTTGGGAGGCGCATTTGTTACGTCTGGATTCACGGCTCCACCCTCCACCTTGGCAGTTGAATGCGCCAAGCACTCCAGTGTACTGATGTAAAGAAATCAATACAAACCATGTAAGCTTATAATATATAGCATTATCAATGGATGAAATGCAAACTATAAACAGATCTAATATAAGCCTCATGCGGCCCACTATCTGGCCCAAAAATCCCAGATACTGGATCATGGGTCAGACTGCCTCTTTCTGGCCCGCGTACAGTCAAATAGATGACGTGTGAAGCCTCATGTTCGGCTCACTAGGCCCAAATATGTCAGATACGGAACCGTGGGTCAGAGTGACTTGCTTGCCAGCTGACAGTCTAGTAGATGACGTGTGAAGCCTCATGTTCGGCTCATTAGGCCCAAACAAGACAGCCCAAAAAATTATTTTAAAAATAGTTCCAATCTGGAAAAAATTAAAAAGCTGAAAATAAACCCATTAAATGTAATACCATTGGCAACCCGTCATATATGATGGGCCGTTGAATGACATGCCGAATAGGCCCAGCTTAAAGATGAGGTTTACTCACCTCGACTCACATGCCGGATAGGCCCGGTCCATAGCTTAGGCTTTTATTATTCAAGGGATGGCTAGTGACATGAGCTTACCTTGTTCAAGTTCCATATTTTCAGCATAGTCTTCCCACTATGCAGAGGGTCTTCAAAGAGACAGTCTCGGGTCGGAAGGGCATAGTACTCACACCGGAGGATCGACCCATCGGGCAACACTAGAGTTCTGAGCAGCTCAAAGTTGTGCTTCCCAACAGAGTCCGAGACGTAGATTGGTCCACCGGAGATTGCCCGGGAAGCAGCGTGGAACTCCGCACAGGGATGAGTAGATTGGAACATGTCCCAGTCAGGGTGTATGAAATTGCCCATCCACAAACTGTTGTAGGCACAGTGAACCATGTGACACCCTTGTAGCCAGAATGTGCCGTTTGGATCCCCAGAAGGATCAGTGCACCAGAAATCATCACCTGTTCACAACAACAAAAAAATATGAGCTTTTTATTAAGGCTGTGTATAGGTCATATTGTTTCTAGGTTTGTGCCGCTCCTAAATTTTATTGTATAATCGCATAAAGACGAGTTTTAAAAAATAAACCTTTAAAATCACGAGAGTTTAAAAAAATCACTACCACATCTTTTCCATCACTATCATGACATTTGGAAATACCACTTCCACATTTTTTAGTTATATTGCCTTTTCTAGTATCTAATCTCTCTTGACTTTAATCAGAATGATTACACTAAGCTTCTTGCCTTTAAGATACGGCAAATATTAACTATGTGGTATTAATTTATGATCCTAACCGTGCACGTGTAATAGTAATAGGATTGTTTTTGGACAAAGGCTAGATGGATACGTACCAACTCGACCAAGACATATGGCCTCGGTGCCAAGGAACATGAAGTCATTGCAGTGCTCCATGCTAGCAATAACGCCATTCCCTTTGAAATGGTTCCTCACTGAAGATGTCAAGGCTTTATAGTATGCTTTGGCAAGCTCTACTCTTCCACCATAATCCTCACACAACATCTCCAACAACTGCACACATACAAATATATTCACATTTAGTGATCAATCAAGCTTTGTGGGAGCTTTAGATAAACCAATGTATAATATTAAGAACGTCACCAAAATTATGAAAAGAAAAAACAAATAATTTGATTCAAATTAACATATAGGATGTGTATTTTAATTAGGAGTGTCAATTTGTGACATATCATATAACCAGCGTGTCGCGCTTGTGTCAATGCTCATGAATAAAAAAAATATTAATTTAATAATTTTAATAAAATTATATTATTAAATTATATCAAAGTTTTAGTTCTAAATAATATTAACTTAAAATTCATTGTAGCGTAGCGGCCGGGGGGGGTCAAAGAATTGATTTGTCCATCCCTATTGACCGATCTGTGCATAGATCTGGTGGGATATAATAATATCATAGAGACACCTCGCAAGTATTGATGTGACTCTCAAAAGTCTATAAATATTATGAGAAATTATACTTTAACCATATAAACATTTTAATTTTTTGTTCTGATCCTTTCAAAACTTAAAATTTTAAGTTTTTATCTCTCATAAATATCTTAATTCCAAAATTCTTAATATAGATGGCCTATCTTTAATAAGTCTTAGGAGAAGATTAATCGAAATACACGTAAACTAATTTAGACATCTTTTACAATTGAAAAAAAAAACTTGAAATCTTAAGTTGTTCCCTGAATTGTTCAATGGGATTGGTAAAGCAAACAGTGATTGTATTTCTTAAAAAATTCAACATATAATATGAAGTAAGAGGTTGAAAATCATTGAAAAGATAAGTGGGATAAAGTGTCATTATTGCTAAACATATAAATATATCTGTTATTTTCAAACAATGGTTGTCTAGAACTTACGTGAATAACGTCCACTTTGACTCCATCAATGCCTACGGACTCCAAGTGAGAGTGCAGACCCTCGTACATCTGATCAACAATCTCCGGTGGGACCAACCCAACACCATTGTTAACGATCTTATCAACGGCCAGATCTTCCATAGTCTTCTGCAATCCCGGAGTCAACTTCGGCGCCACCACCCTCGATTCCGGTAAGCCGGAGACATTTGGCCGGAGACCACCCCAATAGCCACACAGTGCATGCCACACATAAACGTAGTCCACACTCTTAAAGTTCCCCTTAAGGTCCCTGATAAACGCACCCATGCCCTTAGTGGGTGCACCAGACTCGGACCCATTGGGACTCTCGTAATCCCTAAACTTGTAGTTTTCTTGAAATTTTATGAGCCTGCATGGCATTTGCTCGCCGGCGGAGGTTCGGTTCATGCCTTCTTGGGTGATAGGGTCATCGTCATGAGAAATGGACTGCCACCCATCGTCGAGAAGGACGAGCCCCGGGGGCAACCACCGTCGACGAGCCCTTTCACGCCCTCCAAGACACCTTGAGGGTGGACATTAAGGTAAAAAGCATCCCAAGTGCACCAACCAAACTTGTCTACAATTCCTGGTGGAGTCTTCTCCTCCAAGAGTTTGAAGGTTCCGAGATGATCTCTCGCAACCTTCATGGCCTCCTTGACCAGAGAAAAAGGGTCTTCGCCGGCGTGAATGTACAGAGCTCCCCGGAATGAGGAACCGGAGACTTTCGTCGACCCACTTTCCACGCAAACGTCGACGTAATCGGCATTACCGGGCTGGAGAGAAGCCCGGAAAGGACCTTCCAATAACGGAAGTAACAAGACGTATGGCCGTCCAGACTCAGATTTGTCGAGAATGACCATCTGGGTTTCGTGTTCCAGATCTCCACCGTTGGTTCCAATCCAGTGGGTTGTCCACCAGACCTTGAACCTGAAAATACTCATGAACCGTATGTTCTTCAGCTTTCCGACCGGCACAACATGGTGGCTTTTTGCCTCGTTAGTTTCAAAACCAACGAAGCAGCCGGCTGTGGTTGTTGCAGTCTTATCGCCGGCAGTGTTGGGTGATTGAGAGGCTGTGATATTAGAAGCAACATCGGAGAGAATCACGTGGCCATTGGCCATGAAGTTTGATCCTTCCAACGTGATCGATGACCCATTAAAGCCATCTGCAAGGACAGTGGTACCAGACCCATCTTTGCTCAAACTAGGAGCCATTGATGAATATACAAAGCACTGAACAAGAAAGAGAATGTGAGCAGGGAATTGTCCAGAAAGAAGGAACTATGGAGAGAGAAAGAAAACTGTAGGGTTTGGTGAGAGGTAGAGAAGCCAAACGGTGACTTATATAGATGTACAGAAAGGAATAGAAATGGAATGTAGAATCTCTGAAGATTCTCTATGATCTTGAAAAGAAACACTTGCTTTTTCTGTGTAGAGAATTCTTAAAAAAGCTGCTTGTTGCATTTCATGAAGACCAATATGGGAAATGGCAAATTTATAGGCAACGATGGGGTGTGAAGTTTCAGACGAAGGTGAGGAGTGGGCGGTTGGGTTGGATGCAGAGATGGATCTTGTGGGGCACACTGGTGAAAATATCTTTAATTAAGATTATCCATAACTATTGTTATTGTTCCTTTCGACGAAGACTTCTTGTTCCCACGAAGGCAAGGAAGCATATATGATTTAAAAATTATGCGGTGAAAAGTATAATATCGAGCTTTTAAGTCACATATTTGACCAAAAAAGGAAATGAAAGAGGCCATAATTAATTATACCTTAAAAATTTATAATGACGGTGGTTGAGCAGAAATTGTCCACTATATTGTTTTTATTTTCTTCTAAGAACGATAAATTTATTGCTGGTTTATACAGACAGAAAAATAATGTTCACATAAAAAAAAAAAAAAACGGATTTATGTTAGGAAAATTTTGTTGAAATTAATTAAAATTAAAAAAATTGCAAAGAAAACGATTTGGCAAATATCAAAGGCACCTCAAAGGTGTCAAAATATATTACATTACTAAATTAAACAATTTGAGTCTTTATTAAGTCATTTATTTTGTAAACGAGTGAATCTGACATGATACAATTAATAAATATTTTACTTATACCCGAATCGGATATGGGTGAATTTAATTAAAAAAAATATACAACACGATTTGTTTATATACCGATTATAAATTTTATATATGACACAAATTTGATATGACACCACTCGTCAAACACAATTTAATAAACAAATGAAGTATGAATAAAATATTTTTTAACACAAACCCACTTCGTAACGACACGAAGTAACACAAAGCAAATGTGATGTTCAACACCCGTATATACTGAGCTTTAAAAAGAAACGCAAAGAAAAACACCTAAAGATAGTCCTTCACCAAAAACATGTCATTTGAAAGATAAAAAATACTACACAATTCAAATGAAATTTAAAAGTTAAAATTCAAATGTATATCATCTCTTGGATGAGTGGACCTTACTGAAAAAATTGATGGGACTCATTCATTTAAAGGATGATATGTATTTGAGTTACATTTTTTTAGATTTTCTTTAAGTTTTGTAACATTGCTCTTGGCAGATTCATGAGATGAACTTCATGAATTCACCATTTCAAGATTATTTATTTATTTTTTTTCTTCTTACAGAATAAAAGGTCTTTTTAAATCTCTACAATTTAGACTCAAATTTTTCACAAATTCATTGACGTCAAATATTCTTAAATCTTACGTTTCAATAGAGTTGGAATCTTATAATATCAATACGAGAGAGAGAGATGATAACATCTGCAAATAAAATGATTAATGGTTTGATACTTCATGCCGAAGTTAATACAACCATTCTAGTTCATGGAATCCATAAAGCTGAAGTGAATGGGACAGGGTATATTGGGTCACTGTATTGGTGCGAATAATCGTCTATGTGTTACTTTGCCAAATATGCCACCTTTTATGAGTCTCCCTTGGGTTTTCATTCAGAAATTCTCTTGGGTTCCTTGGCGAAACGTAATGTCATCTTTTAAAAAACAGAGCTTGTTTAGCCAAACATCCACTTGTATATGTGAATATATCGTATTGATTCATACATCTTCGTTATGTTGTTATCTTTTGAACACGATAATCATATTGACGATATTTTTTTTTTTTGGTTCAATGGTTAGGAGTTTCTTTTTCAGTCTGGCCAAAACTAAGTCATTCATATTAAAATTAGAATATTCATAAGAGACATATTTCTTTGAAGTCATGGCTAAGTAAACCTAAGATATGTATAATTATATATACGTACTCACATCAAAACAATTAAAACGTCTCCTATGAAACTCGAACTTAAGATTTCTAAGACATTAACTATTGAATCTTGCCATTTGAGATGCCATAACAAGTATTGGATACTAGTGTGAGAGAAAGTGCTTTCCATTAACCAAAGATTAATGCTATTCTGATTTAATATTCTAATATGGTCTAATAAGAATAGTTGCTACAATATAGAACTTTTTATTGAGGGTACATTAACATATATAAATATTATTTATTATATCAAGATATTAGAATAACTATTAGGTACCAATAATATTATTGTTGAACAAATGTTCGATCTAAGAAGCTTCACTAACCCACGTCCTCAAATTATTCGTACTTTTTCGACAAGAATTCTTGCATTTCTCTAAAAACCAAAACTTCAGTTGTTCAGGTTTTGAAATTATGCATTTTAGCTACGACTCGGACGGGTTCAACTCCCCTACGATTCTTAAATAATCAGTCTCCCAAGAGTTCCAGTCCTCGTAGCGGTTACTCTCATAAAATATTATTTTGGAAAACAAGATAAAGGAAGGAAAGAAAAGTTATTAAAAATTATTAGACATTAAAATATAGATACGTCGGTGGGTGCTCTTTATCTTGGAAGTATACACACATGGAAGTGGGGACCTAATCCTAAAATAATTACATGGAATGCGGAATTGGGGGGGGAAAGTTCAAATTAATCCATTAACTAAGATTATGTTCTATATTAAATTTCTCGATTTGTTTTTTTTTTTTTTTTTTACCGAGGTTGGAACCCATGATCATGGAACGATTCCCATGAATCGGATTCACCTTGTTATTGGTAAGAGATTAAATTTTTAAAAGGCAACCAATTAAAATTAAAGAGTTACACAAACATATAAATTAATGCTAAGAATTCCGAATGAAATTGTATAACTCCTCAATTTTGATTGACTGTCTATAAATAATTTGTTGGCAAGTTGCATGTAAAGAATTTATTCTCTATTAATAAACTTGGTCATTAAAAAAAGGATGTGAGAAATATATTAGGACGGAAAACAGTAAAACTTGAACTTGAAGAGAGATTGATCAAAGTCTATTTTATCCCTATGTATTCTTTAGTGCTCTATAAAACAAAGAAATTCGGGGTGTAAATCTTGACCCGTGTGATTATAAAATTAATATAATTATTAAATGTGCATAATAAATAGTTTATATTAATGTTTGAACTTAGAACACATTAAATAATTTATTTTTTCATTGGTCTTAATATGAATACGACATAAATAACAATTACACGATATAAAAATATATGATATATGAGTCACACGACACGATACGAATTGAGACCCGTTCATATGAGCAAATTCTTGAAATTGAAAAATTTTGCATTCTACATAGACAGATATATCACAGGCCGTAACTAGCCAAACTTGTTCTAATCTACCGGTGGGAGTGGTCACACTAAAGATTCCATCATCTACATCATATATCAATCGTATGGTATTATTGCTTTCTACATGGCAAATAGTATTGGAATTGGGTCTCCCCTAACGCAGAGATCCGAAATGCATCTAGTTCTAATAGCCGTCCTTTTTATGCTTACGGTTCAGAAGGTCTAACAATAGAAATTGTATTAAAAATTGCATCCATAAGTCATCATTTTCCTACTTTAACCTCCCTAAGTAAGACTCAGTATCTGGAGTGGTAAATCTTTCACCCATAAACATAATTTTTTTGTATTATATCTTTATTTTTCACTAAATAAATAAGTGTCATGTGTAAAATTTTATACTCTATATTTTTTTACTATTGTATCTGATGGGACATTTCTGTCAAGTAAGTCCACTAATCTCACTCCCAACGAAGGAATTGACATATATCACAAGTGGAACTTATTACAATAAATATATGACAAATAATGAGTATTTTGATAGGCTAGTTCATACCTATTTCCCTGTATTAACAGTTGTATAGGTTGGACAGTAGGATAAGTAGCTCTCTAATTTTCTCTATATATATGGGTGAAGACCCAAGAAAGAGGGGCCCTGAAGTATGAGTACTTCGGCTTCATATTTCACACACACGCACTTATATTATTTTCCTAATTTTACACATTGGCTTATTTAGGTATTGATCACAATACTAATTTAGGCATCGTAAGGGCTCCTCCTGGCTCAATGTTGGGAGTCCCTCTAACCTTCTCTTGCCTTGCAGCTCATGCATCAGATAATATTTGAAGACTAGGGGCACACCTCGATATATTTCAACTATTGACGAATTTTTACTCATGTAGTATCATTATTTATTTATGTTTTATATGCAGTATGATTGGAATTAATATCGTAACCCTATGTCCAAACAAAACCTTAAATGGAATCATGCCCACAAAGAGGAGAATTTGGATATCTCTAATATATTTTTATTCAATTTATAATAACAATACATTATCTGTCAAGAGTTAAAGTAAAATTCATTATACATAAATGGATCTCTTATTAATATTTATTAATAATTTAAAATTCAATGGAATTAAAGCAAAAAATGCCAAAGAATTTTTGAATCCCAAAAAAGGCCGATAAGCCAACCCTACCATAAGCATTAAGCACCACACACCCACCTAGTCATTGGGAAGAAAAAGGTAAAGGAATAAAAAAGGAATAAAGTGTTTTTTTTTGCTTTAAGTTCGACACTACCGTGACGAACACGAGAGATACTTTGGTTAGATTGGACAAGAATCTAGCCACTTGGCGTTGATTCTTCGTTTTTTGCCCTTTAATTTCCGTGAATTTGGTATATTATTTCCTTAGATTAATTTTCATTAATTTGGTGCATTGTTTCCTTAGATGCTATCACCTGCCACAATTGACAGACGATAAAGATTAAAAAGTAATTTTTTTTGTTACACAAATTCTAAGTTTATGTCAAGTATTTTCTTGAATTTAGATATTAATTATTATAATTTAAACGAATTTAAAACACGTCTCCTAAAGAACAAATGTGCTGACCCTTAAGGGTATGAAAAATATTACACTTAAGACTTTTGAGTTATCAAATGATATACTCTGCCACTTAAACCAGTATTACGAATCGATGAAAATGAAATCTAAATCAATGGAAAAAAAATAAAAATAAGATGAACAATGTGCTAACTTGCTTACGCCATCTTCTAATTTTCATCAAATTGATTTTTTTTTTAAGGGTGAATCTTCAATCTCGATGGTAGCTCAAATGGTAACAGAGATGAACTGTAAATTAAGAGGTTCTGATTTTGAATTTTGATAACCTCTTGGATCTAGGGTATGAAATATTTATCTCTTATAAATAGTCTAGTCCTAACGTGAATGATTTCATTTTGATCAGAAAAGAAAATTAAACGAGCACTTAAAAAAAAACAAAAAACACTAACAGTCTCTCAACCTTTGACAAGTGGCGTCCCTTTCCCAACTGTTTTGGACATAGCTGGCAATTGTGCTTCCGTAAATCTCGGGTAAGGGGACAAGACTTGGGGGAAATTTTAGTGTGGTAGTTTTAAATTTTATAATTATATTTTTGTGATAATTTATGATGGATCCTACAAATATGACGATTGATACTAAAAATTCATAAGTTTTCACAATAGTTATAAAATATCTCTAAAAAATTAAAAAAAAAATTATAAAATTTATAATGGTGGTATAATATTTAATTTTTTTTGATATTGTAGACTTTTTTAGATTGAGATTTCTTTAATATATTTTTTTCTGATTTTTTTGAAAATATTATCTATTATACATTTATCCGGGACTTTTCATATAAAAATAGATTTTTTATTTATTGCTGATCAAATTATCCATTTAAGAAAAAATTAAAGAGAGAAAAAATATTGGTCCAATGGTACCACATGTCAAACGCAATTTAAGGAGAGAAAAAGAAAAAATATTCTTATTCAAAGCGTGCCACCTTTTGGCTGATCCGCAATGGCAAGTGTCTGCATGTGGACCCTATCCTGAATCCAGCAAAGTTCAACGGTACCAACTATCATGTACAGATGTACAGAGGTGTTAATCGAGTTAAATTCGAGTCTAAATTAAGTTAAATTTATACATAAACGAGCTGACTTGTTTACCTATTTACACAAACAAATTTTAAAAAATATTCAGGTTGACTTGTTTAACAGTTTAGCATCATTGTCCGTTAAAAAAAAAAAAATTGTATTTTAATTGGGGGGCGGTGGTTCGCCAACTACTGCCACGTAGTAGTCTACAAGGGCCCACAAGCACCGACCCTATCGTTTTCTTTTCTCACACAAAAGCAGAAGATACGATCCCTGGCGGGATAGGCGCAGACGTGCACGTGTAATACTTACCAGACAAGCAATTCAATGGTGTTTGCAGCACGAATTTAACCCTGTCAAGTAACCGTGACAAATTATTATTCTTAAATTTAAATTTTAATAATTTTTTTAAATTAAGTTATAAGTATTAATCTCTTATAAGTATATTAATTTTGATATAAATAATTTATCTTTATTTAAACTAAAAAAAAAATTATTGAAAAGACACATAAATTAATTCAAAAAATTTTAACTATTACACAAACAGGAACAACTACCATAGTTTTCGTGATTATAAAAAAAATTAGTTGTCAGATCCGTATGTGGTTAGTTGGACCGTTGGAGACAATAAATAACGGTCATGTCGAGGTTAAAATTATGAATAATTTTATGTGTGCACTAAAATTAATTATCGTCTTTAAATAATTGATTGGATCTGTTGATCTGATGGTCGTAAAGTGATTTGGTGCATATTTTTAAGACATAACTCATTTTTTATCTATGAAGTTGTCTAGGTACCTAAAAAAAATTGGTATCATATCCACATTTATTATATTTGTAGATGTTTTATTATTTTTTTTATATTGAAAAAAAAAAAATAATTACCACAACAGTGAAAAAAATACTAATAAATGTGAGAAATCACTGACAAAAGTGAATTATTTTTTTGTATCGAAAAAAAGTGATAAAAATAATTACTACAATAGTGATAAAAATACCTATAAAAATAATAAATTTTTTGGTTATAAATCTACAAAAATTATAAAAACACTCACTGAATTAATAAATTTTAGAGGTATGGTACTAATTTTTTTTTTGTTACCATAATCAAATCATTGATCTATTAATAATTATGTATAGTTTAATTTAAATTATGTCACATTCGTATCACGTATACATTAAATTTAATAAATTCATTTGTTATGCAAGTCCATCAGGTCAACTTTTATTACCCGACTCGTTAAAGTGAAACAACTTACTAATTTTATAATGATTTTGTATTGAATTCACAACTTGTATTTGGTGGTGTAAGATTTAAAATTGAGAACACTATATGTTGAATTTTGTTGCCAGCATTTATACTATTTTGGTGATGGGAAATTCTGTTTATAATTGGGAGTGTTATGGTATGCAATTGTAAATTTGCAAACAAATTGCATCAAAAGTGTATTCAAAAGAAATAACTCCTAAATCTATATTAATCGAATCTGTTTCATATTGCATTGTAATGAACTTTGAATTAAAATAGAGAGAAAAAGAGGAAGAAGAAGAAGACCTTAATCTATGTGAACTTGATTATGATCCAATTTGATAATGAGATGACTCGAATTCAATAGGAACAAGAGGATCAATTGGAACACTCACTAAGGAATAACCGATCTTGGTTCTCAATAAATGGTTATCAGTCTTGCCACTAATAGTGAACACGGGTGGGTTGGACATGTTAGAGGTTCAATTAAGACCACACTGAAGTTATAAAATTTTGAACCCAACTTTCAACTTGAGTATTGCCTGAATTAATTTGGGTTCAAATTGGACTCATAATTCGGATTTAATTTCAAACATGACATAATAAGTTGATTAACTTAAATTCAATAAAAACATAAACACAATTAAATTTGTGTTTTTTTTTTAATTTTGGGCTGAACCGAATTGTGAACCTGATTTTAGTAAATCGGGTTTGGTTCGAGTTGAACCCGAGAACCCGAAAGTTCAACTCGAGTATAACTTGAATTCAATTCGAATGGAAGTTTTTTAGTCCAAGCTTAACCTAAGTTTTAAATACTTTAGCCCATGAGTTAGGTTCATATTAGCCCGCCCAATTCGCCTTATTTTTTTGGGATTGAATTGGAGTTAGGTTCATCTTAGCCCGCCCAACTTGCACCCGCTGTGCAATCCATACCAAGTGGGCTTCTTCTTCTCATTCATTTGGTCTTAACTTAAGTAGCCTTACTTTAGCCCAAATATAATTCGACTTCGAATATTGGCCCAACCAATTTGTGGGCTTTGGGAATTGTTTGAGCCCAATAATGTGTTCTTAATACAGAAAATAAACTCCGTAAAGTGAAGAAGGTAGCTACGATAACATACTACTCGATGGAGTCGTCGTCTATACCCTCTCAGTTCAATGTTCAAAGGTACTCTTTCTGAACACAGACACATTCATAAACACGCAGATAAACGTGTTTATTCTAACACTTTGATCTGGAACTGCATAAACCCTAGCTATCCCATAACTTTATGTTCGAAAGAATCTCATTCTTAAAATTTTTAATTATTTTCTCATTTACAGTATTTATGTTTCTCGGTACTTAGTACTCTGGGTGTAATTGATTTGATGATTTCTGTGTTCCTTGGACCATTAAAGCCCTATGACTACAGGAACTGGAAGAAACCCAGGATGGGTACTTCCCAGATATGTGCATATACGTAATTGTCCCTCGAAAAATAGATATTTACCAACACGATTGTGTTTGGCCACTGCAAATGGTGGTTTTAGGCAGGAGTCTCAGGGGGTTGGCGACAGAGATGGTGTTATTATCGTTGACCATGGGTCGCGTCGAAAGGAGTCCAATCTTATGCTAAGTAAGCTACTCTAATGCTGTAATACTGCTACTATATTATGGTGTTTTAATAATTTTCACTTAAATAGCGGCGCGGGTTGACTAAAGCTTGGGGCAGTTAGTGTCAAGGGACTTACGATTTCAATTTTGATGTCTTTCAGATGAGTTTGTGGCAATGTTTAGAGACAAGACCGGATACCTGATTGTGGAGCCTGCTCATATGGTAATTCAGCATTTCTTTGCTTGATGAAAACTGAAAATAAATCTACATAGACACTTAAAGTTAACCAAGACATGCACAAGGACACACACACACACATTTTATGATCCATGTTGTCAAAATTTTCTTTAGGGAAAAGCTCGATTTTTTTTTTTTGGTTCAACGGGGTGTTTGGGCTAGCTTGACTAATTTTCTCCATGATCCGGTCAAAAACAAATCATTCACACATGTACTAGGATATTTATTAAGGATAAATTTTTCATTGTCTGGCTCAAGTGATTGTCAAAATTTGAACTCGTCCTCTAAGTTTAGAACTCGTCTCTGTTACCACTAACTTGGAAAAAGCTCGATTTATGGTAAACAAATTGGGTGGAAAATTGAATTTGTATGACTCATATAATAGAGCCAAATTTTAGTCACTTCGTTTGCAGTATTTTCTCAGTAACAAGATGGTGCATTTATGTCTTGTTCTTATCTTTCTTAGTGCACCACCATGTTTGAGAGTTCTACAAAGCCTAGATTCTTTCTCTTGATGTTATTTTAATGCAAAGTAAAAAGTACTTTTTTTTTTTATCTTGTCCTTGTTGCTTGCAATCTCACATTCCTCTAACCTGGTATTCTTGGCTTTTTGTGTTATGCATTCTTGATTGTCGTGATGTTTTCCGGATGCGCCTGACATCAATTTCTTGTCTCTTCAAATGTTTTTTCAATATATGTAGGAGCTGGCAGAACCATCGATAAGAGATGCATTTAGTTCATGTGTTCAACGAGGGGCTAATCGCGTAATTGTAAGCCCATTTTTCCTGTTCCCTGGACGACATTGGCACCAGGTAACTTAGAATAATATCCTATGGTATGTGGTATTCGATTGGTTATACAGTTAAACAGAATCTACGACTCCAATCTCTTGATATTTAGTATTTTACAGGACATTCCTTCTTTAACTGCTGAAGCTGCAAAGGAGCACCCAGGGGTGTCATATATTATAACTGCACCTCTTGGCCTGCATGATTTACTTGTGGTATAAAGCTCCTTCCTTGTCATCCTTAATTTCTTGAACATTCTGTTTTACATAAATTCACCAGACCAATGTTTCTGGAAATCTACCTATTTTTAAGATTTTAATCAAGTTTGTGTTTCAGCATAACAGCATATGCTTTGATTTTCTGGCTTCCCTCCTTGAAGTTGGTTTGATTTTTCTCTCTGAGATCTATTTGCACAAGTCTGTTCAAATATTCTTTCTATTTTATTTGTCATTATAATATGTGTTTTCTTCTTTTTGACAATTTTAATCATCATTGAAACCAATCAATATCAAACTTGTCACTACGGTGTCACCCAAACCAAAATACTTGGTTGATATGTAATAATTGTTTTTTAGTTTATATTTAAAGAAAATAGTGAATTGCTCCCAGATCTCTCGAAGTGGCTGAGTTTTTTGAACCATGGCTTCTGGTGGAGACACTGGGGCTGCTCTCGCCGTGGTTTGTGGTGTCAGCGGAGGGAGGTGAGGGAAGAAAGGGTGTTTGATAAGGTTGATCTTGTTCTGATGCTGAATAAGTCTGAAAACAATATTATTTTGTTCCAACTACGAATAAGAGAGCCAATGCTGGCATTTTAGGCATATTTAGTTGATTCAACCTTTTTCAGTGGCTCTGACCAAAAAAAAACCTTGTTCAGTGGCAGAGCCGCAGAGGGTATCTGTCTGTTACTTCTCAAAAGTATTGGGTTGTCATGTCGTTTTGCAAATAATATGGATGTGGGTCTCTGTAAACTCAAAGGGTTCGAGTTTACTTTTCCTTAAAGAAAAATGCATTTGCAATTGTAATGAAGTCAATCATTCATTCTAATATTAGAAGACTTGGTTTTTGCAGGATGTTGTGATTGACAGAATCAACAATTGTTTGAGCCATATTGCTGGAAATGTGGATGAGTGTTCGGTTTGTGCTGGAACAGGCAAATGCCGGCAATATGATTAATCTAAATGACAATGAGAACTCTACGGGATCTTGTAAACAGTGACTGTTTAAGATCGAAGGCTGCACGGGCTATGTTGTAATTGTTTTATTGTAATACTATCATCCACTAATTTTCAGGCTAGATTTTGAGATGCTGCTACTCGGGGAAGGAAAACAAGTCAATATATTCTTTTGAGGATCACTTATGGGAATGCTTCTAGCAACGGATTCTGGGATCCCAGCTGCGATTAGTGAAGCCTTGCACTAAGGTGGCTAGAAGTGGATGATGAATGATTATCTGAAGACATTGATCCTCCAGAGTGTGGAAAAAAAACTAGGTGGTGCTTGGAGCTTCACGTGTATCCTTCTTTTTCCTTTTATTTTTTCATTTCAGCATAATTTGTAAATTTTTTATCACTCGAATGGCAACGAGAGGAAATAATTTGTTCTTATTTGAAAATAATATTTGTATTTTCTTATCAAGTACATAACTTTTCTAGGAAAAAGTGGAATACTTCAACAGTATGGATGCATATGCTTGCTTTCTCTTGCCTTTTTCCTGCCTTCTTCGTCCACTTGATTTGTTTGGTATTCTGCTTGCCTATTTTATTTTGGTTGACACTAACAGGTTTCTTGTTGATATCATATGATTAAGTCGCATTGATTTAGCTGTTCCTCTCGCCAATGGCAAATATGTTCCTTTTCCATTTATTGACCAGCCAATTCCTTCACCCAGTTCCAAGTTCTTGTCAAACTCTCCATCTTCAGTTTTATACCTGCACTTGCTCGAGCCTGCGCTTGAGCAGGGGTTTCTTGATCAACAGGTTGTCGTGCTGCAATTTCAGTAGCATTTGTAAGAGAATAGTACAAGTCAACATAGAAGAAAAATTTTCGAGGTAGTAAGCTATGATGGTCCACCGAATAAAGATGTCAATGAGGTGAGAGTTCTTACCATTTCTTTGGGACTGTTCTTCCCGCTGCTTCAATTTCTTGCTAAAGGACTTAGCTGCACTGAAAACATTTGCAGGTCTTTCCCAGCCTTGCCCGAATATACCATGCCCTTCTTTTGGTTGAGGTCGAACGACAAACTCGAGCACTGCCAGCTCTTCTCTATCCACCCAATGGATGCAGTTCACTGGACATGAATCTACGGATACCTGCAAATTGCGAGTCATTCCCATGGTTGCGGTTGTGTTTAAACTTTACAAAGACCACCAACAGTCTACACTAGTGAAGTAATGATGTCAAGGTATGATTCACATATGCTAAAGTTTGACTTAATTGGGGATCAATACGGATCCCAAAACCTTGAAATTGATATTTTCAAGCACCTAAAAAAAGGAGTCGCCTTTTAGAACCCGATACCTAGGCTTTCCCAAGTCCTAACTTCCTATCTAACAACTACAATTTACCTTTCCCTACTTCCTATCCACAACAATATCCAGAATCCGTTCTGACTGCATTTTACCTCGATTTGCCTGTCATCATCTCCATATTGAACTTTGACTCGAGCACATCCAAGAATTTCATCCATCATGAAGGTGTTATTGGCATGGTGCACACATTCTCTGCACCCTGCAATCAATTCAGGTGCAGGAGTTTCAATCATATCATAACACCATGTCATATGATACATACCATCTAATAGCTTTATGTGGATGTCAATGACCAGTAGAATCTACATCCCGATATGAGAAGTGAACGATCTGAAATGAATTCATGAGGAAAGTCTTGTTTAACTGCTAAGGTTGCCATGGTATGTGTATAGTGCATCGTTCTTAATGAGTCATGTCGCGTGTGTCATGTTTTTGAGTCATACAAGTCGAATTTCTGTCAAAAGTCGGCTCAATCTACATTTAACTCATTTAATAAACGTATATAATCGAGTTCGTGTTTGTCTATAAATCATGTCTAGTTGTATTTGTGTCATGATTATTGATATATCACCTATGCAAGCATTCTCATCAACAAAAAGAGCTTGAGGTCTTAGAGGTCCTCTCCATGAGCTATAACCAGGTCCAGACGCATCTCTCCCAAGAAGCCCCCCAATTCTCACTTGACCAATGGAAGCATCGTACTCTCTCCTGAGATCCTCTCTCATCAGCACCTTATAAGCCTCATTTAGCCATAAGGTATGTTCATGGCCCTGAAATACCGCGATTTTTTTTACTCACGATTTTTTACATAATTCACATACAAGATGTAAATTACAGTGAGAAAAATATGAGTAAAAGACCTTTTGGCCTGCAATATCCGGGTGATATTTCTTTTGCAGCTTCCTGTAAGCTTCTTTGATTTCCTTGGAGTTTGAATCAACAGAAATTCCAAGCAATTGGTAGTAATTCTTTTCTGTTCTTGCCCTTTCTGCAGTCTTTCTATTACTACATCTGATTGTTGTATATTTCTGCCTCAATCTGAAGAGTATACAGCTAGGAGTTAGTCTCCAGAATAACCAAACAAGCATTTTTTAGAGAGAGAGAGAGAGTGGGTTTTTGGTTTCTGCTCTGTTCTTGACATTAGATTGATATATTCAAGCTCTGGTTATCAAGACATGATGGAGTTTCTTTAAGGAACACCCATGGACGGAAAGTGAAAGCTTTGCGTGGGATACCTCGAGGTGGGCTTGTTGGTATGGAATTGCTGATGAATTCGTAGATCCCTGGGTACTGAGAATCGGTGAGGTGATAATGCTACAGAGGCTGCCATTTTTTTGACTTCTCCGGAGCCCTTTGCTAGTCTTGACTCTGAACCTCATACAAGAAGGGGCTTTTTTTTTTTAAGAAACAAGCAAAGATATTTTTCTCCAAAATCCATATTATAGTTGATGCAAGCAAAGATATTTTTGTCCAACGTCCATTCCATAGTTGATGCAAGCAAAGATATTTTGGTTTTTCAGACTACGAAAGGAAGTTGCCCATAATTAGTTTTTAAAATTTGTCTTTTCTTTTAAAGTAGTTCTTAAATTTTTAATTATTTTATTTTTGGGTTAATTACAATCTTTCCCCTCCAACTGTCTCTTGTAATCAATTCCTTGTGGTTTTAAATATTGTAATTTGTCCCCTCCAAATTTTAAGTTGATTAAATTGACTAACAATATTGGTTGAACACTTGAAAGAATTATTTCACTATCTGTCTTATACATTATTTTTTATTTTTGTTTTTCTTAAGTTAAGAAAATGAAAAAGCCAAGACTAAAAATATAGAAACTTTTGCCTCTGTCTCATCATAAGAAATGAAAGGTTTCTATTGAATGACAGAAGGGAACGAGAGTTAACCATTCGAGGTAGGAGATGTGGTATAGTGTAAGTGTAATGGAAGAAATGTGAATATTTAGAATAGATATTTGGTATAGGGGAAAAAATAGGTGTAAGGATAATTATATTTTTCAAAAAGTAAGGATTACATAAATTTGACATGTTTAATTCTTGTCAATTTTTATTATCTAAAAATAATTATGAGTTAATTACAAAATATTTAAACTTAAAGGAGACTAGTTATTTATTAAAATTAAAATTTGAAGGAGTGAGTTACAAACTATTCAAAGTTAAATGGGTCATTTTATAATTAACCTTTTTATTTTAGTCCTTTAAATATCAATTTTATGTTACTTAAATTTTTTTGTCAATTTTAGACATTAAAACAAATGAAAAATATACAGAAAAATTTAATGGACACAAAATTGATAGTTAAAAAATTAAATTAAGATAATTAGAAATTCAGGAACTATTTTAAAACAAAAAGGCAAAATTTGAAGACTAATAAAAGTTAGAGTTGGAGTTTTTTTAAAAAAAAATTTTAAATTCTGATCCTGAGTCCAATCGGAGTCTGAGTTATTTCTCCGACTCCGACTTTGTTAAACTTGATTTATGGCTATTCAGTGGAACGACACATTATTTGTATATTCTATTCATTTTTTATTGTTGCAAATAAATTTGAACGACTTAAAAATCCTGCCAATTTCAAACGACTCGATTCGTAGTGCTACATGCATCGTATGGGATTAGGATGAGAGCATCCCATTGAAATCCCAAATCACTGTAAACTCCGATTCGATCCCAGAGCCGCCAGTGCGAGAGCTCAAAGGATTGCTCGCCGACGCCATCGGAGATGGAATGACACTGAAATCCACACAGCAATGGTGCTTACAGCGAGAATTCTACAGCCAATTAGGGCATCTCTCTCATCAATAATAGTCTCTCTCTCTTAATTCGCCTCCCTCTCAATTCAAGATTTCCATGTAAGTTCCATGTGTATTATCCATTTGAATTGAAACTAGTAAGCGATTGAAATTCCAAGATTTTTTTAATCAGAAAATGCTGTTATATATCGAGAGCATCGTGCTACGATTTCTAATTGCGCAGTTTAATTGGAGATTATATGCGCAAAGGCTTGACCAGATGAACAATTTCACTAATTTCAGGTTACATTTCATGATACTTTTCCTGTATGGTAAACACAAATATGTTCAGTTTTCAGCTGTAAGAACTAAAGATCAGGGTAATTCGGCCATTTGTTAGAAGGCAAGTTGCACCCGGAAAGTGTGTCTACGAAGCACAACTCCTCGGCTGCACTGCACATTGATTTATTCGCTCAGGGGCTTAAATTTTGGTCCGAAGAGTCTATCTGTGCGTGTTAGTCGTATTTTTTATGGATATTTTGCAATCCAAATGCTTCATGGGTTACCAATCCTCCTACACAGCTATTGGAGATTATCCAAAAGGAAGCTCGTCAAGGAATAGGCTAGGAGTCTTTTGTCTATTTTACTTTTGGATTGGATGTTTTAATGTTTATTAAGGTTTTAATATAACAAAGTTTTTCTTGATAAAAAAAAAAGCTTCATGAGTCATGACCAGTGTGTGTGTGTACCCTTTGATTTTTGTAAGTTTTGATATGTTGGTGGATGGAGCACAGTGCGAAAGAGGATTCATGTAGCCGACCCAAATATTTTGGGATAAGGATTTGTTGAGTTGAGTTGATTGAGTAACAGTTATTTTGGAATATACTAGTTGTGTCTGAAACAGTTTTAATAAAGGATCAGCGGGCATTTCTAGATATATTACTCAAAAGAACCAGTACAATACGCCTAATCGATTGGAATTGAGAAAAATTTGTCCCTATTGTTGGTGGACGATCATAGGGCTGACATGTCTGCTTCAGGCTTCGAAGAAGATTCACGCACTTCTGACTTTTGCTAGGAATTGTTAGTGCCTGTTTTTCTCTTGGTAACTGTGGTGATGAACTGGGGCCATCTCATTATCCTTGCAGCTACAGGTATCCTTATTCTTCTCAGCTCCAAGCCTAACCCAGCCCTTTCTCAGAAGATTTATTCATTGAACAGGTCTGTAGCTGTAAGCAGCGAATCTTAATCTGCTGCATTTATCATTCAAAATTTTGGCGCAGCTGCGTTGAAATTTTTGAAAGCATTCGCCATCTGTTACATAATGAAAAATCATATGGACGAAGTGTTTCTTTTGACTTGTGCTTGTGATCTAGATGCACACAATTACTTATGAACCACTGGTGTTGGGCAAATCCTCTTTTGGGACCTCAAGGTAGTATTACATTAAGTCTTACTAGACGGGTTTAAGCTTTAAGGCATATGCCACTATAACGGGACATAACATGGAAAATTAACTCTGATGTGCGCACCCTTGCAAACTTGGAGTGCTGAAAAGCATGTTCATTAAGAGATACGTAAGGCCTACCACTACTATTAGTCCACTTGTACAAGTGCTTCATATCACTAGGCTATATGGATGAGGGAGTATTCAGGGGATGGATAGAGATCTAATTTTTTTTTTTCCTACTAATAGAGATCTAATTAACCCGAATTTTGTGTGACCAATTAGTTGGGCTGGTTTGAATATCAGCCAAATTTGCCAGCGGATGAAGTTGGGCCAACAATTACTAGATTGTTGGGAAAAATGGTTGGGCCCCTGTTGTTTTGGCTAGGTGGTTTCGGTACCCACTGCAAGCCCAATTAATAGTACTCTTGACGGCTTCACTGGAGTTTCCTTTTCATGCTATGTTATAAATGTACAGGTTTAAATTATTGGCGATGACATTTTAAAACTGTTACAATTGGTAATGTGGTCTGAAACTCTGAATACGTTAAGAAGTAAGAACCATGTGAACAGATCAATTTGTATTCCATTTGCTTGTGCATCAGTATGAGGCATACAAACATTGCATGTGTAGACTGGTTGAGCTTTGAGCTTGATCAAGAGGATCATATCCTCAATTTTGGAGATTTTTGGGATAATAGTCTGCAACAGAACTGGCAGAGAACTAATTAAAAGACATGTGCCACTGTGCCAGTGCATCTCTGAATTTGCATATGGTAGTTTATTTTTGTTTATATATGCATCAGAGAGATTCTGCTGTGATATGTTGATTGATTGACATTTCTTTTCATAATATCTCCAGTTGCGGCAGCAATTTATGTACCAACATCCCTTCTTCTTATACAAATTGGAGGTGAGTGCATTGCACTAGCTGCTAGGCGTACTCTGTGATGCTTGGCATTTAATTCTTAACCTTCTGTTCATATACAGTTAGCTGCTATGTGTACTGAATTCAAATGCTCATTTTTAAAGCAAGTGGCTGGAAGTGATTATACTTCGAATAACCAATAATATTCCATCTACGGCACTTTGGAATTTCCACACAGGATCCCTGTCGAATGCCAAGTTTACCTATCTCGTAGGCACAAGCATTCCTTGAGTGACTGTCACAAAAGGGGTTATCACATTTTATTTTACTCCATGACGGCTGTCCCTTAATGCCACTTGAACTTCCACCAGGGAACCAATCAACCAGGTACACACTCTTCATTAGACTATTTCCATATCAGTTAAACATTTTCTGGCCATAGTAGTGTGGTAATTGCACATAGTCACATATAAGAGTGTTTACCTGGACTTGCAGACAATTACTGGTTATTGAGGCGACTTCTTTTGGATGCAAGAAATAGTTGAATCTGTGAATTACATTCAAATTTGCTTACTCTGTTGCCAATAAAAAATTCGTATGGTCTCTTCTCTACTCACCGAGCACTCCTTAGTATTGCTAGTGCTTGGGGATCATCTTGGTCTCTACCCACCCAACCCAACATTACAAAAATGAAAATTAAAAATTCCCCATTAATATTAATAATGTTTATTCCTGACTTTCATTATCAACTTCCATTTACTATAGTGCTTAACTTATTATTGTTATAATATGGGTCACGCTGCAGTCATGATGTGCATAGAAAATTATAGTCGAAGACATCGTGTTTCTCTATGTAGCTTGATTTGAATAAATTGATCAGAAGTTTACCCTAACTGGAATACTAGGGAGATTTTCTCTACATTGGAACAGAGCTCTTCAGAGTCGTATCATAATTTGAGGTTAGCAAAGGAAATTATCGGTTAACTCATAGCTTGAGAGAGTTGTTTCATTGAATGGCAGTGAATTGCAGGATTCTGCTTTAAGATTATCCTTCTTTTTCTTCTCCCCTTTTGATATGGGAATTTCTCCTTTCTGAAATCAAATTTTGATGCGGAAGGTAATAAAAGAACTGCAAGGTCGTGCTATTGTACAGACCTTAACCAATGGTGGGAAAATAGGCACTATAGTACTTGTTCATTGAAAAAAGCAGTTCTTGTCCGATATTTTTTGGTAAGGTTCTACCCTGGGTTTATGCTCCCGCTTCCTCTCCCATCTCTTACTGTCTACATTTTATTATCGTTTGAGCTTGTCAAGTCTGAAGTTTTAGGGGTTACCATCGACTTTCCCGCAATTTGGGGGGAATAGGATACTCGTCAAATATTTGGCAACATGGTGGTGGGATCTACAAATGGAAAAAACACATCCATTTCAATCATGTTGCACAATGTGAAGGTGTCATCGTATGCACAAGAGTGAGGGATACGATATGATAGTGCTAAGAGCATCATTATCTTTTAAGTTGAGTGCAGGATGCTCTTGTCGTTATGGTCCATTTAGTAGGGTGGGTAAAAATACGGAAAGATGGAAAATAAAAATGATACACTTTCTATCATTCAAGGGAAAAATCATTCCTTTGTATTTGATAAGAAAGATAGAAAGTACGAAAGATTGATTTTTTGTTGTGTGTGATAAGATGGAATTTTTTTTTATTTTAATTTTTAATTTTTTTTAAAAAAAAAATAAATACATATTTTAGCATTATATATATATATGAAATTAATGTATATATAATATGTAATTGATAAACATGATATATGTATATACAAATGATATATAAATATACATTTCAACACACATAATTAATTTTTTATTTACTTTTTCTCCCAATTTTAGAGGGTAGAAAGATTAATTTTGGTGAGTTGAAAAGAAATTTAATTCATCTATTTTCATTTCTTACCAAATATGATGCTTTATTTATTCTTCTAATTTTTCATCCTTTTAACTTTTTATTTTTTAATTTTTTTATTGTACCAAACAAAACATTAGTCTCTAGTGCCGCAAGTCTAGTGTTGGTTTTGCTGCTGATTTTTCTTTTTAACGTTGGTCTCAAGAAATAAATAGGATGTTAGCACTGCCCTTTTAGTATTCGAAACTCTAAAATTTCTGCCAGGGCCAGGGACAATTTGGTGATGAAGAGTTGTCCAAAATCTGAGTTTCCATAGAGAAGTCTTGGTCAATTTGATACATGTTTGTTGGGTATTATGCTACAAGTATATATAAGGGAGCCAGTGTCTCTCACTCTGAATCTTCAGGCATGAACCTCGTAGATCAACGTAGGTCTTTGGTCTTTCATATCTGAATCTTAGACAAGCAAGTAGTAATCGTCATTGATGGAGTCAGGTTCAATGGAAGGGCCACAGAACATGCCACCCCATTGTGGGAAGTAGATGAGAGTGATTGGGAGAGTGCAGAGAAGCATCGTGAGACCCATGAGAGAAATGCCTGTTTGGGTTGAGAATTTATTAGAGCCTGAAAACAGTAGTAACTGGGTCACTACGGCTCCCACAGTCCCACCACTTCCCGTCATCCCTGATATAACTCCAAGGGACCTGCATAATAGTACCATCAAATCATTTTGTCAGTGTTATTAGAAGCACATTAATTCCACTATATATTCATGCAGTCCTCCCAAGTATTCGCTTTATTTTACTTTTCGTTTTATTATTTTAGTCCTTAAAATTTTTAATTTATTTTACTTTGGTCCAATAAAAAATGATGTATTAAATAACTAACGTAGTCGCATGCATTTCATGTGACCACACTAGAGAGGTCATCTTGATCCATGAAGTTTTGCATTTTGTATCAGTCCGATTTAGGACTGTTAATTGAGTCGAGCCTATCGAGCTCGATTTTAAACGAGCCAAATAGTTCGACTATTTTACATATAAATAAGTTTAACTTTGTGAGTTCGAGCAGAACTTTCTAGTTTTTTTTTTTTTATTAAAATCAAGCTTAAAAAATTATTAAAGCTAGACTCATCTAATCAAGTTTTCTCCGAATTAACCATGAGTAGCTTGGGTTAATTATCAGCCCTAGTCCGATCCCTAAAGTTTGCAATCAACGTGGGGGGTTTGTGTTTGTGCAAGTGTGTGGCTCTGTGGGTTTGTTTGAGTGTGTGGCTGTGTGTCATTATTAAACATATTTTTTATTTTTATTTGTATAATTTATTAAGTATAAATGATTATCAAATATATTTTTTGTTTTCAATTCTTACTAAAAACAAATAAAAATTAATTCTTATTTTTATTTTTTAAAAAACACAAAAACAAAAAGTTACCAGACTTGACGAAAAGTAATACAATCAAAAAAATAAGAATCGAAAGTGATGGAATCATTGTTGTATTGCGCGTTTGTGGGACGCTGTGTGTGATATTTTTATAAGGCAGTCGTGGCAACCTTCTGATCTAGTGTTACCTTCGATAAATGTTTTCAAGACTAATGTCTTTTAAAGAGACACTGCCTGACCCATCAATATGAATAGATTCTTCTATGAATTGGTCTAAATCAACTTTAAAATCTTACTACTAGGGCGCTACCAAACAAAGCTTCAAGTTGTGTATATTGCACTTGCCGTTAAATCAACTTGACTGAACAGCTTTCATAGTTTGCACTATGTTGTTTGTGTCGATATCCCAGAAAACAAGGAACGAAATGAATGCTATGCATAGGTTTGTTGTCCTCTCAGGTTTACGGTACAAATCGACTGAATGACTTGCCCATTCAACTTTTCATATTCAATTTGTTTATTCGCTTAAGAATCTTTTGAATCAATTCGAAGTAAGGAGTTTTAAATATCTTATTCAAGATTAGTTTTTCCTATCTAAATTCTGTTTCGACTCATTTTGATCCTTCTTTTCAAAGAAACTGAGGTTGAACTTGTGTTTGAATTTAAACCTTATTTTATATTTTCGTTCATGTTTGAAAATTTAGTATATTCGGTTGATAAATAAATGAATATGACGAAATTTTTATTCTGAGTTGATTCTGAAAGATAATTAGCAACCTAGTTAGGCACACATATTGTAATAGGGACAAATAGTCCAGTGACCATCTGTCATGTGCTATTATTAATTATAATTAAGTTATGCCAAATATTATGTGTAATTTTAAGGGATAGTTTTAAGTGGTAATAAAGGCGAACTGTAAATTTAGATATTTTTAGCTCAAATATTAGCAGCCTCTTGGTGCTAGGTCCGGAGAAAATTATACTTAATAAATATTCTAATTCCGACATAAATATCTTGTTATTAAGACATAATTTAGGAATATAATTTAGAGATATAATAAATTATGATTATTAAATTAATAGTAGAATATATTTAATATTAAGACTCACTGATAATTTAATAATAACAATCATTATCTTTTTAAATTATATTTCAATAATATTACTTGTATGTGCGCGCGCGCGTACCTTTTGGAAACAAATGGAACTACCCCAAACGTAAGCCCAGAAGCAGCTTGAACAAACAAAGAGAAGCTGCACATTACTAGTATAGACCCCCAGAGTGAGTTGACTCGCCCGAGTAACACACAAAGTAACCCAGCCACTGTTTGCACTAGCCACAAGCTCCACAGCCTCCCTCTTATCCCAAACCTCTTTCCCATCTCGTCGGAAACCACCCCACCGGTCGGCCTCGACACACAATTCGCCATCCCAAAGGTCGCCGCTATAAGCCCCGCCATGTCCATATTAACGTTAAACCTGTCGTAAAAATACTCCGCTATGATATTGTCAGTAGTTAGCTCAACGCCGAAACAGAACCCATATGTCAAACCCAAAATCCATCCTCTATAATTCTTCAACCCATTGAAGAGAACATCGAAAACCTTCTGTTTTGGCTCTTTGCTGGTTCTCCGTCGATGTTTGTAGTTACCGTCCGGCAAGTCCTGGCCAAAGGCCAACACCATGAGTCCGGTGGCAGCTTGGAATATGGGCGGAACGATAAAAGCGATGCGCCAAGCCATAGAAGATTGAACGTTAAATCTCATGATGAGAGTATATAAGAGCGGCATTACAACTTGGGCCAAACCGGAGCCGACGTTAGCCCACCCGGCTGCGACGCCGTTGGCACGGCCAACGACGCAGCTGGAGAACATAGAGCTCATCCAGAACTGGCTGGACACGAAGTTGGCTAAAGAAAACCCAATGAGAAAGCGAAGGAGAATGAAAGCTTGGGGTGAGGAAATGAACGCTACGGAGAAAACTACGGGAGCAGTGAGGAGAGACAGAGTAGCGGAGGCCATACGAGGGCCCACTAAGTCACAAGCGGGGCCCATGGCAAGGCGAGAGAAGATTGAGCCGGCGAATGAGGCTATGCCGGCGTTGCCGACATCCGTGTCGGAGAGGTTGAGGTCGTCCCGGATGATGGGGAGGAGTGGAGGGATGGAGAAGGTGGAGAAGAAGCAGGAGAAGAGAGAGAACCAAGCCAAGTGGAAGGCTCGCATGTGAGGTGATGATAGATCGAAGGGTTTGAATTCGGTGGCCTTGTGATCGGAATCGACTGGTATGGAGAATAAGGGTTGAGTTTTGGAAGGAACTTCCATGGCGGACGATGATACGGAAACAAAGCGTTAGCTATGTTGCTTCGTGAAATAAGTGGAGAACATGTTAGTTTATTGTCGAGGGACTATATAGAGCGAAGGAAAATGCGATATGAAATTAAAATACTGAATTATTCAATTATTATCATTGACTTATATTGGGTCTTATAGTATTTATTAAGACCTAGTAATCTAGTGCAAAAGAAAGAATAATACTCATTATAATTCAATATTTGGTATGATATTGGATTAAGGTTGAGATAATAGAGTATTAATTATATATTAATAAAAAAAATTATCAATCTAATCTAATTATTCATGTTTTTGTTTATTTGGTGGGCAAAATAACAAAATATAAACTAATACGGTTACACTGTATTATAATACCACTTTTTTATGTGGTATTAAAATTGATTCAATAATACGGATATAATGTATTATTCATATATAGATTTCATACGTATACGAAATAGGACTACATATAATACGAAACATTTTTTGTTGATCAAATATAGTATAAGATTGAATTAAAGAGTTTTAATTTGTTATGACTACTTAATCCACTTCTTAATATTGCAACTAAACGACTCTTAAGTTCTGTTTAGTTTGCATCAACGAAACTATTTTTTCTTTTCACAAATAGTTTTTGGGAGAAAAATTGTTTGGTCAGTTGTTTTTTGTTTTTTGAAAATTGAGAAAAAAATTTAGGTAGATTTAAAGATTAAATCAAAGTTAGTTTGTTTATTTTTGAAACATATCCGAAATTTAGAAAATACTACCGCTACCACCACTATACTTCTACCACCATCGCTACTACCACACTTGTACTATCACTATATTTTTATTTTCATTATTTTTTGGGTTATTGTCAAAACAAATTTTACTATTTCTTATTACGTAAAAATGTTTTTAGAGTCATATAATCAAACAAGTTTTGCGATACAAAAAAATATCAAAAATAATTTTCTAAAATTTGAAAAAATAGTTTCGAATACTATTTTTTGAAACGCGAATTAAAAACACTTCAATTTTTCTACACACTTTTGTGTTTAACTAGTGTGAAGAAAGAAGACTCTCTAATCTATTGTTTTGATGATTGATGAATATATTAAGACGTACAGTATACATATGATGCCTAGATCATTCTTAAACCTTTGTACGAGGAAAGAATAAAAACCACAAAATTATAAGAACATTGATCATTGACTGACGATGAAGACAATTTTCACAGGTAAAATCAATTAAGAATCAAATTCCTTGATTGGGACTCAGTCCAATTCTTTACTTAACAAGTACTCAACTCTGATTTTTAAATGAAGTTATTGCACCTGCATGAGAATTCTTAAAGCATTTCTCCATTGACGTCAAGATACAAGCCGGGGTATCTTTGACAGAATTCTATTATTGAAATATTTTCTGGAGATTCTTTATTTTGCAATAAAATAATATTAAGTAAATCAAATCATTTTGGTCCTGTTTGGTAACGTTTATGTTTTTCGTTTTTATTTTGATATTTAGAGAAAACAAGAAAAAAAATACTCGTTTGATAATCGTTTTTATTTTCTTTTTCTGTTATCGTTTTGTAAACGAGAGACGATTTTCAAAACAAGAAAAAAACGTTTTTTGTTTTTTGATTCTGTTTTTTGTTTTTTTAGAAAATCAAAAATTGTAATCGTTTCCAAACGAGTCCTTAGTGAATCATTATTGTTTTCAGTCGATGGTAGAGCCAGAAATATATTTTAGGATGGACACACTCTAACTATAAATTTTATTTTGTTCTCTAATAAATAAAAATAATGTAATACATTTTTATTTTGTATATTATATTTGATACTTAAAGATTAATTATACAAGTATACAATATCTATGCAAACAAAAAAATTAAGGAAAAATTTCAGTTACATCCGTTCTAATTTACTATATTTTTAAGGACACCTAATTTATTATCAAAAACATCACTGACACCCCTTCTATTTTATATTTAAACATCACTAATATTTCCTCCTCTTAATTCACCATTTTTAACAAAAAAAAATCATCTAAAATATCAAAAATATTCCTACATAATCTTCAAATAATCTTCTTACATAAAATTTGATTAAAATTCGAGTTGACTAAAATTCGTTTTTCTGCATATTAAAATTTGAGAAGATTAAAATTCGATTCAAGCTAATTAAATTTTATTTTTTTTACATAGTAAAATTTGAGCCAATTTGAATTTTACCTGAGTTGTTAGTACTGATTAAAATTCTTTCCAAGTCAATTAAAATTAATATTTTTTTAACTTATTAAAATTTGATTCTTTAAAATTTGAGTCGATTAAAATTTTATATTTTTTATGTATCAAAATTCGAGCCAATTAAAATTCAGTACGAGTTGATTAAAATTTGATTTGATTTTTTTCGACTCATATATAATTTTAATTAGCTTGAATTTTAATACGTAAAAAAATATAATTTTTAATTAACTTGAATTTTAGTACGTAAAAAAAATTAATTAACTCGAATCGAATTTTAATCTACCTAAATTTTAATACGTAAAAATATTTAGAAAATAAAGAGTCTCATTGACGATATGTCTATCTAGAGGGGAGTGTGGATGAAGTTTTTTCTCAAATATATCACAGACAATTTAGTAAAATTGTATTTTAGTTTACAGTTTTATGTGACATGGGTGTCAATGAAGATTCAAAAAATATAAAGGGTGTCCTTGAAGATATAGTAAATTAGAAGGGGTGTGGTTGAAATAGAACCCAAAAAATTATAACACAAATACATTGGATGAGTGAGTTCCATTAACTTTTTCAATGGGATTCACTCATCTAAAAGTGAATCCCAAAAAATTACATTTGAGTTATGTAAAATTTATAGGGAATTAGTTCAAGGATCTAATTCATTGCGGTTATTGAATTAATTGTGAATTTTAATATTAAATACAACTTATTTATACGATTAATTACATTTCCAAATTAGGTATAAATACCATTTTTTCCATTTCTAACATGTCGTAGCCTTGAAAATTGATTTTCATTTAAAAACAAGAAACAAGTATTCTTTTATTTTATTTTATTTTTCTAAGTTTTTTGATTGCCATTGATCCTGTGTATGATCAACTGCCAATGCATTTAGAGCTGAAAATTTGTGACTGTGAATCCAAAAATAAAACATATTTTTGTACAACGTCTCAAAGTTGGTAAAAGTTCCGTGGTGTATACGCCAATTTGATTGAAACAGTTCCTACGTAGCTCAATTCTACAACGTTCTCATTAATACTTTAGATGGATACTACCCCAGAAAAAAACATATAGTTTTTGTTAGATTGCTCCAGCTTCCTGCTAATGGTAGTCATTTACAATTTCAATTTGTTGTCTAGACTCTAGATAATGCATCGACAAAAGAAAACCAAAAACAAGGACGTCCTATTTGGAGGCTGAACAATTTGGGATGTTTTACTAGTTTTTGTTTTTTTTTTTTTGGGAGGGGGGGGGTTCTTTTTCTTGATGTACATCAAGAGAGAAATCGAATTTGAATTTAGGTTTTCTTATATTTTTCTTTTTGAGAAATCATCCATTAATAACGGGCGACTCATTTATATACAATAAGTCTCTGTCATCACAAAATCTTTTGTTTAGAGTGTAAGACTATGGCTGGTTTGTGATCGTATTTTTCTCAAGATAAGTAAGAATCAGACTTTTTTTTTTGATCTGAGACTACTAACTAAATTTAGAATGCACAATTCTAAAGGTAGCTCAAGTAGTAATAAAGATAAGCCATAAACTCAGACGTTTTAAATTTAAATTTTGAAAATTCTTTGAGGTCAAACTGTGAGAAATTTATTCTTTATGAATATTCTAATTTCAGTGTGGGTGACTTATCTTTGACCAAATTAAAAAAAAATTAATCAAAATATGCATAAATTAGTCTAAATATCTTTAACGGTTTAAAAAAAATTTAGAATACACATACAATCATCCAAAACTTAAGTATATCATTATCAAGTTAAGTGAGCCACTCGCTATTATAAAACTGGTGAGGGTGGGAGTGGGGCGCGGGGTGGGGGGAGGAGATGGATCAACGGTTTCTTTATTGGGATTTGGGACAACAAATTCTACAAGGCAATCGTCGAAAAAGATCAACAAGGCCTAAATTAGTGGCTACGCCATATAACTTTTCTCCTTGTTATTTTGTCCTTAAGTGGGGTTGCTTTTAGGCTGCCGAAATATCCTGGTGGTAATGCTTCCATATTAGTCCCAAATATACCTACTGCCCTCTCGGTTGGAATGCCTTAGGTAGGTTGTTTTAGGTTGCCAAGTTAGACCAGGATTCTCGAATCTAGATTCTTTTTCACACACACACACACACACACACACACATCTATATATATATATTAAAAAAGAAATTAACGAATTATTCATTATTAATGAGTAAAAAAATTTACTTATATATAATAGATCCTATTTGAATGCATGATAAATAATTTATCAGAAAGAAAATTGAAGAGAAAATAAATTAGAAAAAAATGTATGATAGATGATTTGTCAAGAAATATATTAGAAGGAATCTCACTACAGGATTCTCCGATCTATTTGGGTCAAATCCGTTTTTAAGATAGTTATGTGAAGCATGAATCTAGATCTTCTCTATTATATTCTCAATTCATGAAGCATTCATGTATCTTTTGTTAGGGTGAAATTTTAACGGATCAATTCAAATTCGATTCAAACTTTATTTATATTTTCGTCATTTTATGGTTAATCCAATGAATTAATGGTCCTTCAAACAAGTTGGATGAAATTTCTTCTTCACACTCAATTCATGGAGACAAAGTAAGTTCCATCTCCCCACAACTAACTCAATCGAATTAGACAGGATTGGATTTATCCCACTCAAAATTTTCCTGTCTTTTACCTAGGCCGGGTCAATATGGCCCAAGAATTGGTACAAATTCCCAAACCCCGGCCAGCCCAGCCCATGGGTTTCCGACATGTCACCATTGGTGATGATATATATAATAAAGGTACGAGTCATCTTATACTTTCAAAAATAATTCAAGCGGTAATAAAGATGGACAGTTAATCTAAATATTTTAAATTTGAATTTGAATTTGATAACTCTTTGAGACCAAATTACAAGGAATTTGGGAGACCAAATTACAAGGAATTTGGTCGAGGTATGCGTTAATTGATCTGAATATCCTTGATCACTAAAATAAAAAAAGATTTAACTTAGTCTTTAACCAAATCAAAAATAATTAGTCCATGTACACAATAGCTGTTGTTTGGTGGGGTCAACGATGACTTAGAATCGGAGCACAGATTTTTCAGTGAAGCAGAAAATATCTTCGGACACGACAAATTCATGATGAATACGTCGGCAGTGGCAAGATAATTTTCGGGCATCTTATTCCGTCACTAGTTTTGAACCACTTTGGTTTGGTTAGCTCTTAGAAGATTTAAGTGTATGTATCTCATTTTGATATTATTATTTTTTTTATTGTGATAATTGCAGTGTAATATAGATTACTCATAATGATATTTTATATGATCGATCATTCTAAATATATTGAGATTGACTGTTATGTTATGCGACAACATGTAGTCCGAGTCACAATTCATCTTATTTTTGTTTCTTTATTTAATCAAACTATTGACATCTTCGTCAAGGCATATCTGTCAAGTAAATTTCGTGATTTGGTTTCCAAATTCAAATTGATTTTTACTTTATCTATATATGTGTTTGTCTCATATCGGTTAAATTAAGAAACTTCACCACTCTTTTATACTATAAATAAACCTCTTCTTATATATAATAAATCACGCTAAATTTGTATCATAAAAGATAAAAAAAATTATATATAAAAATGACAATGTATTTAGTTTTATTAAGATTATAGCATAAATGTTTCCTGCAAAATATTTGAAATTATACAATATACCCAAAAAATATTTATAAAAATCCAAAACTATAATAGAGACAGAAATAAATTATCAAACAATGTTTAGTTTGGACTACATTATTATCTTTTTAAATTGTTGAGAGTATAATATTTAATGGGAAATTTAGAGGCCGATCTCCTTATATGGATTTGTTTGGACTTAAGTCCGTTAAGAAAATTTATTTATTATGAAGTCTGTTTTTTGTTAATTTTATCATACTATCACTTTCCTTTAGAAGTGAAATAAAACTAAAAATTAAAAACTCCTAAATTTTAGGAGTTTGACCAACATTAAAATCTTTTTTCTCTTATATCTATTTATATTCATATATAGGTTAAGAATTTGACTAACATTAAAAAATTTTCTCTCTCTTATCTATTTATATATATATATATATATAAAATAGTAATATTTAAATAAAAAAACAAAATTTATCATTTGGACACAAAAAATAATACATTTAAACACAAAAAATAGTAATATTTAAACATAAAAAAAATTGAAACATTCAATATTAATATTTTTAAAAAATAACAAGAGTAACATGTTCAACATGCTTAACAAAAACTGTAACATACTTAATAATAAATATTTCTCTCAAATTCAAACACAAAAAATAGTACCATTTAAATACAAAAAATAATAATATTCAAAAAAAAAATAGTAATATTGAATATTAATATTTAGAAAAATAATAGTAATAACATACTCAACAAAAACAGTAGCATGCTCAAAAATAATAGTACATCAATAGTAATATATTTAACAAAAACAGTAACATCAATATTAACATAATAAAAAAAATAGTAACATAAATTTGAATTTAACTATTCAAATTCATAGTAATTTTTTTTTGTATTTGAATGTTACTATATATATATATATAGATAAATAAGAGAGAGGAAAAATTTTAATGTTAGTCAAACTCTTAACTTATATATGGATATAGATATTAACTTCCATTCAAGGAAGAGTATTTTTGAGATAAAAAAAAAAGAATAAACTTAAGTTATTACATATAATTTTAAACATAGACTTAACCCCTTATAAATTTTCTTACATGATTTATCTCCAAACAAGTACATTTAAGAGGACTCACTTCTAATTTTCACATATTTAATTTGTAAGCCCACAAAATATTTTTCACCTAATAATAAGTTGCAAATTGTTTATAATTATTTAAAAGGATAGAGAGAAAGGAGAAAATAAAAATAGTCTCAAGTCAAACGCAAATGGTGAACATCAGATCGAGTTAGAAATTTTTTTAATTTTATTTTGGCGATATATATTGGGTTGATAATTGAGTCAAACTACTCGAATTCAGTTCAGATAAAAATTAATTTAGGCTCGACTCTTGTTTTAAATGAGCCGAACATAAATAATTTTTTAAAATTCGACTCGTTTATATGTAAAATAGTTGAGTTATTCAGACTCAAAACAAATCAAACTTGAATATTTTTTTAGACTCGTTTAAAAAAATTAGCTCAATAGGTTTAGTTCGAACTTGCACATCTCGACTCAATTATTAGCTTTAGTCATACATCACATGTCAATACCCCCCCCCCCCCCCCAAAAAAAAAAAAAATTTGGTCTATAAAATATTCGGTCTATGTCTCTTCCGTTCCTAATCAAACAATTTGTCAAATTTTTTGATAAAAATGACCACGTGTCATTTTTTTTAGACAGTATCACATAATTATTGCACAAAAAACTTAATGATCCGTCTATGTAGGAACCAAATGACATGAATTGAATACATTAATGACTAAATTGATAAAATTGATATAATGAACGATTAAACTAACAAAAAATGTATATTTTAGAGTTCAAAAATACTATTAATCCTCTAAAAAAATTGGTAAATATCATAATTAATACCTCAAATTTTGTCTTCAATTTTATTTTGTTCTTTGAATTTGTAATTGTCTTAATTTAGTCTTTTAACCATCAATTTTATCTCAATTAAGTTATTTTATTAATTTTTATCGTTAGATCAACTTAAGACTAGTCTAATTTGATTCATTTGAACGTTGATTTAATAGTAAAAATGGACGAAATAATTTAATTGAGATAAAATTAATAGTTAAAAGATTAAATTGAGATAATTGAAAGTTTAGAGGTCAAATTAAAATTAAAAGACAAAATTAAGATACCAACTATTATTTTTACCCAAAGTTCGAACAGTCGAGCTCCGGCCACGCCTCTCTCCCGCCAAAGAACCTGCTAGCACTCGACTCCGACTATAAATACTCTTCGTTCGTTTCAAACCAAAGCTATCGTTTCTTGTTCACCAGGTAATCTCTCTCTCTCTCTTTCTCACACACGCACATATTTCAAATGGATGAATCTCCATTCTACTTCTATGTTTATGAATGAACAAGCAAACATGCTTGCATACACACTCACTCACTTGTACGTGTTAAATTCTGATAAATTGGCAAGAGATCAGGAAAATTACAGGATTTCTAAATGATTAATGTTACTACGATACGAGTAAGAATTAGTATAGCATTGGAATAGAGATCCAAGATCTCGCAATCTAACGTAGTGGATTTCAGGTTCATTACGAGCTCTTCCTAACGTGCTTAGAAAAATGCCGATTCAGATTTGAGGAAATTTGTTCAACAATTTTGATCGAGTTGTGATTCTTACTGCGACCTCAGTGAACCTTGATCTGGATATAGCAGATATTTGCTATTACTGTTGATTGACAATTCGTCGTCCAGAGACTGGCATTTTGAGTTCATCTCTTTCCAGGAAAGGAGGACATAAATTTTGTGCTTGACTGTTTGTATTTAGATAACAATGATCCATTTGTCAAATTATTGTGTGTATGATCCTACTTCTTTTGTGCTTGAAGTTTATCTGTCAGGAGGTATATGGCTTCTCAGACTTTGGTAATCCTTTGTTTTGGAGTAGAAATTATTTCTGTAAGGACTATTGATATAAAGATTTAGAGATTTTTACCCCCGGGGGGAGGGGCCTCCTCTTTTCTCTGTACTTTTGATCTGTGAGGGTTTTCAACTTTGCGAATGAGTATTGAGACTTTGCACTAGTTTGCACTTTGCTGGGTACAATGAAAATAAAATTATAGTACGATTGGCAGGCAAAAAAGAGGATTGTGAGAATGGAAGACATGGATAACATAACAGTTTTAGATTTTATGGAAATAACATGTGATGACGTTCTGTAAATGTTGATTATTGTTGAAATGCATGAGCAAAGCTGCATCTATTTCTATTCACTTATCGCTAGTTTCGTTTGGTGTTTTTTGCTGTCTAATTAGTTGCGATTCAGAATCTGTACGATCATGGTCCAAATGTAAAAGGAACCAGTTGTCTTACTGAGTGGAATTTTCCATCTACACCACACCAGAAGTGGATATCTCTGATCCTTCTTGTTTGCCACTATTTTTGAGTTTCAGATGTGATTTACTAATGGAACTCAAGCCTGATGTGCTTATAATTATCTAGGCAAATACTGGTGATTTTTTGGTTTCGGCATACTCAGTTCAACAAATGAGCCGATTTATGGATACATACTCACTCAAGTCAGTCTCAGATTTGCCTGCACCTTTCCGTTCAACTTTTAGTTTCAGGTACTATGTCGGTCGATCTTTTCTTTTTTGAAGCTGATGTAGAATGTGGTTATTAGATGTCAAGTGGTAGACAAGATTCATATAGTGTTTTATATCCATATCTTTTTATGTAAGATATCTATTGTGACTTTGGATTTGATTATTCCTTTTGATCAAACATCAAGCTAAGTAACATGATTCCTTTGTTTTTTGTTACGTGACAATTAATCCTATAACAAGTCTCTTTTGTCACTATTACAATGAAGTCAGAGCAAATCACACGCCCGAGGGAAGAGCAGAATAAAAACCTAAAAGAGTATAATACAAAACCTAAAAGGGACACTTGAGAGATCAATACTTTCCTTTGGCCTGATCTCCTGGTCTGGAGCATCAAGGGTTGCCAGCTAAGGGTTGTTTAATGCTCCAAACCAGGAGGTCAGGCCAAAGGAAGGAATTGAGTCCTTGAGCACTCCTAGAAGCATACTAAGTTAAGCATTCACAGATGGAATGTACGCAATCCAATTTTACCTTCTTTTTTTATGGCTATTTTCAGACAACTGCTTAGAGATAACAAGCACTGTAACTAGTTCTGCAAAGTAGATGCAACAGTTGGTATGGCGCTCATGCCTAAACTATGCAAGGATTTCAATTTTCTTTGCCTTCTGTACATTCCATAGCGGCAATCTTATACGTGCTAAATGACCTGTGAATAATTGTCCTTTTTATGTGTGCTTGGGGATACAATTGTATTGCCATACAGAGTGGACTCAGCTGCTCCATATACATACGTTGTATGCGCAGGTATTTTAACTCGTTGCAGAGTGAATGCTTTTCGGCTTGTTTCCTCTCCGATGTGAACATGGTTATTTCAGCACCAACTGGAAGTGGAAAAACAGTGCTTTTTGAACTATGCATTTTGAGGCTTCTCTCAAAGTTCATCTCCCCAGAGGAAAGATTCATCCATCTGAAGGGGACCCTGAAAACAGTAGGTCCTTACCTAATGCTAATGGCTAAATTTTATACGTCAGTTTCAATATAGATTTTGTAAAGGAGATTTTAAATTTTCAATTCTCTATGGATGTACTCCGAAGCTTGCCATCAGTATTTTTGCTTTTTTCTGTTGTGAGTTTTTGTATTTTTTCTTTTGGTTGGGGAAAAGAAGGGGGGGGGGGGTCTCTTAAACCTCTCAGTAATACTTTTTCATCCATCCGACAAGTTTCATCTAATTAATTCAGCTACTCATTTTCTTTGATGAAATAATATCCTTTGTTGCATTATTACTTAAAGGGCAAACTTAATGCTCTCGTGGCCATTGCATTTTGTTTGGTAATGTATAAGTACTCTATGCAGCAGTTAATGAGGTGTCTTACTGTTTTTCTTTTCTTGTGGTATCAAGATCTACATAGCACCATCTAAGGCTTTGGTTCAGGAGAAGCTCCGTGATTGGACCCAGAAGCTGGGGTCATGGGGAATAAATTGCCTGGAGCTGACAGGTGACAACGAGTTTTATAGCATAAGAAATATACAAGAAGCAGACATTATTCTAACCACTCCTGAGGTCAGTATGCAAGTCGATTTTATAAATGTTTTTGTTTGTTTGATTCTAAACCTCATCTTTGGAGCATGTACTAAAGATGCCTATTCTTTCTGTAGAAGTTTGATGCAGTGACTCGATATCGCATAAAAGATGGTGGCTTGAGCTTTTTTAGTGATGTAGCCCTTGTACTTATCGATGAGGTTCATTTGTTGAATGATCCTCGAGGAGCAGCTTTGGAGGCAATAGTTAGTAGGACAAAAATGCTTGCTTACAGCCCTGAAATGAAATCAAGCCCTCTGGCCCATGTCCGTTTCCTTGCTGTTTCTGCCACTATCCCAAATATTGATGATCTTGGTAAATCTCAGATTTTAATTGCACGGCATTGAAGAAATAACATAATTCCAGTTTTTATATATAATTATCAGCATCCAAAACTTATAATACATTTTAATTTTGCAGCTGAATGGCTTGTGGTTCCTATCGAAGGAATTAAAAGGTAGATTTAGAGGCTATCTCAAAGTGTGTGCTTGTTCTCATCATTGAGTTTTGCCTGTGCAATCTCGTGTCTTTCCATTTTTTCTGCAGGTTTGGAGAAGAAATGAGACCTGTAAAGTTGACTACCAAAGTTTTTGGTATGCCATTTCTGCCGTATTAGTATTTTATCAAGTGTCTCTCCCAATAGTTTACTTATGTCAGTAGAAACCATAGTTATTAGTATCGTACGATACGTTACGATACACTTGAAAAATGATACGTATCGTGTCTTTGTATTATTTTTGCACCATATTGTACGATACAATACATCCGATACATAACAATTCTATTTTTTTATTTATTTTTTGGTTTTTTGGGGGCAAAAATGACATCGTTTTACCCTATGACTTATTTTCAAATCACTAGCTAGTGAAACGTCGTTTTAATAGTTATGGTTTAAAAAAAATAAAATAAAGTTTGTTGTTAATGTTGTTCAATTGAATTCAAAATTCATAATTAATATTAAGGTTGTTCAAGCAGTTGATGTTAGAAGTTTGAATTAGAGATCTTTGCATTTTAATATTATTGAACTATGTTGGGAACTTGAATAGTTGATGGAATATTAATGAAATGTTATGTTATTAAGAGTCAATGACTTTTTTACCAAGGTATATATATATTATTAATTATTTAAAAATTAAATTGTGCATATTTTATGATACACGATATGACATACACTATTTTGAAAAACGATACGCCTTTCGATACGCGATTTGACAACTATGATGAGAACAAAATGTTACGGGAAGGTTGTTAACAGCTACATTTGTTTCCCTTCATGCTGTTCCATTCATATGGGAATTTCCACGATTACAGAGTCTGTCATTAGATTACTTACTGCTGACTGCTTGCAGGCTACACACCTGCAAAAAATGACTTCCTATTTGAGAAGGTAAGTGCGTGCAGTTCATTCTCATGTTTGGTGACCCTGAATGAAGTTCTGGAAAATACAATCTTTTACTTCTTCTGTCAGGTTCTAGTAATTGGAAAGATAATGTTGAAGTCCTTATTTGTCAAATTTTCAATTATAATTTTTAATTAATTTTATTTTGACAAGTTGAATCTGTTTCATTTTCCTGACGATTCACTTCATACCATCGCTCAGCGCCTCCAGAACTATGTTTTTGGTAAGCAGAGACGGACTAATTATCAGATTATTCTACCCTCATTTCATGTTTTTGTCTGTTATGTTTTAATTGTTCCATATTGAACATCCCCAAAACTGATCTGCAGATATACTCATGCAATTCTCCAGAGGGAAATCTGCTCTAGTGTTTTGCTCAACCAGAAAAGGTGCACAAGAAGCAGCGCAGCGACTCTCTCAGATTGCAATGACATATGGTCATTCAAATCCGTTCTTCAAAAACAGAGAACAGCAGGAAAGATTAAGGGAAGCTTCACTGTCATGTAGTGACAAACAAATGCAATCATATATCATTTATGGTGGTACTTATTTATTTTGTTTACCACACACCTCCTATCAATTATAGTTCTAGGCAAAGAGAATAAGAGACGTCATTGTCTAAGCCTTAGCACTTTCCATTTTTCCCTTGCAGCTTGTCCTTGAAATAGTTAGTTATTTTTGGCAGTTGGATATCATAATGGTGGACTTTCTCTAAAGGATCGCAACCTCATTGAAGGTCTTTTTCTTAATGGTGATATTCAGATTCTGTGCGCTACAAATACTCTTGCCCATGGTGTTAACCTACCGGCGCATACAGTAGTTATCAAATCAACCCAACACTTGTACGTTGATTTTTTTTTTCTGCAAATTTACTTTTCAAATACCAAGCATCTGCCTTTCTGTTTAATCTGTTATTAGTTGCTGCTTGCCCAGCAATAAAGAAAAAGGGCTCTACATGGAATATGACCGGTCCATGATACTGCAGGTGCGACTCTTATCTTGGAGATTCTTCTGAATCACTACTGTTCTTGTCTGCAGAAAAACAAATTTAACATAACTCCTGTAAATTGGGAGATCAATAAGCATTAAGACACTTTGCATGGAATATTTCCCTCTTGTACCAACTAGACAGATGTCATCATCTTCGGTGTCTTGCATCTAAGTGTGAAGATGATTAGCTCTTATGCAGATGTGTGGAAGGGCAGGTCGTCCACCATTTGATGATACAGGAATGGTTATAATCATGACAAGAAGAGCAACAGTAATTTATTCTCCCCTTTCTCTCTCTCTCTCAGGAAACATTCACATGCACACTGCACGTAGGTGTGATATATTGACTAGTTTACTATTTGACATAGGTTTTCATGTTCATATTTATCTTTGTTAAAATACCACTCTCCAACTTCAGAACATCATGTGCTTCATATATTTATCAATTTCTGTGTTGCTTCATGATATTGATTCTACATATCTTAGGTCCATTTGTATGAGAATCTACTGAATGGGTGTGAAATGGTGGAATCACAGTATGTCTATAATTTTTATACTTGCTTTGTCGTGCTTAGAGTTTGACATAATCTGTGAAACACTTTGCATGCACCGATAATTGCTATTGTTTTCGTGATCTTCAGGTTGCTTCCATGTGTTACGGAGCATCTAACAGCAGAGATTGTTCAAATGACCATCTCCGATATAACAAGGGCGATAGAATGGATGAAGTGTTCATATCTTTATGTGAGAATGAAAAAGGCATGTTCTAATTGGGATAGTTTAAAGGAAGCTTATTTGGATATTCTGTTTCATTCAATTATGTTTCTGAGATCTTCATGCAAAATCAGAACCCTGAGAATTATGCAATAAAGAAAGGGATACCCAGTAACCGTATAGAGAGACATGTACAAGGTAATCTGACAATTACACTGGTTAAGTTGTTGAAATCTATGTATATATCTTCATTACCACCGCTTGATCAACTATATGGTCGACCAGAGATTTGTGTTCAGAAAGTTAACGAGCTGTCACGAAATCAAATGATCTGGACTGACGAAGACGGTTTTCTCTTGAAGCCGCTTGGTATGACGTTTTCACTATACCACTATCTTGCCATCTTCATTGGTGACCAAAGGAATTTTAACTCATCTTTCTGGTCTTCTTGAATTCAGAGCCTGGAAGGTTAATGACGAAGTATTATCTGAAATTTGGCACAATGAAACACATTATGCAGGCCTCTGCAACCTCCAGCATAGATGATGCACTTCATATTATTTGCCGTGCTGAGGAAATTGCTTGTATGCATTTGTAATCCAGCTCCCATCCCATTGAATGATTAAAATGTGAAGTAACATATTTCGTTGGCTGCAAAATGAAGGGATACAGCTCAGGCGCAATGAGAAGAAGCTTCTAAATGACATAAATAACGATAAAGATGGCCGGCTTCGCTTTCACATTCTTGGAGATAAAGGAAAAAGGAAAAAGCGCATCCAAACCAGAGAAGAAAAGATATTTGTTCTGGCAAATGATTGTTTAACTGGGGATCCTTCAGTGCGTGATTTATCCATGAGTCAGGTATCCTTGCCTCACAATTTAATAAAATGTAACATCTTCATATGCTTTAAGCCTTACTAAATAACGAATTGTTCTGCAATGCTATAGGACATGAACTCCATATGCGCAAACGGGTGTAGAATTGCAAAGTGCATGAAGGAGTATTTTATTTTTAAAAAGAATTACAAAGGAGCCTTAAATTCTACCCTTCTAGCCAAGTCTTTACATCAAAAACTCTGGGATGACAGTCCATACTTGCTAAAACAACTACCTGGCATTGGTATGGTTACTGCTAAGGTATGTTTTTGACGTCTGAATTGCTATGTGAGACATTTGATTTCTTTATCACATGGTTCAAGGTATCGGCCGAGTCCGATATGACTCGGCCGAGTTGTATCCGACTCAGCCTATGGCGATACGATAACGGTATACGAAACGTAGAAATCACGAATTGAACATGTATCGCCGATATCTTGCCGATATCTCCGCGATATTGTCCAAAATCAAAGGACTCAGTGTTCAATCGGTTCAACTCGGCCAAGATAAATCGGAATCTTGCCAAGTCGACCAAGTCCGTGAACAAATTCCCCCAAATCTGAGAGAAAGAAGAAAAATTCAAGACCTACTCTGTTAAAACTTAACAAACACTCAAATCATTATTGAAAATTGAAGAAAAATCCAAAAAAAAAAAAGGGGATGTGAAATAAAGCACACCCACTACCAATAAAGACTCAAAATCCATGTGAAAATTGCAAAAAACACATGAACCCTGAAATCTGAAACCCTATTTTTCAACTATAAAAACGAAGAATACTAAAGATTCGACATACCAGTAGGTCTGTATATTCATCTGTTTTTGTGTGAAATCAGGATACTTCAGTTCTTTGTTGCGATCTTCTTCGGTTCTTCATGAGTGGATCTCTCTCTGTGTTGGTTCTCATTGTCGGTGAGGGACCGTGGTGGTCTCGTCTCTGTCTGCACCCATCTCTCTCTCTCATCGTGACTGAGAAGACGAGAAATCTTCGTCTGAGACTTGGAAAGATTGAAACAAATTTTCGCCTGAAATATATGCTGGGTTTGTTGGTTTTTTTTTTTTTTTTGAGTGAGTGTTGTTTAAATATTTATACTTGTCTTAAAAGTAGTATAAAAATAGTAGATCAATTGGGCAGAGAAGCAAATTAGCACCTTGCAGGTCACTGGTTCAATTCCCTCTTAGCCTATTTTACATTATTTTATAAGGATTGTTGTTTAATGATAAAAAAAATTATAACTTTAATGTAATAATTAGATACATTAATATTTTATAATAATAAATAAGTGGGTATAAGTTCTATTTTTTTTTATAAAAAATATATGTAATATTTCAAATGATGTACAATTAAATTATTTTTATATTTAAGTTACTTATTTATTGAATAAATATTACAAGAATTGTTGTTTAATGATCAAAAAAATTACAACTTTAATATTTATTAAAAAATTATAACTTTAATGTAAAAAAATATAACTTTGATGTAAATTTAATGCCTACATTGAACATTAATAATGATAATTATTTTCTCTAGCGATTTTATATTTCATTTTAATTATGTTTAATGTGTTTTTTGATGTATTGTGGACATATATAAATGATGATGTCTATATTTTTAGAATTTTCTATAATTTTTTCAAATTTTTTGGAGCTTCTATCTTGCGTTTTGAGCGTATCGGCCGATACCGTGCCGTGACCGATGTGTATCAATACCCTCCAAGTTGATGACTGATACCGCGACTTTGAATCATGCTTTATCATGAACAAAGTTGATATATTTTTTCTTAAAAAAAAAGATATATTTTCTCACCCCTACCCAAAATACTTTACTCAGGCACTACATTCGATGGGAGTAAAGTCATTTGAGACTCTTTCTGAAGCCGACCCAAGGAAGATAGAGATAGTTACAGGTCGAAAATACCCATTTGGGAACCATATTAAGGATTCATTGCTGGCACTACCCCCAAAAGTTGAGATGAAGGTTGAAGAAACTAAATGTCAAAGGAAAGGAAAATCCAAGCTGGTGTTAACTTTGACTAGGCTATCACAACCTACTCAGTCAACCAAACGACATTATGCTGACATGGTATGCGTTGAGGATTATGTTTTCTACTGCTTTTACTTCCAAAAACGAATTTTTCTTTTCCAATGTATTGCTTTTTATGTAATAAGTAATTTTGTTGACCTAATGCAACCTTATTGTTTTTCTTGCAGGTGGTTGGTGCAGAAGAAGACAACGTAATCCTCTTTCATGAGAAAATAAGGTAATGTTGCTCAATTTGTTTTTGGGCTGTGAATCGACATAGTAACATTGCAATTGTAGTCCTGAGGGATTTATGGAATTATTTCTTATGCCGTCAATGGTTTGGAGGATGCAATTTTGGCAATCAGTACTAGAAACTTCCTAAATGTTCTTCACTAATTTGGCTCTCCAACTATGGACCCCTTTGTGTTATCACTTAAATCCTTGCAATAGGCCATAATGACTAGAACAGCATGCTTGGCTTACCGTATGAAATGACTTCTAATCAAATGTCTCTTCTTGACTTGGTTTCAGCAGAGTGGAGGAGTTTTCAAGGTATGGAAACTTCGAATTCATGGTCTGCTGTGTCTTTTTCACTTTTTGTGTCTTGTGAGGCACTCCAATGGGTTACCAATATTTCTATGAAATGATCCAATCACACAAGTGTATCCGTGGTGTAGTTCTTTCTTTGTTATCTACTGGGTGAGGTTCTTTATTTTTTTTGGCAGCCCATATAGTGCTACAATTCTACTATCAAGCCCTCAGGAAGGAAAGCTAACTGTAAAAGCAGATCTGATTTTTGAAGAATTCAGTAAAGTTCTCTCATGTTTGACAGACCTATACATATCAATTTTCTCGACTTAAGATGTAATTTGTACTGATGTTCATATGCAGTTGGTATTGATCTTCACCAAAAAGTTAAACTGATTAAAGAGTTTGAATCTAATGTGATTCATAAACATGGAAAGAAGCAGCCTTCATCTTTCCTTCAGCCGAAGGACCTGTGTACTAAAGAGCCTCATTTGAATGAATCCAAAGGGGAAACGGCTTCCCTGTAAGTAATTGTTTTGACTTAATATACTTACAAGTATACACATACATATGTGTACATTTATGTTTCATCTATACCAAGTGTACTATGTGATCGATAAACAAGATTGGCTATAAAATTGAAGAAAGGAATGGGGACATAGCGAAAGACTTTCGATTCATTGCTCTTACATTTTGAGAAAATGGAGTGATAAAGACCATAGTATCGTACGCCCGCAACAACAACAAAGAGGTGTGGCGGAAATGAGAATGAGATGGATATGTAGAGAAAAAAAATGACTGAATTATGAATGTATATATTAGTGAAACCGTAGAAGTAGCAGTAATAGAAGTTAAATTACGAGAGAATCGACTTAAGTGGTTTGGGGACGCCTATAAGAGACCTCTTCTTGTATCGTAGAGGAAAAGTGATGTGGGTACCTATCAACAGTAGTGTAATGGGTGATGGCCTGGTAGACCGAAAATAACTTTAAAGGAGATAGTAAAAATGGATATGACAGTTTGTTGTTTAACAGAAAAATGCGGCACTTGGTAGAGCATAATTGCAGATTAGGATACATGTAGATGACCCTAAAATAGTTGGGACAAGGCTCATATTAGTTGAGTTGAGTTGAGTTGTATATATATTCTATTTATACCAGTTGGTTTTTCAGTTGCTATTGGCCTTTGGAGACAGTTATATACTTTCCAATATACTAAACCTTTGGTTTTGCATACCCAGGCCCAGCTTCAATCTTCTAGATGATGATCTGGAAGAAGGTAAACATTATAAGACAATCCTATGCATTTTCAGTATCCTTTTTTCATATGGCTTAATGCTATTGCTACCTTGAAATAATGAAGGTATGCCTGCTGTTGATACTGAAGATGATGAATGCAAAATTATAACCGATAGAACAGTATTTGACCACATACGTGAAAAGGCTAAGAACTTACCTGTCTTGGCTCAATCAAAAAATGCATGCTCTCCATCATTGGAGACATTGACTCTCATCAGGAAGCGCACCCGTGAGCGGCAACTTCAACTTGATGACATAGAGGTTTTGGATGAAACTGGGAGCAATAAAATTCCGCATCAGACTATGTTAATTCCATCTGCAGAACAAAGAGAGGTGGAACAAAATGGGCACAACATCAACATTGATCAGACTTCAAAATATCATATCAGCTCTAATACCATTGATCTTGAGAATGACACAGGTAAATCTTTTCCCCATCTGCTACTTCGATTGTTTTTTCATAGTTTGTATCGGATGTTATAATCTCTAGTTATATTCGTTGAAGGCATGCTTCTGCCCGAACCCAAGGAGCACACATCCAAACCTCTAACTGACGGAACAATCTTGAAACACATACGAAGAAAAGCTAAGAACTTCCCCATCTTCGACAACTCGAAATCCATTGAATCCAAATCTTTTACCATTGCAAGTGAACGGTTCTGGGTGAATCAGCAGCCCAAGTTTAGTTGTGCTTATTTTGACGAGATTGACATGGCAAACTCAAATCAAGTTGTGCGAGATACTGTGACCATTTTGGATCCAGAACCTATGGATACAAAAGAAGATATAACTGAAATGAAAGGAGACACAAAAGCAAAACTCAATATGCGTTGTGGAAGCTCTTTTGGCCAATATAGAAAAATGGATCTACCTCCAAAAACCAATAGCAGCGATGCTATGCCAACGTCGATAAGAGATCATCGTCCATGCCTCAATGTTCCCTTGGCAAAGAAAGAATTCCGATTCCCAGGGAGCTCCACAGACACTAGTGGGGAGCAGCTGTATTCTCCAAGTCTATCCAAAAGGCAGTGCGGTTCGGTTGCAACAGCACATGAAAACGGGGAAGTAGGTTCCTTCCTTGGTTTCAAGAGTGTTTTTTCATTCCTCTGATTGGCTTTACAACGTAGAAGATTTGCTAATGTGGATTTTTATTTCCTGCACTTCTTTTCTCACTCTTAAAGACCCAATGCTTATATGTATCAGTATCCGAATCCCCAAGGCCCATCCCAACCTAGTTATCGTCAGAGATAAACTCAGTCAGTCCTCGCCTTGATCGATATTGCCTATTCCTGTCCTTTAGATCCTAATGATCTCCTTGTTTTTCGTTACTTTAAGATTAAAGAGCACTTCTGACTGGTAGTTTGAAGAATAACAGTTTCCCAATAAATACAAGATTCCACCGTTAATTTAATGGTTATGATGAATTAGGATAGTAAATTAAGTCCAAAGAACATTACTACTCTAAAAAACACATTAAGCAAATTTTCATATTGCAATTGCTATCTAATTTATTAACTTAATCCATTATAACTCTTGAATTAATTTTTAGGTCCAAATAGTATTGTAAGAATATACACCTATATTTATAGCATGCTTCTTTTTTAAAAAAATTGTGGTTAAAAAACTTAAAAATAAATGAATTGAGTTACTATAAATAACAAAATTTCTTAGACATTTTTGGGTGACAAATGATATCAAAAAATAAGCACTCTCCTCAACTTATAAAAAACAGAAAATAGTATTGCTTAGAGAATTTCAAAATAACATCACTTGGCACAATATATTTATTCACAATATATTTGAATAAAGAGTAATGTTATAAGAATATAATTTTTAGATTAAATTTTATGTGATATATCTATCATCATAAAATAAGTGGATCTCATCAATAACGAATATGTCACATACGTTTGGCTGAAAAACTAACAGCTTCTTCTGAAACTGGCATCTGAATTCTGAAGGAATCAATCATGTATGTGACGTATAAGTGCTACCCAAAATTTGTTTTTTGATGTGAAAACTGAAAATTTATATACGTTATTTATTTTTAGAGCAATACTATGTACACTAAAACTTACATTAAATAAGTCGTTGAACTAATGGTCTCATCTCATTATTGATTCAATGACTATAATTAATTTAGTACAAGTTTTACTGCATAAATTTGGTGCACGGATAATTATCCTTATTTCTAGCCACAACAGTGACGGTTGGAGACGCTTAGCTGCCACGGAACAGTGGGAGACGCTTCTGTGGAGAAGCACGTACCTCGACATGCAATGCTTCCCTTCTCGTGCTAATTTACGCTGTGCGTGTCATCTTGACAAAGAGTAATGCTATATAAATTTAAAAAGTAAATTTAAAAATTAGACTCGATAATCTTAATCATTGAATAGGTAGTGGGTTTCAATAAATATTGGGATCCACAGTAAAATCAATGATCGAGATTATCAAGTCTAATTTTTAAGTCTAATTCATGTAGCATTACTCCTTGATAAATAGATATGAACTTCAATGAACACTATCAAACTATGAAGATTCTAATAAATGCTACAATGAATCACAATAAAATTAATAATTATAATTATCAAGTTTATTTTTTAAGTTTGTCGACGATTGTTCATATGTTAATTTGTATTTTAAACAAACTATGAAGATTCCCAGAAAGTCTACTGGAGGGCTATACGTACAATCACACGGAATCATATTCATAGCCTGCCCCTTTCACGACACTCGCGATGGTTCCATAGAGGTGCTGAGCGCCCTTTTGCTCTCTTCTGTGGACTCCCATTTCACACAGAAAACTCCCTCTTGCGTTTTGATCAGCGGATCAGAGGTACGTACTTACGCGTTTTGATTATGCTTTGCTTTTGTTTCTTGTAGTTGTTGTTGTTGTTGAGGACGTGTGGGATTTAGCAGCGTGGACGTGGAGGATACTCTGTTTTCTAATCTACGGTTGGGTTGCGTCCTTGAATTCAAAGAAAAAAACTTTTGTTTTCCGCTGGTGTTTCTGATGTTTTCTTTGCAACCAAACTGTGTTTGCATTTCATTTTCTGGATTAAAGACGATATTTATACAGAAAATTAAATGACGCTAGTCTACCCCCTCGTTTTGTTCCAAGCTGTGTTTGTGCTGTTGTTTGTTCTTCTATCCATCGTAATCATCTTCTTCTCTACAGAGAATAACTAACCGAAAGTTCTATTTATGCATAAAAGGAAAAGTAAGTCCCTATGATCTGTTTTTCTATAGATCAGAAACGAGTAATTCGATGCATGCATTTGTTTACTATATACTCTTATTATGTCAGATTGGTATTTATTTTTTTTTTTCATTTGCTTACTTGCGTACATCGGGTGATTATATATGCTGCTTTGACGTTGTTTTCTCAATTGTATTTGGTCACTGTGAAAAATGAGGAGAGCAAAGAACAAGAGATTTTTTTCTAAGTTTGTTTCTGGGGAAAAAAAAATACTAACAGACTTTGGTTAGACGTGAGAATTAAACTGATATTTTTTTTGGCCCTTTGGTTGGGTTTTGCAGCTGAGAGAATGGGTGGTGCTCACAAGATTGGACATGCAGTGTATAAGGGTCCAAGTGTGCTGAAGGAGATTATGTATGGAATATCTCTTGGACTTATGGCCGGTGGCCTTTGGAAGATGCACCATTGGAACCTCCAGAGGAGATACCAGGAATTCTATGATCTGCTTGAAAGAGGTGAAATCAGTGTTGTTGTGGATGATGATGTGTAGTAGTAGTACTACTAGTACCAGTAGGTTGTGTATATTTCCATCTACCCCTAATAATATTCGATATAATTTTTTGATATAATTTATTGACTTAATGCATGGTTGTCGTTGGATTGATAACAAACTCCAAAAATATGAGTATCTATTGTCAATCTAATGATTATGATGCATTAGATTAGAAAATTAAGTCAATAAGATTTGATGAGTCTGAATTTTATTGAGCTTAATAAATCGAGAAAGTTCAAAGGAAAACTCAAATCAAAGTTGGGTCAATCCATCAAAAGGAGTCTCAATTACTGGAACCTAAAAGAAATTGGACCTGTTCACAAGTTAAGAAGGAGTCAAGTGAAGTCCAAGCCAAAGGCCAACGCCCATGGCTTGCCTCTCTGTCGCTCTTCTCCACTTCAGTGCAAGTCCAAGTCCACACCACTCCAAGTCTAAGCTTAAGATCAGGGTCAGCTCAGCTCAAGATCATCCTTCAACAGAATAGGGACACGAGCGAGAAAATATCGAGATGCGGAGATCCATTCCTATTAAGGTTATACTTACCAAGATAGTAGAAGACCATTTTCTCACTTCACCGCCTCATCGGTTTGGTGTGCCTATATAATGTAAGTCCTCTACATGTAGAGGACAGGCCTTGATAGTCTTGAGATCCCTACACACACTACACCTTCCTACACACATTATTCTCTCTCTCTCCAAAGCATTGTAATACTCCTGGAGAATACTCACTCCAACAACTTCACTCATTAATAAAAGATCTAGGTCACCACTGTCGTTCCCGAGAGTGAAGTAGGTCATTCGGACCGAACCACTACAATTCTCTGTGTTGGCTTCTTCTTTACAACTTTACCATTAATTACTTGATTATTGCTAGATGATTGCCTCTGTTCATATTATTGACTGTTGATCTTGCGCAATACCGATTTGTGCATCATCAGTTTAGCGCCGTCTATGGGATACGACTAATTTCCTACTCTTATTAAACTCATGGCAATCACTATCCAATCAATGAGCCAACAGCCGGGAGACAATTACCCGACCCACCAGGAGGAGGCTCCGCCACCCCTTGCATTTGTAGAACCATCTGTTACTACTACTCCCGTCGGTGGACAGCAGTAACAACTCTTCCAGACCATGCAGCTATTGGTGAGCCAGAATTAGCTGATCATCCAACTCATGCTCTCACAAGCAGGCGTCGTCCCTCCCCTTGCAGGAGGAGTCCCACTCCCCCCACTAGGAGAAGAACAACTGCCTATCCTTTTTGGGCACCAGGTAGCCCCTCGCCAGAACACTCCAGGACCACCGCAGGGTGCCTCTCGCCCAGTCTCTCCTCAGAGCGTAAGGAGTTCACAAGAGCTCCATCCTCATAAACCTATGCAGGAGAACGAAGATAGAGAAAGTCAATACAGAGACCATGAAAGTCAATACCACCACCCAACGGAGGATGTCCCTAACCAGTGGGACGAGAAGATCAAAGAGATATAAAACCAACTCGACGACGCTCTCAACACCATCAAGGCACAGACGCCTGAAACCATGGACTACTTGGTAAGGCACACCGATATCCCTTTCATTGCTGATATCGTTAACTACCCTCTACCCTCGAAGTTCAAGATGCCCATCATTGAGATCTTCAATGGCACCAAGGACCCCCTTGACCACCTTGACACCTATAAATTTCTCATGCAACTCCACAACGTGCCTGAGGAGATTATATGTAGAGCCTTCCCTACCACCCTCAAGGGACATGCACGCCAATGGTTTTCAAAGATCAAGCCCTCTTCAATTCACTCCTTAATGGAATTAAGTAGATCTTTCATCTCCCACTTTATTAGGGGACGTCGACATCAGAAACTAGTGACCCACTTACTCACTGTCAAACAAGACAGGGATGAAAGCCTAAGAGACTACCTCGCCCGCTTCAACGAGGAGGCTCTCCAGATTGAGGAGCCAGATGACAAGGTAGCCTTGGCTGCCTTTATCGTCGACTTTCGCACCTCCAATTTTATGTTCTCTGTCCTCAAGAAGTCGTCCTCCAGCATACCCGAGCTGCTGTCTAGGGCACAGAAATACATGAATGCCAAGGATGTCACCAAGGTCAGACGAGGTGAGTCCTCCCATGGGAGCGAGAAAAGGAAGGACACCTGCGAAGTGGGAGGCGGAGAGCAAGAGAAAGAGGATAGAGAGAATCTTTGTTAAGGACCGTCTTGGTCCCTCACCTCTTAGAGAACGACAAGCCTTTACGCCATTTAATGCTTCCGTGGAACATATCTTGTTCCAAATACGGGATAACTCTACAGTACACTGGCCAGAGAAGATGAAGACCGCCCCGAACCGGAGGAGTCTGAACAAGTACTGTCGTTTCCACCTCGACCACGACCATGACACTGACGATTGCTTTGATCTTAAAAGATAGATTAAGGAGCTCATACAACGTGGCCGCTTGAGGCAGTATGTTGCTAGCAAAGGACTAGCCCTGCAACCTGATCAAGACTAGGATGATAGAGAACACCAATAAACCCTCGGAGAAATCCAGACGATCGCCTAAGGGCTAGGAGGAGTTGACTCGAACTTTGCCAAAAAAACCTTGGCCCACCTATGGACGCCGAACACCAAAAGATGTTATCTATCATTTATTGTTTCAGTTGATTTATTTTATTATTTGTTATTTTACGGAATAAAATTCTGTGAATATTATTGTGTCCAGAATTATTTTGTTTTCCTAAAAATTAAAAATAGCTTACAAAAAACAAAACATGACTTAACAACAAGGTGTAGACAAAAGGTGCTCGCGACCCTAGCGTCAGGCACCCAGACTAGAGGTTTTGCCCTCTGTACCTCGGGCGCCTCAACACCGCCTAGATGACGAGTCCCGACACCTCTCATCAGGCGCCCAACTCCTCTTCGCCCTCCTCATCTCCTCAGCACCCTCCGCAGCCACTTCTCAAGACTATACGTAGCTCAGCCTATGACTCTGCTTTCACGCAAGTCACCTAGTAAGCCTCTGTCACGGCAGCCACTTCCCGAGACTATACGTAGCTCGGCTTATAGCTCTGCTCTCGCGTAAGTCGCCTAGTAAGTCTCTGCCACGACAGTCACCTCCCGAGACTATACGTAGCTCAGCATCAGCTCATGCGTCCCTCTCACGGGACGCCCACAGCTCTAACTTTGCTCTCACGCAAACAACATATCCCTCTCTCCTGGTAATTATGTTAAATATTTTAATGTTGAGATATCATTGTCTTTGCCAGGCACACTACTGAAGCTCAGGTCATCTACAACCGAGCCACTATTAGAAGCAGGGTGAAGCCACAATCCCTGTAGAAATCGCACTAAAGTCTCAACTCATGTAACAGTATAAGGGCTAGTTCTGGTACACAGTCTGGGAAGAAATAGGGGCACCACCTGATCATACTCCCACGAAGCAACCTAGCTATCAGACCTTGACTGATGAACACTGAGGGCATCAAATCTCGCCCTCTAGAGAGGAGAGGAGGGAAAGACACCACCCTAAAAATAAAGAGAGTTTCCAAATCAATATTCAGAGACAAGGTCAGTTAGTGACCAAGCATCAGGGAGGCGCCGCCCATAACAAGACTCAAGGCGTCCCCCAAACACAGCAGTGCGCAAGACCTCCTAGCGTCACCCCAAGGCACCTAACCAGCTTCCTAGCGTCGCTCAAGGCGCCCTGCCACCATCTTGGCATCACCCAAGGAGCCTGTCCAACCTCGGGCGTCTTTCAATACGCTGCCCAGCCTTGACTTCGAGCATCTCTCAATACGCTGCCCAACCTCCTAGCATTGTCCACGGCTCCCTATCAACCTCTTGGCGTCGCCCAAGACACCTGCCAGTCTTCATTGGCGCCCACAACATTCTCCACCGTCGCCCAAGACAATAAAAACAATAATAATAATAAAAAATAGTGAGGAAAAGGACAACGCCCAAGGAAGCGACGTCCAAGACATAAAAATAAAAAAAAGGCGGCAGTGCCCAAGCAGGCCAAAAAAAAAGAATAAGGAGGCAGCGCCCAAACCGACCAAGAAAGAAGAAAAAAAAAGGGGGGGGAAAGCAATGGGCGGCGCCCAAGCAGACCAAATGAAGAAAGAAAAGAAAAAAAAAAAGAGAGAGGGGAGATGGTTAGCACCCAGCCCAGAGCAAGAAAGAAGAAAAAAAAAGCAGAAGAAGCAATGGGCGGCGCCCAAGTAGGAAAAAAAAAGGGGATGGGGACCAACCCAACAAGTCAGCACCCAAGAAGAAAAGACAAAAAAAAAGAGAGAAGGATGAAGGGGCGGCGCCCAACCAGACCAAAGGGGAGAGAGAGAGGGGGGGAAGGGCGGTGCCCAAGCAGCCAATGGAAAAGAAAAAAAGAGAGAGAGAGGGGAAGGGCGGCGCTTAGCAGCCAAGAAAAAAATAAAAAATTAAAAGAAGAAGAAGAAAGCCAAGGGGCAGCGCCCAACAGAAAGCCAAGACGAAGAAAGGAAAGAGAAGGAGGCCCAAGCCCATGAAGACCAAGAAGAAAAAAAAAAAAGGGGGTTAATCTCATTTTGTACCTCGAAAGATCGTTCGAATCTCAATTTACACCCTTAAAGATTAAAAATCTCAATTTACACCCTCAAAGATAGAAAATTGTATCAATGCACACCCCCAAAGATCAAAAATCTCAATTTACACCCTCAAAGATAGAAATATGTATTAATGTGCACCTAAAACTAAATTGATAAATTATACCTAGATCTCCTCATGTTTGTCACTTAATCATTTGAACCCCTTCACATTTAGAATATTACCCCTACATCTCATGACGTTTGTAAATGTGTAAACATAACCACTTTTCGTTGATATCTATTAATATAATCGTTAAAAATATAATTTTATCCTAATAAAAAATTATAATTTCACATTACCCTTTATTTTGTGGATTCGATATATTCTAAAGTTCAAAATCAAGCTTACCATTTGAATGTCTAATAGAATGTAGATATTTATAAAAAGGAAAA